TAGCCTTCCCGCTCTGTAGCCCCATAGCCCTATAGCCCCATAGCCCTATAGCCCTATAGCCCTATAACACTATAGCCCTATAGCCCCGTAGCCCCATAGCCCTATAGCCCTATAGCCTTATAGCCCTATAGTAGCCCTATAGCCCTATAGCCATACAGACCTATAGCCCAATAGCCCTATAGCACAATAACCCTACAGGCCTACAGCCCTATAGCCCTATACCCATTAGCCCTACAGCCCTATAGCCTCATAGCACCATCCATCTCATAATGCATGCGTCGTCCAGCCCCGAGGAAGTCTGTGACGAGGTAAACGTCGTCTGAAGGGTTGGTAATAGTTGTACCGTCGGAGCCCCGACGGTACAAATATTACCAACCCTTCAGGGCATGAGTGGTCTAGACGTTCAGTAGCCAAGTGCCTCAGCCTTTTGTGTGCACACACGCTTCACATGTACGTACTCATTGTCTTTCTCGCGTGCACTTTCTCAGCAGCGGGATTTGGCTCCAAATCGGATGACACTTCAAAGCAGGTTCCAAACACCCCACAAGAATTGATAGATGCCGTGTTTTCATCTTACCTTTGCGGAGCGACAGATGATGCCATGTTTAGTATCGGTGCATATTCGTGGTTGGACGATCACACAGCGCCACGACCGAACGATTTGATGAAGTTCGAAATGTTGCTTGTTCAATTGTTCTGGGCAGAGCCGCGGGGGGGATTCAAACCTCTTGCGCTGCAGAACGCGTTGCAAAAAAATGGTGGCAGAGTTCCCAAAGCGATCTATCAATCAAAATTCACTATCGTCGAAAAGCTGGTCAAAATATAGTTGCAATGCATGCCAAATTATGCTGCGGCACACCCGTCAATTGATTGAGTATGATGATGCATGCGCTCGAGCTTGCAAAAACAGTGCCGGCGGGATGGAAATCGAAAACAACTTCACCAAGTTTGTACAGCGTGCAAGACTGGCGCGTGGTGGCGCGTCGAGCTCGACTGGTGCGGTTGTACCAGCATCACCCCCGCAGGAAAAGAAGCGAAAGCTCCAGGCCCACGCGTCAGACGTATCATGGTTATCAGAGATGTCAACAATGTCTCAAGAATCCGAAGTCTACGACGGAGATCGAATCGATGCCGATGCGCTTGCAGCAGCCAGCACGCCCGCACCAGCCGCCCGAGGGGGCTTGAAACAGATTGTAAAGGCTGGCAAAGAAAGGAGGAGCCCACAAACGAAGCTCGCGCAGGTCGAGCACACACCATCTTGTGGAAATGTCAAGCTATGTTTGTACACTCACAAGTCTTACCTCTTAATGCCCAGAGATGGGTAAATGGCCCCTTCTGGTTGAGGTGGCAGGGACAAAGGTAAGGAATCATGCAGATGCCGCTACATACTAATTCAAAACATCCGTGAGCACAAAGAAATTAAACAATCAGTTGTTGCAATGAGAGGTAAAGTAGTCGCGGACCTTTCAGCTGGCAAGACAGTATCTGGCATTTCGCACGATGACAACGCTGAACAAACACACCGCTCTGACGCAGACAAACTTGACGAGTTATTTTCAGAATCGAACGAGGCAGGCCGTGATGTCGCGCTCATGAGCTCGGGATCCGATGCGGGCGAGAGCAGCGTGTCCCCAGTGGAGTTTGATGGGCAATAGGGGTATCCATATTTCTCCTGTGGATACGACTCTTGTCGTTGAAAACCTGAAAACAAAGATTTGCTTGCTATAGCCCGCGCCACCCAGACCCCATCCCGAATGGTTCTCGCTTCGCGAACGCCCGCCAGCCCATCCTACCTTAGCCACTCTAACGAATAGTGCGACGACGACGACGTGGTGATGATGATGATGATGATGATGATGATGATGATGATGATGATGATGATGATGATGATGATGATGATGATGATGATGATGATGAGGGGGGGTCGAGGATGAGGAGAAGGATGCGGATGGGGAGGAGGAGGAGGAGGAGGAGGAGGGAAGAAGATGATGATGAGCATGATGAGGATGAGGAGGATGATGGCGAGGATGAGGATGATGCTCATTATTATGATGATGATGAAGCTGAATACGATGATGATGCGGATGATGATGACGAGGATGATGATGAAAACGATGATGATGCTGATGATGCCGATGCTCATTAGGATGATGATGATGGAGGTGATGATGGCGATGATGTTGATGCTGATGCTGCTGTTGTTGATGATGATGACGCCGACGACGATGGTGATGGTGATGAGGATGAGGGGGATGACGATGATGACGATGATGATGATGATGATGCTGATGATGATGATGATGGTGATGATGATGATAAGGATGAGGGGCATGATGAGGATGAGGGGGGTACTCATCACCATCAGCATCAACATCACTCACTCAATGGATAGTGCCAATCTTGCCGAGAGGTCGCCCGCAGTGGCGGTGAGCGGATTCGGCGCGTTCGTTAACGGTCGACCCATTACCGTGCCCGCAGCGCAACGGAAAATCCAGCACGTACGTTTCAGACGAATCGTTTTTTCGTGAAATTTGGGGAATAACGAATAACAGTTTATCATATTACGATGACGCGTGTACGGGTAGGAGAAGCCCTGGGTCAGTGTAAGAGCCCCGTGAGCCTTTTCGAGTCTCCTGAGTCTCTTGAGTCTCCTGGGCCTCTTAGGTCTCCTGGGCTGCATGGACATATCGGGCCGTGTAGAAGGTATGGGAGACGCGTGGCACTATCTCACGCCTGCACCCTAGACGGCCCCCTACCGATGCTCCAATGGCCCCCCCAAGATACCCGAACGAGAGCCCCTCGAGGCCATGGCGGGCCCGCGATCGGGCGCAATCTGTGCACCCTAAACGACGCCGTCATACGAATAACCAATTCTGGCTCAAACCAGCAGCGCTCAAGAGCGCATTCGTACAACGATCCACGTACAGATTCGCGCCTGCTCGGCACTTGTTCCAGGTGCCGATGAAGAGGCCAGCGGCGGCTCCCATCAGGATGGCGCCGACGAAACGCGGGAGGCCATCAGCCTACGTGCCAGAGGACGACGCGGACATTGATGAGGAGCACGCAGCGACTGATTCTGAGAAGATTGAAGACACCAAGCCGCTTGTCAAGCGTTCTTCATGCGCGGCAGAGGCCGAGGAGGCCAGCCCCGACAATAGCCTCCTGGACGCCCAGATTGAGAAAATGAGAATACACTGCGTGGAGAACAACATCAAGCAGCCCTCCATGGCAATCTTGAATGAGTACCTGCACAATGCGTCCCTGAAGTCGGGGGCTCGGCAAAAGCTCAAGGCAGCTCGCGGGAAGAAGGACATGTCGGTTCAGGAGGCTTGGACTGCTCTGTGCGAATCGAATTCTGGCAAGAAGACGGACATCAAAAACGACATCCTGTTCGCCTTCGTGCGGGGCGACGCGACGTGGGCCGAGCGCCTCGGGAAGCAGGTCCCCGCTTTTTCGAAGGAAGAGAAGCGCGAGGTGAAGCAGCAGGAGTTCACCGGGGCGGAATTGGGGCGCATCCACGGATACGAGGAAACGGAAGCCTTCATTGCGAAAGTAAAACTCGTGGCATTCCAGGACTCCTGGGGAGATACAGTATACATCAAGTCGACCAGGTCTCGCACCAAGAGCATGTCTTTGAAGAAGGACAAGTTCAACGAGAGGTTCGGCGAGGGTTTGTCGTCGTCGTCGTTTGGAAAAAAACTGCCGACATTTTTCTTCCAAACGACGACGACGACGACGACGCCGACGACGACGACGACGCCGACGACGACCCCATATGGCCTCGATTGGTGCGAGCGCAGCGTCTGAGGCATTACACCGGCACTATAATGGCAATAAAATGCCACTGTAATGCCTGACGGGCTGCATCTGCACCATTCGGAGACCGAACAGGAACGGCGACGATCGACGCCAGGTCGCGCCGCGTCGACGACGGCAACCACGCCCAGAGCGCCGAGGCCGCCGAGACGCTCTTCAACTCCAGCGCAGCTTCTTTCTTCGGCGCCCAGCTGAAGATGATCAAGGGCGGTGGCAAGAAGCACAAGGGCAAGGTTTCGGGGTGGCGATAGAGGACGGAGATGCGAACGAAACGCCAGAGACCAAGGAGCAGACCTGTGAGCAGAAAGTGACGGCAATGGCGAACAAGACTGGCAACCTGATCGCGAAGTTGACGACAGCGCAGATCGCGCGCGGCAAGGACCCGATGGCTAAGGCTGTGAGCGCCTCTCTCAAGGCAGCCATTGACGACCTAGCGAAGACCAACAAGGCCAACATGATGCTCACGGCGGGAGCACCCGCTACTGATGCCAACAAGGCGGCGGGGCTGTTCAATCCAAACACCGAGAAAGCGAAGACCTTGCTTGCCAAGGCCAAGTCGTTCACCACGTAGGTTGGCAGTGTCAAGCCGTTCGCCAAGAGTTCCACGCTCGCAGACTGTCATGATCGCAGCCACCGGCAGCGTCTACAACGCGACGCAAAGGCTGGCGCCGCCGACAGCCGACCTGGCTACAGGCGCCGCCGACAGCCGACCTGGCCACGCTTCCGTGGCATTACTCCTGTAGGGCGCGTTTCTCGGTCGCCGTGCTTTTTTGCCTCTCGAACTGTCGCGAGAAATCCAGACCCGCGCTGCGGCGCGTTCCCCGCCCGCCAGCACCGCAGGGCCTGGACATCATCACCATCATCAGTTAGCACCGTCCACAGCATTCATCCACCATTCCCCAGTGGGCCTAGGCGCCCCAAAACCCCCGAGGAGCCCATGGGAGACTCGCTGGCCCCTCGAGGAGTTGCCAGTGACACTCCGAGACTTCCCCAGCTGTTCCTCTCATGTGGTTAAGTGCAACTCACTTTCACGTCCCAGGCTGTTCCAGGGCCTTAGCAACGCCTGCGTAGGATTGGACGGGGCGTCTCCGGGCCAGGATGGCTTCCGAAGGGTTCCCGGTGGGCAAGGGCCTCTCAGGGCCCAGAGGACTTCGGAGCCCCTAGCGGCTCACATGAGGGAAGGTTCGGGCTTCTCAAGGCCTTAGAGAGTTCCAATTGGGTTCAACGAGGGCCAGGGCGGCGCGGATTGCGCGTGGAGACCTGAGCGAGTCTGGATATGATGATGCGTGGGCATGATGGCCCTTGCACTCGTTCGCCTCTCCCGTTTGCCATTTACGTCTCAGGTCCAGACACTTACTTTGTTATGATTCACACTAATCTTGTATACTAGCGAAAGCATTCCCAAATTCCATACTGAATGGATCTCGACGATTCCATCGCAACTTATCTCTCGGAGCATGGGTGCTCTCGGCAAGCGAGCCATGCTGCGATGATGCAGCATGCAATGCTCGCCGACTGCGGCGATGGCGTCTCGGCTGGCGGTCCGTCTAGCGAGCGCGTGGTCATGGGGATCTCGTCGGCGAACACAGGGCAGTGGCTCGCAGGTGATGAGTTTGTTTTCAACTGGGAGGGATCGCATCTCACATGTGCGGCTTTGCTCACATGTGCGGCTTTGCCGCAGATGTGAGAATCCCCGATGGTTGATTGCAAATTCACGCGGGGCGCTTCTGGGCGGATTGGATTTGGCTGATACCGAGCGCCCGGCGCAATGCGGCCCGCACGGGGCCCGCAGCGGCAACGTTCGTCAAAGATTTGAAGAGACAGTTTTTCAATAAGTTGTCGGAGCCGAGGCCGGTGTCTTTGGATGTCCCCGCCAGAGTCGTTCGCGCTTTGCGCGGCCCCGCCTGCCCCCCGGGACGACGACGACGACGACGAATGCGACGGCGACGACGACGACGAAGACGACGACAACGACGAGCACGACGACGAGGCCGGCGACGACGACGACTACGACGAAGACGACGGCGACGACGACGACGCCAAACGTGAATGCCCGAGGCGCACCACCACGGCGACGACGACGACGACGACGACGCCACAGACCCCTCCCCTGCCCCACCGAGGGGGCATTGTGGGGGTGCATTTTTGGGGCGCGGCAGTTGTGGGATTGCAAAAGATTTCCCCCAAATCGAACCCCCCCCCCTGCATACATAGATAGTCACAAATATGGGTTAAAGGGCGGGGAAAAAAAACCTTCACAGGGGCTGCACAAACCGCCCCGACACCTCGCCGCCCCTTCCCAGACACATTGGGGTGGGGGGCAGGGATAGGGGCGAAACCCGCCACGAAGGGGAGACATTTGGTGAACAACTGAACCCCCCTAGACCACTCACGGCCCACAGGGCAGGGTGGATTTCAGCCACGCGAGTCGAGGACATGCCGACGAGTTTGCTCTCGCCCCTGGATGCGCGCCAATATCTGCACGACCAAAAAAACATATGCGCCCCGAGATATGAGTTCGACATCTTTGCCTCGATCCTTTTGGAAACAAATCGGTCCGACCAACCTAAGCTCATTAAGCATGGTAAATTTGGCATGCGAAAGGACCCGAAATGGATGGACGCGCACGTGCCGATAACACTACACGGCGATGCTGCTCATATTACAAATAACGAAGGGAAGTTGTGATGCGTGCAATGGCGGTCACTCCTGCCACGATCATGTCACGGGCTGGAGCGACAGGTGGCGATGGTACTGCTATCACATGTTGGCGCAGGCTTGTAGAGTTGCTGAACGCTGCATATGACGGAGGCCATTCTCTTACGGACGAGCGCAAGCTGCCGTGGGCACCGCGCACCCAGGCAGATGAAAACAAAGGAAAGAAGTTTCTTGATGGTAAGTATAAGCTGGTTGTGTGGATATTGACACGCGATCTAAAATATGGCGCCAACGAGACCGGGTTCCCGAATTTCAACACAAATCGACCATGTTGGTTCGACAACTATTCCAGGGAAGAAAATACGCCACACCCTATGACAGACGCTCGGTTCTGCGCAGCGTGGAAAGGATCGCGCATTCCTGCGCGCGAAGTGCGCGCAGCGCATCAGCGATCACCCGATTCATTCGATTAACGGCATGTCTAGATTTATGAACCCAGGAGATCTGATGCACACTGGGAATATGGGCGTGCTCAAGTATGTTCTAGTCTCGGTGCTTTACGTGATCATGCATTCACGACGTTTTAGGGGGAGCATGGAAAAACGGTGCGAAGAGTTTTATGATCACCATTTAGCTCCGATGTATGCAAATCTGGACCCTGTTCGTACTGGTAAGCTAACGCCTGGCATGTTCAGCGTGACAGATAAGTTCCCTGCCTTCTCTGGGCAAGCTGCAGAAACGCAGCGCCTTTTGTAAACGTTGAAGGAATACTGGCTCGAGGCTCGCGATGGCAGTGATCATGACGAGCATATAATGAGGGCATTAGACTGCCTGTGTGACTGCTGGCGCACCCTGGGGAATGGGCCCACGACTCCTCGCCTCGAAATTTCGGTTCGCGCGACCACCTTTGTCGAAACGTTTACGCAGCATGGCAATGTGAGCTTTGCTCTTCCTCGCGGCCAGGCGGGCGCTCAGACGCCATTCCAGTAGCCGTTCCCCCGGCAGCCAGGAACGGAAATGCAAGAAGCCGACTCGGGGTCAGTTGCATGCTCGGCGACTCGACAACTCCGAGACCTCTGCGCAGATCCGCAGGAAGGGAAATAAAGGGGGGGAGCTCGAGCCAACGAGGTCACGGAGAGAGACGAGACTCCGCGACCCCAAGGCGGCCATTCCCCGAGACTTCAAACTAAAAATATCGCGATAAACACATGGCACGTGAGCTTTGCTATTCTTCGAGGCCAGGCGGGCACTCAAATGCCATTCCAGTAGCCGTCTGCCCAGCAGCCGGGACGGAAAAAGCAAGAGGCCGACTTGGGGTCAGTTTCAAGCTCGGCGACTCGACAACTCCGAATTTGCTGTGCCCAAAGAACACACAGGCCGCAGGCTTTGAAATATTCAACCGCATGCTTGGGATAGCGGGCGGAATATTGCTTCGGCGAAGCTCTGAACAAAGGCAGCGCACAGACGAGGGGGGCAAGGCCCCAAGAGCTTACTTCGATTGACGCCACAAGGGCGGCTGCCAATTATCTTGACGCGTCGCTCGCCAGAGAACGAGCAGGCGCCCCGGCCGCAGCGAGTTTTTTCCCCCCCGAGATGGCCGCGCGAAAGGTGGGCGCAAAGAAACCTGGTGCGCTTGCGCCAAGACGCCCCCCAGGCGCAGTAGTCAGTGACACGGACATCGACGCCCCGAGTCTTAGCGAGGCTCTCGAACGCTCGCACATTCCAAAAAGGACTGGCGCGATGGGGTTCTCGACAACACAAGGGATGCCCAGCCTTCTGCAGAGGTCGACGAGGCTGGAAACACACGCACACAGGCAGTCGGCCATGTTGACGACGCGATGGTCTGACGGAGAGAGGGGGGGGAGGCCGAGAGGGAAGGCCCAGGACCGAAACGGCGAGAAGAGGCACTGGAGGGCCGAGAAGGAGCAGCAGGGAGGAGCCAGCCAGACAGCAGCGATGAGACCAGCGCGCGCCCAGCCCCGAATTTTTGCTGACAAGAGTCTCACTCAGGAGATCGAAATGCGCACCATGCCGGATGTCGACCTCAACTATCTTAATGTGCTTCAGGCACGAGCGGCGCCACGCGCGAGACACGTTGCCTGATCCAGAGAAAAGCTCGAGAGCAATCGGGATTCCACTAAGCGACGCGCGGCGGATGGCATCCTCAAGATCCTGGATCCGATGCTGGCCGCAGCTGCGTGGGCCCGCCGTTGCACGGCCTCTGCCGCCCGCGGCAGCTGCGCGGGCAGCAGGCCGCTCCGCTCGCACCGTCACGCGCTGCTGTCTGACGCCCAACGCCCCCGCTACTGGATCTCGGCGAGCGGACGGGCGCGGGTGGCCAACTCGTGGCTGGCCCCCCCGCGGCGCTGGCACAGCGCGAGCTGTCCCGGAGCGCCGAGGACCACGTCGACCGCGGCCAGGGTGAACAAGGCGGCCCAGGTCGCGTACTTCAGGTCGGGCAGCGGCTGCGCGCCGCCGCGGTCGGCTCGGAGGCAGGTCAAGAGGCCGTCCACCTCCGAGAACTCTGGGTAGTCGAGGCTCAGCGACTCGTTGAACTCGCCTGACTTGGGCGGGGCGCGGTTCTCCGACGCGCCCAGCAGCCCGGCCCACAGCGAGAGAGCCCGCGGGCCGCCGCGTGGCGGCGGGGCGGCATCCTTCGCACGCGGGCGGAGGAGCTCGGACGGCCGGGTGTAGGACACGAAGCACAGGAGCGTCGCCATCAGGTCCTGCCATGCCAGGGACGGACCCCACTGAGCTCGGGAGGCCATCGAGAACTGCTCGTTGGGGCGGGATGTCACCGCCGAGTCAAACTGCCATGCATTGTTGATCGCCAGGCCCGTCTTCACGCACCTCTGACAGAAGAGGCTCGCAATGCGTCTGTACGGGGCCTCCTGGGGCCCCCTCACTGTGCTCTTCTTGGGCATGGTCGGGCCGTGCCTCGTCGGTCCCGGGCCCCTCGCGGTAGCCCCTGCGGCGCCGAGCTGCTCGATCGGTTCGCAGGTCTGCCCCGATCTCACGGGAGGGCCGCGGCGGCCGCGGCTGACTCGCCGCCGGCCGCTGGCGGAGGCTCCGCCTGGTCGAGGCGGCTGGCCCAGGCCGGGCCGAGGACGAGCTCGTCCGCCGGGCCGACGTCGCCGCCGAAGGCCCGCCCGAGCCGCGCGGCGAACGCGCGGACACGGCGGCCCCGCTGGCCGTAGGCGCCCCCGCCCTCCGGAGCATGGCGCGGCGCTGGCAGAGAGACCGGCTGCGGATCGGCCTCTCTGGGCCGGGGCGAGGCCTCAGCCCACTCCCCCTTCTTGCATCTTGAGCAGCGGCCAGCAGGATCACGTTCTGACGGGATCCAGCGCCAGCGAGACGCCATGCCGAAAGCCAGGTTCAGGGTGGATATCTGCCAACCAACTCTCGTCTGCTTCGAGGGTGATCGCCCCTTGGACACGGCAAGGACGCTGGCCATGGCGTCGCCCAGGAACAGGTCGCCCTTCCCAAACTTGCTCAAGGCTCTCGTTTTGTGGAGGTGGGCCAAGACCATGGCGCAGCCCTCGAGGATCACCTGGGCCTCCGAACGGGCCCACCTCGCAGCCAGGGCACGGCACTATTCCACACCCAAAACGTCAGAGCCGATGTCAAGGAAGTCCAGGGAGCCGGGCAGCTGAGCGGGGACCGAGGGGACATCGGGACTGGACCCTCGATGGCGAAACCTCCGAGAGCAGCCAGCGAAAGAGCATGATCCCGAGGGCGATAGCCCGCGTCATCTTGCCGAGAAAACCTCCACCTCTCGTTGAACCGACCGAGCGACTTGACGATGTCGAGCGGCACCCTCTGCAGGACTACACAGCCCCACCCCCCAAGACGACGCGTCGACGACCAGGTCGTCTTCGGACCCGGCCGCCCCGAGATCCCGAGAAGCGAGAAGTATGAGCCCAGCAGCCCAACCAAGTTCACGTCGAACAGAGCCCCACAAACGCTGGCGACGGGGCCGAGCGGCAGCTGCGAAGGAATAACACGCAGAAGAACACAGTCAACCATTCACGGCGCAGAAGAGCTCGAGTAGCATAATGAAACATAACAATGGTTATCGCGTCAGCACTAACGTGCACCTCGGCGAGAATATGCTGGATTGCTAAACGGATCTCCCAAGCAATGCGGGGGCTCAGCCCGACCGAAGCGCTCTCCTCAGCAAAGGTCCACCCTATCGCAGCGGCGCCAGGGCCTGCCCCCACGGGGCGGGTGGGAAAGTCCACTGGTCCAACTGCTGCTGCGCCCCCTCTTCCGCGGCTCTGACGACCTCCTGATCCTTCCCGAAAGCGAAAAAGTTATCGACCTACTTGGCGTGGGCGCAAGGAACCAGGCTGGGAAAGGGAAAGGCGATCAACGACGGCGTTCTTTTCGGCGACGCCGGAAACGAGGCGGGCCCGATGTCCCAACGCCTGCTGGCAGGCCCACAGAGAAAGCCCCAGCCCATCGGGGTCACCTTCAGGGCTGGATAAAAGTATTGACCCCGTCTGACGGCTCGACCTTGGGCCGACGAGACTATCGCCGGGTCGGCTCAGACTCGAGGGAGGGCGGACATCTCTCGGAGGGCTTCTGGAAACTGCACGTTATAGAAGGCGTTTACGACATCGACCGAGCCGACCTGGACTGGCGCGGCGCCGTCAACCCCGACGGTGGAAAAAGCGGCCCCCGAGGCAAGCGGCACAGGCTCACTGTCGCCTAAGTGACACGATGGAAATCGCCCATCAACTATCAAACGAAGGTGACCTGATTTCTTATATGCAAAGAACAGGCGGCACGAGACCTCACCCGTCAAGTGCCACTCGACCAAGTCGGAGTCGGCCATCCCACAAGGCCGGCGACCGTTTGAGAGCGGGGTCGGAGCAAGGTCGAGCGGGCCCACGAAGTCTAGCGTTCTTCCTGCCAATGGATTCAAGCAAGCGCAGATGAATTAACCGCTCAGCAATCTCTTTGCCCCGATCTCCTGCCAGATGCTCGAGTGATCGCGAAGTCGATCCAGCCGCCGGCAAGTCGATCAAGTGGACGGCGCCCATGCTGAGGGCAGCGATCACGGCGCCCTCGCCGCAAACACTCTTCGCCTGGATCGCTCGAAGGGACCCCGGGCCACGTCCGGCGGCGGGCCCAGGGCCAAGACGGACTGGCGCGTCATGTTGAGGCTGGCCCGCTGGCTTGCCGAAGGCCCTCTGTTCGACCGCGGACAACGCGAGCCGAGATACATGTCATTCAGCGCGCAGGCGATCTCATCGCACACAAAATCAACGTGCTTGGCGCGCTGAAGCCGGCGACGAGTAGACCTGCCAAGATGCGCAGCAGCTCTGCAGAAGCCTCGGTCCAAAACTGGCGGGGGGCGAGGAAGAGGCAGCAAGTTTCGCTGCCGCTCGTCGCCCCGAGAAAAGTGGCTGTGAACGGGCTGCCTCCCGGACGCCAGGCCAGGAGGCCCTCCCTGAAAGTGCTCGTGCCGGGGCTGGCTGAGAGGTCTCTCCAGCCCCGGCGGGGCGTGCATCACCCCTGATCCTGATTGTCCTTCTTGAGAGGCTTGACCAGCTTCGCCCTCTCCTCGCAGGCCCTGCAGACATGCACGAAGATGGTGACGTTGCACTCGATCTCCGAGGCCGCAACTCGGGGCTGACCATGGCCATGACTGGCCCTTTCGCCACGTCCGAGACGATGGCCGACTCGTCGAAGACCGCGGGCTGGAGGGACACCGAACCGCCGGCTTTGCCCTTGCCATCGGCCCCCGGTCCGCGCGTGGCCAAGTAGTCCATGTGGTACCCGTACTCCACCAGCAGCGCCCTGCGGAGGGGCAGCTCGAAGAAACCACTGTTGCCGACGTCGATCATGTCATACCTGACGCCCTCGTCCAAGCATCTCTTCGTCGCGCGGTGGGCGTCGACGCACCAGTCGTCGGCCCGCAAACCGAACGTCATGATCAGAGACTGGTCGTGCTCGAGCGGGCCCCCGTGACACCAGAAGAGCCACTCACCACACCACTTCACCGTCTTGAGCGCCGGCACATGCCGGTCGGGGAAAGGCGACTGGCGGAGCTCCACGGCCAAGGGGGCGAAACGTCCACGATCTCGGTCCCTGTCGGCGGCGAGCGTCGCCCTGCTGAGCCTGAAGTCGCGGCGGCCCTCCATCGTCTTATACTCCTCGACCAGCGGCGCCTGGAGATCTCAGACCAAGGCCGAAACGCCTAGGGGAGTGGTAGGGATGCCGACGTTCACTTGCACGATGTCCGCCGCCGCCACGCCGACGGGCGTGCCCCGGGGGGCGAAGGTGGTCGACTCCACGGTCATCCCCTGCGCCCTCGCCGAAGTCCCGTCCAGCAGCATGAAGTATACGTCGGCGTCTGGGGTCGCCCACTCGACCTGGTAATCATTGAGTGGTGTCGAACCCGCCGGCTGCGAGTGGCCCAAGACATGTCGCTGCTGCCCCACGTGGTCCCCGAAGAGCAGGATCCATCCCCAGAGCTGCACGACCCCTGACGCCATGGCGGCGCTCGGTCGCGACGCACGCCATGCCGAAGAACCAGTTCGCGATGAGGCAGCTGCAGGTCGTGGCCAATACGGCGGCGTCGACCCCGTAGTCACGGAGCCACCTGAAAGCTGGGTCGACTGACTCAGCAGGCGACTCGGTCGAGGGGCAGGGCGTAGCTCAGGGCAGATCGTCGCGGTCGGTCCTGGCGATCCGGGGCACGCTGGGCAGGCGCGGCGGGGCACGAGAGCTAGCGGGAGTATGGCGGGCACTCTGGACTCGACGGAACTTCAGGCAAAGGCTGAGGCGTGAGACGGCGCCCGCTGCCAACCACTCGGTCATACGGTTCGACGCTGAGCCGTGCGTTCGCTTGAGCCAACGAGGCCACGGAGAGAGACGAAACGCCGCGACCCCAAGGCGGCCATTCCCTGGGACTCCAAACTAACAATATCGTGAGAAACACTTGGCATTGGCTGTGTAAGCATTGGGCTGTTAAGGGGCGAATGTGCTTCCATCATACAGCTAAGTTTCACATGATGGTTCACATTGCAGAATTGTCCAGGTGGTTCAACCCTACATGGATGTGGTGCTTCATGTGGGAAGATGTCATTGGCAAGCTCGTGCAGTGCGCTCGAGCTTCAACCGCTGGTACCCCACCGGACAGAGCTCCATTCAAAGTCATGGAGTGTTTTTTATGAACTTACACTCGAAATTGCATGTCGGTAGCGCAATGATGTAGGAGGGTCCAATCGAGCGAACCCATTCATCGTTTGCTTGCGCTGGAAATCCGATTCTGGCAATTGCACTGTTTGTATGTATCTGGCTTCGCCATGCTCGACCAGCCCATCCTACAACAATTTTAACGAGTACTACGTTCTTGGGGGTTCTAGGGACGTGCTTGGGGCCTTCTGGGGACGTTATGGGGGCCTTCTGGATACGTGATTGGGTCCTGCTGGGGGCTTTCTCGGGGTTCCTTCGGGACGTTCTTGGGGCCTTCTGGGGAGCGCTTTGGGAAGGTGTGGGAGGTCTCCAGGGACCATCTCCGAAGCCACCGAGCCAAACGGGGGCGGGCGGAGCGGGGGGTAATTATTGGGGCCCCTTCGTCGTGGGCACGATCCTTGTGAGGGAATGTACACCCTGCGAAATGCTTAAGAAATCATGGGTTAAGAAATTCATAGTCTCAGAAATTGAATAAAACCCAGAAATTCTATCAAAATCTTGGGATTTACATTGAAACGTTAAGAATAATCGAGACTCTGGCGGAAAACTTAGGTTTTCTTAAGCATCGCATAAGGTGTAAGAATGCATTCTCCCGCAAGGAAAAAAACGTTCCGATGCTTCGCGGGCCCTTCACCTCCTCCCCTCCTCCAGGCCCAGAGGAAGGGGCAGCAGGGCGGTTAAACGCTTCGCCGCTGGAGAACCAGGGGGGGAGGTGGACAGAGCATGCCACCGAAAACTCTCACGCCCACTAGGCTTGCTGGATCTGATGATAGTGAGTCTTCCGAAACTCCCGCCCCACACATGCATTGAAGTAACCTGCGAAAGCATAGCAACCGATGCACCCGACATGGGCTAACAGGTAGAATCGGAAGCACATCAGGTTGTTATGATATTATAGATGCGAAATTAATACAATAACGAAACACATAGTTTTTATAATGATAGTAAAAAGTCAGGGTAATGTCAGTATAATTGTATGTGTTGTTGGGCAACAACATATACAACCATTGGGAATTATTTCCCTAACTTCTCCAGATCCTCAAGATGAGAATACCGATCCCCAACTCTTCTGGATTTCTGGAATTCTTCAAGATTCTCCATGACTTTTTCAAGATTTGGATTCTCCGGGGGGGGGGGGTCGAACCAGTAATGACCCCCCCACCTTTTCATGATGGACTGGGGGGGGGAGGGGTTCGAACCGGTAGTGACCCCCCCCCCCCCGGTTTTCCAGATGGGGGGGTTTCGAACCGGTAGTGACCCCCCCCCTGGTTTTCTGCCAGCAGCGGTAGAACACGCTCTTTCCATCATCATCATCATCATCGGCAGCATCAGCAGCAGCATCATGATCATCGTCGTCGTCATCATCATCATCATCATCATCATCATCATCATCATCATCATCATCATCATCATCATCATCATCCTCATCATCATCATCATCATCATCATCATCATCAACAGCAGCATCAGCATCATCATAACCACCATCATCTCGTCTCATCATCATCATCATCAGCATCATCATCATCATCATCATCATCATCATCATCATCATCATCATCAGCATCATCATCATCATCATCATCATCATCATCATCATCATCATCATCATCATCATCATCATCATCATCATCATCATCATCATCATCATCATCATCATCATCCCGCTCCCCCTTCCCTCCTCCTCCGCTCCCTCCTCCTCCACCTCCTCCATTCCTTCTCCTTATACATTAACTCCTCCCTGCAACACCCCGTAGCCAGTCGGAAAGGCGGGCTGGGCGTTTCGCCTAAGACTTCCTTTCCAAGTATGGGACTGAAGCTGAAACAATGACGACCGTTTCACAAATGGTGGGCGGGTTGCATCCAACAGGTCCTCGCCTTAGCGCCGCGCACATTCGCATTGAAACTTACAAGAGCTCCAAGGATTGAGGGCGGGTGGTTTGCAAAATGTGGGTCTCGCCTTAGCGCCGCGCACACTCGTCTTACAAATGTGCAAGAGTACCACGGATTGAGGACAGGTAGTTTTCAACATGTAGCACTCGCCTTAGCGCTGCGCACATTCGTCCGAAACAAGTGCCAACAGCTTCACGGATTGAGGGAAGGACGATTTCAAATGTGACTCTCGCTTTAGCACCGCGCACATTCGTCCGAAACACAATCAAGAGCTTCACGGGTTGAGGGCGGTTTATTTTCAAAATGTGGCTCTCGCCCTAGGGCCGCACACCTTCGTCGTTTAAAAGTATAAGAGTTTCACTGGTTCGCGTGGTTAACGTGCCAAACATGATGTTTTGCAACGGTTCAGGACTGCCAGGGCGCAACAGTCACATTGATTCGCGGTGCTGAAGTCCCAGGAATGCCCAGATCAACCCTAAGGTGAGCCCCGCAACCTGGTCCTCCTCTTCTTCTCCGGGACCTCCAACGCATCGAGAAACAAAACCACGGCAGTGAATTCTCGTTTTCGGCGTCTGCGGGTCCTCGCCAGGCCTAAGGACTTTCAACAAACACTAGCCAGAACGAAGTCGGGGACGCACTGGCCCGGGTCAAGCCAAACCCGTGTCAGTCAGGCCTTGCAGCGTACAAGATGCTGCAGGATCCTGCACCCAAACCTGTGTCAGTGCAGCCTCGGCTCTGCAGGATCCTGCAGTATCTGGCGCTCTGACTGACCCCCGTTTCCATTGACACCCGTCTCAAAGCCCCGACGTAAAAAAGAACCGTCCCTGGTGCCCTGGCAGTGGTCCCCGGATGGGAAAAACAAGACGTCGAAAGTCTGGGACCGAAGCCGAGCATGAAAGCGGCTACACGCAAGAGTGACCCTGGACAAGAGTGACCTTTGGTGCGCGGCTTTTGGGGAGCCGCGGGGGGGGCTAAAGCCAAGCGCGCACGACACAACTACCGTATCGCAATCGGCGATCGCCCCCGACGCATGCGACGACGAGTGCAACGACGACGTCGACTACAACGACGAGCGACGAAGACGTCGAATTCCAAGCTTATCCGGGTTACCGTGTTGCCCAGGCTTGTGAGGGACCCCAGTGGGACCGCACTAGGGATCACTCCGGCGAAGGGTCATTCTTACGAGCAGCCGAAGGACAGTGGGCGAGGAGAGCGGGCCAGAGGTCTTCCTCCCTCCTCCTGGTCCTCCTCTTCTCCTGGCGCCAAGCACAGACGCGGACAACAAAAGCTGGCAAGGGGAGGGGGTGGGGTCCTCCTGCGGCGAGCGAGGGGGGTGGGAAGTGAGAAGGAGAAGGCCTTTTCAGAAGGCGGCGGGCTTCTCAGAAGCCGTTCCTGTGGTTTCGGGGAAGGCTTGGGGGGCTTCTCAGAAGGTCGGGGGGACTTCCGAGCCTTCTGAGAAGAAGGCCCACCCATTCTCGCTTCCCCCCCTCGCTCGCCGCCGACACTCCTGTCCCTCATCTTCTTCTCGGCGCCAAGCACGAACATCGCAGCAAGGCAATACACAATGCATTCAACTGAAGACGAAGAGGATGAGGAGGACTGGGTGCCATGCTCTCCTGGCGTCCTTGCGATTACTGCAGAAATTGACAAGTTGCCGCGCACACCCGGGTGAACGGCACCATTTCCCCACTTCCCGATCCCGCCCCTCCTCCTCCACATACCTCGTTCTCGTCGCCTCAGCCAGGCCGCCTCGGCATGCGCTCGAGGAAAAGTCGAGTGCCAAACTTTGAGAATGTGGGAGGGTCTTAGCGGGCTTCGGGGAGATCAACGTTTTTTGTCCTCAGGGATTCTAGGCGGTTCTACGGGGCACCGCCTCTGGCGTTCAAATAAATTCTGGGCGAGGATGACGGGAGGGCGCACCGTCCAGCCAGCGTGGACACACGGAGCATACCATGACAAACGAACTGATGTGCCACTGGTCGTGGTTAAAATGCCCCGATCGTCCACGTCGCCGGCCGTATACCCGAAGCCTGAGGGCGCTACCGCCTGCCACTCCTGATGCCCACGGCTCCAATATGTACGGCACCGTCTCTGGTGACTCACGCGGCACCCAAGATCTCGCACAAAAACCTACACCTGACAATTACTACAACAAGCTGGTTGCACGAGACTTCTGCAAGTCCCCAAGAATTGCCCCCGAGACCGCATCCAAGCACGGTGGCGGTGCGCGCCTCTGGCTACCATGTGCTGGCTGGTATCGGTCCTCCTACCGCCCTAGCCTAGCTGGACTCTGATCTGTCTGTTCTCCACGTCTGGATTTGCACTCACCCATCTCGCTCTCACTCTGTCTCGGTCTCTTTCCCTCTGCGTCTATCTCTCTCTCTCTCTCTCTCTGTCGCACGCTGGTCCTGTCTCTCTCTCTCTCTCTCATATGTCCCTCTCCCTCTCTCTCTCTCTCTCTCTCTCTTTATTTTGTTGTTCTCTCTCTCTCGATCCCTTTTTCTCTCTCTCTCTCTCTCTCTTTATCTCTCTCTCTCTCTCTCTCTCTCGCTTCATTTATGTATATATATATATATATATATATATATAGAACACTAGCTGTGTTTTTGTTGTTGTTGTGTGTGTGTCTCTCTCTCTCTCTCTTTCTCTCTCTCTCTCTCTCTCACACGCTATGTATGTGTATGTACAAAGGTGTGCCCCTCTGTCTCATTGGTTGACTCTCGAATACACTTCGCAAATACGATATGGTAACTCGCTATGAGCTCCATACTCACATGTAGGCTATGAACGAGGTCTCTATGTCTCTCTATATCTCGCTCTCCCCCTTCTTCCTCTCTCGTGTTTTGTGTTGTTATCTCTCCGTTAATCGCTCTCTCTCCCTCTTAAAGTTGTGTTCTCTCTCTGCCTCTGTTTTACTTTGTCTCTAGTTCTCTCTCTCGCTCTCTCTCTCTCTCTCTCCCTCCCTCCCTCCCTCTCTCTCGCTCTTTCTCTCTTTCTCTTGTTCTATATATATCCCTCTTGGCATCTATCATTTGTATGTTTAGTATCTATTATTGGCATCTATTACTTTGTTCCGAGACACGAAGTGGAGTGCCCTCAGGTCCCTTGCTCGATCCTGGGAGCCTCAAGCCTGACTCCTGCGGAGTCGATCAAAAGCGCGGAACCCCAATGTCCCGAAATTCTTGGAGGGCGCCGCGGCTCTCCCGCGGCTTGTCGCAGCTTCCTGCGTGACTGCGTCGAGCCCGCGGGGGCCCCAAGACGGGCTAGGAGGGCCCCAAGAGGCCCCCACGACGGTCCAAGAGGACTGGGAGTCGGCGAGAGATCGCTCGAAGACGCACAAGATTACCCCCACACGGCTCCTTAGGCCTCCAAAACGCCCCAAGAGGCCTCCAAGAGCACTCCCAAGAGGGCTTTGAGAAGCAAGCCTCATTGATTTCCCTGTATCGATTGAACTAGTCTAGCGCTTCCGCTGCAAAACAGCAAAAGAGGCCCCCAAGAGCGCTGCAGAACGGCCTACTGGGCATCCAAGATGGCGCCAGCCGCCGAGGCCCACAAGAGGGCCCAAGAGGCCCCCAAGACGGCACAAGAGGGCCCAAGAAACACCTCAAGAGGGGCGAAAGAGGGGGGACACAGACTGACATTTGGCGCCCTACGCACCAAGAGAGCCCCTGAGACCGCTAGCAGGGCCCCCGGGAGGCCCTCACAAGGCCGCCATAGTCCCAAAACAGGCCTCAATGGGCACCACAACAGCCCCCAGGAGACCTCCAAACTGCGCCCAAGGGGCTCCCGAAAGGCATCCCAAGCGACCCCAACAGGCAGCCCTGAGGACACTGACCCACAACCCACGGTGGCGGGTTGGACCGAAGGCCATTCGGATCCGCCGTCCCCTGTTGTTTGCCACAGAAGGCCCCAAGAGGGCCCGAACACGGCCCCAGAGGCCATCGAGAGGCCTAGGATGGCCCCCGAGACGGCCCTGAAGCACACCAAGAGGGCACCAAGTCGGTTCCAAAAGGCCCCCGAAACGCCTTCTGATAGTGTTGGGGGCATGGAACGCCCCAAGATTGCCAAAAAGACTCCCAAGAAGCCCCGCAAGGCCCCCAAGAGGCCAGAGAAGGCCCGCAAGAAGTCTCCAAGAGGCCCATAGGAAGCTCCTCCCAGGAGGCCCCAAGAGTGCCCCACGTGGCTCCCAAGTGGCCTCCTCCTCCTCCTCCGTCTCTTCCTCCTTGTTCCCCCCCCCGAAGGGTTTCCACAACGGATGGGGGAACACATGGTCCAACAGCTTGGCCAAGCTTAGCCCGAACGTTTGGCCACATAGGCGTATCTTAAAAGGCAGGGGGCGGCGGTGATTCGCCGCAGGCGTCTTCGATCCGCCGCCCCGTTGGTCCTCTTGTTGAAGCTTCCCAACGGGGTCTCGGCCGATCGCGTCATCCACCCGGAAGGACCCACAAGGCCTGGGACAAACACTCGACAACTCGCCTCGGAGACGGCCAAGCCCCCCCGACCCACTTGACCCCCGGGCGAGGCCAGGCGGGGCCAGCCGTGCACTGGCAGGCCAAGCGAAGGGCCGTGAATTGGGCCTTGTGCCGGGAGCAGAAAGGGACAAAAAACCCCTCCTCCCTCGACCGCCCAACCAGAGGTGTTGACACCGGGTGCTCCTCTGCGGGTGAAGGGCAGGGGCCCCGCAATCCAATGGTGCCGAGCTTTCGGCCGGCGGTCATCCCGCCGAGGCGTTCCGCCCCGCAGCTCTCGACGGTGGGCCCCTCGCTCTCCGAATCAACCTGTCGACCCCTGGGGCACCCGTCCTGGAGGCTGCGCGCGCGCCCGTAGCAGGAGGCCCATGCCGCGGTGATCCCGCACAGGGTGAATGCCCACCCGAACGGGTGGAGCACCAGGCCCCCCACGTGCGCCCCCGGCTTGATCAGCACCCAGGTAGGACCGGCGAAGGGGGGCGGGTCCATCCGCACCCAGAGGGGTCGCGCACTCGATCCCAGTGCAGAAGTAACGCCACGCCCAGAGGGGGTTTGGCATCCCCAGTGCGGCGAAAGAACACCGCCCGATCTAAGGCATTCTCCCAGAACCGGCGCAGCGTCGGGGACTGACAATAGAGGACCCTCCCACATGGTTAGACCTGCCCCGCCTTCCTCTCCCCTGGGATCGGGTGCCCCACCCCCTTCGATAGGCGGGCGAGCTCCCCCTCGATGACGCTGAGGAGGTCGTTGGGGCGTCGGTGGCCGCAGACGCCCCGCCCCCGGACTCTCTTCTGGAAGAACTCGTTGGCGGGCACTGCAGCATGATCCCCAGGGTGCCCCAGAGCGAACGACCCAGGAGGTAAGCCAGCCAGCCTCCCAAACGCACGAAGCGCCAATCAAGCGCCGCCTCCCCCCGCGGGGGATCGGGTTCCGGACCTGGGGGGTCGGTGGCGCCGGTGCCCCTGCGCCGACGTCCGATATGTTTCGGCCCGTCGGTGGGCCACCAGGTGCTCCCCAATTCCCCCAGGAAGGCCCAGGATCTCATCCACCATCCATTCGCCTCCTCCTCCTCCTCCTCCTCCTCCTCCTCCTCCTCCTCCTCCTCCTCCTCCTCCTCATCCTCCTCACCCAGGTCATCGGCCGCCTCAACCTCATCCTCGTAGCCAGGCTCTTCCTCCTCGGGGGGGCTGAGGGGGGGCCCCGGTTCTTCCTCCCCCAGCATCCGGGGGGGAGGCGGGACAGCATGGAGCAGCGTGGTTCCTGCGACGGCCCCTGCCGCCCTGCTGGCGACTCCCGTGGATTGCCGGCCGATGGGCTGGGAAGGGGCCCGGGTCAGCCTCGCCGCCCCCACCCCAGCACCAGAGTATCAGCAGGAGGGCTCAGCCACCCCTCCCCAGGGGTGGGGCCCACATCGCTGGGTTCAGGGGGGTCGCGCCCCCCCTTTGCAAAAAGCTATTGCCAGCGCCAGCCCAGACGGCTGCGGAGGGGGATAATGCAAGGAGAAGAGGGAAGAGTAGCAGGCGTGCGTGAGCCTGGAATCCTCACGTTACAGCGCGGGCACTCCAACAAAACCAATATCTTGCTTCTTCCTCCTCTCCCCCCTCCCCGCCCCCACACAACCCATCTCATCCCCTCCCACCGCCTCTCATCGCCCCTCCTGACCTCCGTCATCATCACCCCATGCCGCTCCCGCAGCCTGCAGCACGGGTGTGTTCTCGGAGTCCTGCGAGATCAGCCACGCAGTGACGCAGGAAATCAACACCACTATGGCCTCCGGAGAGGGGAACGGGCCCTGTGGCATCCGTCCCTCCTTCACTCCCTCCCCATTTCCCCATCCCTCCACCTCGATCGCCCCATGCCTCGCCCTCTCCCTCCTGCCCTCGCGTGTCCCCCCTTTCCGCTCTTCCTAGGAGGAAAACAAACCTACCTCGCTTTTGACCACCCTCGCTTCCAAGAGATACCAAACGATGCCAAATTGCAGCCTGTACTGGTCAGGCCGCTTGACGAGGAGGCGCGTGGTATGGCTTGGTTTTGCCTGGAAGCGAAAGCGGGGGAGGTAATTTACGCTCTGACTTCCTGCCTTTCCAGGGAGACCGCAGGTCCGCCCCAGCCTGCCCACCCTCTATTCAAGGGACGCAAGGACACGATGGCCGTCGACCTAGCCTAGGCGCCACCTAAGTTCGCGCATGGCACCCGGCCATGGGCGACGCGCAATTATCTTCGCGCCCCCGTGCCGCCCCCTCGGAAGCGCAGCTCTACGACCCAGACCTCGACGCGCAAAGCGAGGTTACCTTCGCGTTCTGGGAGGACCTAGCTCTACGTACTCAGCAAAAGGTGTCCCGACATGGTCCACCTCAAAGTCACTGTGCGGTGGACCGTGTCTGACCACCAAAGAGATAGCTGAGCGGAATGGACTGGGCGCGACCCCCCATGTAACTATGACCAACACGCCAGCGCAAGCGGCGAGCGAGACCGCGCCTCCAGACCGCAGCTTGCGGAGCGCGCCTCTCTGACGTCGACGCCCTTTCGCCCTCCCAATCGTCACAACCAGCCCTCCCAATCCTCTGCCAGGGTCTTCTCAATCCGACGTTCGAGCTGGAGCTGAAAACGTCGACGGAGTGCCACTAATGTGGGCACGACAGGGATACACTATCTCACAAATGGAATTGTTATGAGGCGCTGCTGCAGAGCTCGGACATGTTCCCCGAGGCTATTACAGAGGCTATTGTCGAGTTCAGGGCTGGAAAGCGGAAGCTGATCGACGACAACCTCGGCAACCCTGAGACCTTCGAGCTGGCGTACGGGATTCTGCTAGGGCCTCTCCAGCCTGCCAGAGGTGGAGCCGACTGCGTTCTCGTGGGATGATGACGGGTGCAGGTGAGGGAATCCTACCTACACGGATGCGTCGGGGTTGCACAACTCACACCCAACGTTGTGCCGTGTGGGCTGGTCGGTGGTCCAGCTTTGCCCCACGACGGGCTGGCCCATCCGTGCTCGGTATGGTGGACTACCAGGAGTTGACCAGAGTGTTCCTCGTGGAGAGAGACATGCGGGGCTCAAGTCCCTTGAGTATATGAGCAGACCAGGACTTGTCGTGTCAGACCACAAAAGTTTCGTGGACGAGGCGCTGCGGTGGGACCCCTACCTGTCCAGTGCTGCCACCAAGCATGCGTCGATACGGAGAGATAGTTTCACTTTGCGCAAGGAAGGGCGGAGCGGACACGCTTCGAATGGGTTCCTGTTCACACAAATGTGCTAGAAGCTGTGAGGGAGGATCCCTGGCCCACGTTGTGGGAAACGCATGGGCAGATTTGTTTGCATATTGTGGTGCCTGCGACATAAAAGTGGCCGGCACCCTGGCAGAGAACCACAAAGGCCTGCTCAAGTATGCTACGTCGACTACGAGATTCCTCGGCGACATGGTCTCGAGGGCGGTCCGCATGTACAAGATGATAGGTGAAGCTCCGCCTGAGCCGAGGAAAAACGTGCTCCCAGTCATTATCCCTGTCCTTGTCACTGAGCATGGTTTTCATTATGTTGGTGAAAGGGGCCATCCGATGTAGGCATTGCAGTAAAGAAGCTAGGACTCGGGAGTCCTACAGCAAGCTTTTTGCGTTGAGGTGGTCTGGCCGCCCGTTTTGGGTAAGGGCCACAAGGTGGCCCGATGGGGAAACGCTGGGATTAGTGAGATATGTGGTCACTACAGTCTGCATGTGCACAAGTATGCCAGGAAGCGCAAGGAGAACTGCCTTGGGCCCCCATCGGACAAGTCCACGCTTCCCAATGTTCGGTCCCAGCTGCGCAGGTTGAGCTCTGGTCGTGACCCCAGAAGCGGGAAGCCCCTGCCGCCAGACCCTCCCCATGCCGCCCCTGTCAGCGCTGGTGGTCTCAGAGCTGACCCATCCAGCCCACTCGGCCATTCGCGTGTGTCGGCTGGCCTCTCATCGGAGGAAGCCGCCTGCGAGGGAGGGGGAGCGGGCGCGGACGGGGACGGGGGGGTGGAGTCGGGATCTGATTAATACATGTCTGCGCACGAGTTGTTTGCCTCCTGCCTCTCTGCTCCCAGGGGCCCCCCATCCGCGGGTTCTGGTCCCTGGCTGACGCCGTCCGCCCCCCGTCGTAGGATGGGCTTGGTGTGGTCTCGGCTGCAAATTTCGGGCTTGCGGTTGGCCTTTGGGCTGATCTTTCCTCCGATCGACATGGGTTGCTCAATTCGTGAGGCCTTGGGGGTTCCTGAAGCCTCTTCTCTCAATTCGGCCCCTTCCCGTTCCTATGGTTCGGTTGGGCTCCCGCTCTGGACCCTCTTCCCCTATCTCTTCAACGCCGTATCCCTCATTACCACCAGCAGCAGAAGCACAACCGTCACCACTGCTACCACGAAACATCATGATGGTGATCATCATCATCATCATCATCATCATCATCATCATCAGCAGCAGCAGCAGCAGCAGCAGCAGCATCATCATCATCATCATCATCATCATCATCATCATCATCATCATCATCATCATCATCATCAGCATCACCCCCATCAGCAGCAACACCAGCATCATCATCAGCAGCAGTACCACCCTCATCATCAGCATCAGCATCGTCATCCTGATCGTCATCATCACAATCGTCATCATTATCAGAAACAGCATCAGCATCATCGTTAGCATCATCAGCATCATCATCAGCATCATCATCAGCATCATCATCATCATCATCATCATCATCATCATCATCATCATCAACAACATCGGCATCCTCGTCATCATCAGCATCAGCATCAGCATCAGCATCACCAGCAACATCGACAGCAGCAGCAGCAGCACCATCATCAACACCCATCACCATCACCATCACCACCACCACCACCATCACTATCGTCACGTGTCTGTCCCATCGCGTCGCTATTCGAATCAAATCAGCGTCAAATCAGCGAGTCCAAGTCGGATCGGCGTCGGATCAACGTCGAATCCGCGTCGAGCCTGCGTCGAACCCGCGGCGAAAACAAGAAAGGATCGCAATTTGATGGACGGACAGAAACCCCGACGGTGATACGCAACGTCATCATCGTCTGCGTCAGCATCATCAACGCCGTCATCCTCATCTTCATCACCGCCACCACCATCATCGTCATACTCCGCGGCAAGTTCAGCTCAAGCCTGCCTTGGGCGCCAAGGTGGGCGAGGTGCGCACCGCGCCCCTCGCCTTCGTAGGAGAGGGCCGCTCAGTCTCGTTCCCCTCCTGCGCGGCTGTGGCGCTTGCGATGGCACGGGCGGCCGCCGAGCAGGTGGCCACGGCGGAACGCCCGCGCGGAGGCTAAACAACTTCGGCAGAGCGGCGCGCTGCCCAGCGGTGGGCGCGCTAGTCGTCAGAATCGTTGCGGCACGACCTCCGCCGTGAGGCGCAGTTTGGGAAGACTCGCTACGTCCAGTTGGCGGCCTGCTTGGGCGATGGCGAGCTGGCAGAGAGGCCGGCAGCTGCTGCCCCAGCGCTGTGGGAGCTCACGGTCTCCGAGAACGGGAACGGCATCACCACGCCGAGGCGCAACGTCGCGTTGCACGCGAAGGCGATCCCCACCCCGCTGGTTTCCACCAGCCCCGCGGCGCCACGGCGCGCCCAGTGCGGGCCTCGTCCCAGTCACAAGGAGATCGGTGGCAGGGATGATGAGACCCAGCTTTCGGAGGTTGTGTTCTGGGGCGAGCAGCAGGAGCTGGAGAGCTACGTCAACTCCATTGCACTGGCAGAGTACCAGACCTCGAACTTCGGCGAGTCAGCCAGGATCGGCGGCGGGATTGTTCCGACAGTGGGGGCCGCGGTGGAGGACAGCGTCAAGCCCGAGATGCAAGGCGAGGAGGAGGCCCCTTAAGGTCGATGAGAAGCTGATGGAGTGCGCCTCGGTGCTCTCGCCGGTGGCCGCCGCGGCCGAGACCGTAGTCTTGGTGGAGAACGCGGTGGGCGAGCACAAGGACCCCGCGTGCGCGGCAGCCCTCGGAGTGGAGAGTAGCGACGTGAACGAGCGAGGATCGGAGGAACATCACGTTCGAGCGCTGAGCGAGGGCGACCTGGAAGAGGCGACGGAGGAGTCGAATTGCAGTGCTCCTAGGGTCATGGCAGATTTGCATTTCGTGCCACGGCAGATTTGCAGCTGTAGTGCAGCATGATCTGTATAATGCTGATGATAGTGTTTCCACATTTGTTCTACATTTGTGTCCTACGCACCTCCGGGAATATGACTTCTTGCTTGCTTGCTAGGGTCATGTGGGTTCGCGGCCTAGGCAGGGTACAGAGGTCGTCAGCGCGGTCCCTCGACGCAGTTGTTCTAGGTCGAGGCGGAATGGCCAGGTCGTGCCGGTACATGCGGTTCGCCCACGTCTCACGGGCTGATTGCGAGTGGGAGTGCGACGGATGTGGACAGGACATATAGTCTCGGAGCGCCATGTGGGCGTGCAGCAGCTGTGATTTGCTCTTTGTGCGAAATGTAGCTTTCGATGGGAAGTCCTCTCGGAGGTAGAATGATGTTTCGTTCGGCCCCCAGGTCTAGCGAAGTGTGCGCCGCTGTTTGCGCCGCCTCTAGACGGGCGTCGGCTTGCGTGGATATGTTGGGAAGCATGGCCTCTGACCGTTCCGCCAGCGGTCGGGGCGACCTGGGCCGAGCCTCGGCCAGCGGTTGTGCAGCACAACTGCTACAACCAATCATCATCGTCGTACGGCACATCCCTCTCGTACTGGCGCGACACCTCTCCACAAGTGGGCGTGGCCGCCTGGGATGGCACTCCGTCCCCCCGAAGCGCCGCCCAGGGCCCAGGCCGTGAACGCCCGCATCCCCACGCCTCCTCGCCGCCCCGCTGACCCGAGGGAACGCCACTGAGGAAACTCCTGGAAGTCCGCCGGCCCCCCTGTGGGGCCACCAGGCTGCGAGGCACGGGTTCGCAGTTTCCAGTACCAGTTGTAGCTTGTAGTTTCCAGTGTTACAGTTCTGCTTCTTGCTGGTTACTGTAACTAGTTGACTTCTTGCTGGTTACTGTAACTAGTTGATTGACCGCGCGAGGGGGGGGAGGCCCAAACGGGATTTTTAGCACACCCTGGGCGCGTTGTCTGAATTGCTGGGGGGGGCTCGAAATCTACACCCCTCACGCAGATCCGCGGGGTCAGGGTCCAAAAACACACGAGATGTGCAACATTTCTGAAATTCGGTGCCACCCCTCACGCAGATCCGCGGGGTCAGGGTCCAGAAACACAGGGGATTTGCCACATTTCTGAAATTCGGTGCCACCCCTCACGCAGATCCGCGGGGTCAGGGTCCAAAAACACAGGGGATTTGCCACATTTCTGAAATTCGGTGCCACCCCTCACGCAGATCCGCGGGGTCAGGGTCCAAAAACACATGGGATTTGCCACATTTCTGAAATTCGGTGCCACCCCTCACGCAGATCCGCGGGGTCAGGGTCCAAAAACACAGGGGATTTGCCACATTTCTGAAATTCGGTGCCACCCCTCACGCAGATCCGCGGGGTCAGGGTCCAAAAACACAGGGGATTTGCCACATTTCTGAAATTCGGTGCCACCCCTCACGCAGATCCGCGGGGTCAGGGTCCAAAAACACAGGGGATTTGCCACATTTCTGAAATTCGGTGCCACCCCTCACGCAGATCCGCGGGGTCAGGGTCCAAAAACACAGGGGATTTGCCACATTTCTGAAATTCGGTGCCACCCCTCACGCAGATCCGCGGGGTCAGGGTCCAAAAACACAGGGATTTGCCACATTTCTGAAATTCGGTGCCACCCTTCACGCACATCCATCGCAAGGCGTGGTAACCCAAACTGCGAGAACTCCCGCGGCCCTTTAATCGCAAGGTGTGGTAACCAAGCCCGTAAACCATACACGTCTTACCAATCGCCGGGTGTGGTAACCCCTCTTGTGATCAGTTGGTTTTGCTGATTGCGAGTCGGCTTCGCATGAAGTTTCGATACTGCTTCACGACAGCGCCAAGACCTCATGACTTAGCTCTTCCATGGCCCATTCTCCGAGAGAGGGGGCCGGCGGCAGGGGGCGAAGCCCTTACGGATAAAGTCGCCTGGATCGCGCAGAGTCGTACTAATACAAAATGTCCTCCTCGGAGGCGCGCGTCCGACCCGAATATACAATATGCCCATCTTGTAGTACATCGTTTCCCGGTCGGTGTGGCTAGAAAGCGCCCGCCACGACGTATATGGTATAAGACTTCCCGGTGCGCGCGTCGCCCCTGGGGGTGCGACGCACATATAATTCAGTACGAGTATGTTGGGGTGACGCCGATCGCATGGCCGTGGACGACGGACCTTGCAGATGCCAGTTGGCCCTCCCCATGAGACTCTACATGATTGGGAGGTTTTCGCCAAAACGACTGAGGGCGCCAAAGCCCGCCCGACTAGGAGCCATCAAGCTCGACCAAGCCTGACTGAGCCCGAGATTAGGCCGGACTAAACGGGATGAGGCAAGATTGAGCAGGATGAGGCCGGTTTAAGACGAACTCCAACCGCGGATGTACAAGCGCCGATGCAGAATTAAACTGCCAGGAGCTCCCTCTCTCGCATGGGATGGGCGGCAGGGAATCGCCAGCACGCATTGCTGGATAGACAAACTTGGCAACTGGGTACAGCAACCCAACCAGTGGCCAGACACAGCTCGCGTCAGGGCATTACGCTGCGTGCCCACCTTGTTCCGTCGGGCCACAGTGCCCTCCAGGGTGGTGACACCAGGAAACTGTGCCCACTAACAGGGTAAAGGCGCCCCCATGCCATATTACTTCAAGTCCTCCTCCTCCTCCTCCTCAGCCGCATTGCCCTCCTCTCCCCAACCATGACTTCCTCGAGAGGCGCCAGGCAGCCTCGAGGAGGTTCCACACCGAGCCGCACTTCTCCGTGGCGAGCCCAGGTACGTAGCTCCTCCCGGCCAGAGGCGAGCTGACCAGGAGAGGAAGCGGCTCCTCCGCCTCCTCCTCATCCTCCGCCTCCTCCTCCTCCTCCTCCTCCTCCTCCTCCTCCTCCTCCTCCTCCTCCTCCTCCTCCTCCTCCTCCTCCTCCTCATGTCTCCCCTCCTTCAAAGATGACAGCAGCAGCATGCCATTGCCCTGGCTGCTAGGCCTGGCGCGCAGCGCTAGTGAAACCTTAGCCACGCCCCCGGACTGGAGGGTTCCAAGCGCGAAGCGGACGAACAAACAAAATAGGCTGTCAGCAACCGTCTCCGTAGCCACTGCTACAACCAGTACCTCCTCCTCCCTCCTCCTCCTCCTGCTCCTTTTCTTCCTCCCCCTCCGCCCCCGGTTCTGAACTTCTGAATGTTGATAGCACAATTTCGGAACCTACCCCAGGGAACACGGTGCACCATACTCAAAGGTACCTATACGGCCACCCTTCGGGTGATAAGGATGTTGTGGGGGGGAGAAGGGGGGGAACCAACATCTGACTCAATCGAACTCACTCAACGGGACACCACGGGACACCATAGGACACCACGGAACACTTATCGATCTCACTATCGAGCTCACTATCGATCTCACTCAACGGGACACCACGGGACACCACGGGCCACCACATGACACCACGGGACACCTCTAGATCTCACTATCGGTCTCACTATCGATCTCACCATCGATCTCACTCAACGGGACACCACGGGACACCACGGGACACTACGGGGCACCTCGGGAAACCACATCGATCTCACTATCGATCTCACAATCGATCTAACTCAACGGGACACCACGGGACACCGCGGGACACCTCTCGATCTCACTATCGGTCTCACTATCGATCTCACTATCGGTCTCAATCAACGGGTCACCATAGGACACCACGGGACACCTCGGGACACCTGCCGATCTCACTATCGATCTCAGCATCGATCTCACTATCGATCTCACTCAACGGGACACCATAGGACACCACGGGCCACCTCGGGGCACCACATCGATCGCAATATCGATCTCAACGGGACACCACGGGACACCACGGAACACCGAGGGACACCGCGAGCCACCGCCGGACGGACGGACGGACGGGCGGGCGGAGGAGAATCATTTGTCTTGACTTCGCCCTAGCAACGGCGGACACCACGGGACACCACGGGACACCGCGGGACACCGCGAGCCACCGCCGGACGGGCAGGCGGAGAATAATTTGTCTTGACTTCGGCCTAGCAGCGGCGGGCTCATTCCTCTCGCGCGCCCACGTAGCTTCGCCTCGCCCGCACGCACGACACGAAAGAAACGAAACGACTTCCCGGTTGGGGTCTCAGTTCCACTGCGATCTCACCCCCCAATCTCGGACAATATGGAGTTACGGGTTTGGTTATGTACCTCCTGTGGGTCGTATGCACCTCAGCAGCTCGCACGCCTCGTTCAGGAGTGTCCCAGGCAAACCAGCGTTAATCATCGCGATTCGAGGATCGAGGTTCGAGGATCGAGGTTCGAGGATCGAAGTTCGGGGATCGAAGTTCAACGATCGAAGTTTTCGGGCGTGTTCAGCCTCCCAGGGAGCCCTCGTGGCTGCGGCAGGATTCCCCTCGAAATTCTAGCCATATGCCATAACGCACCCCCTGGACAGGTCTGAGGACAATTCGTGACCTCCAGAGAACCTTTCAGACTTCCTCGCGTCATGGAAAAACTGAAAATGGTTTGCAATGTTCGGCCTCTGGGGGCCCATGCAGGGAGGACCGTCAACAGCGAATCAAGATGAGAAGCCAGTCTTGAGGAAGGGCTGGTGGGGCTAAGAACTGCCACCTTACCCCCTGGCATGTTGAGGCGTGCTAGAATGCCAAGTGCTGTCTGGTAGGGTTTCTGCAATCTTCTAAGGGGCCCCGCCGCACCTCGTCGCGCGCTGCGGCCATACTGCCATATTCCCGGTGGGTCCCTGTGCGACCATGTCGCCTCCCTGGGGCTCTCCAAAGCTTCCATGACGGTCTCGGAGGCCCCCCAGACAGTCCAAAAGGGCCCCGAGTCGCCGAACGACCGCTCGAAGACGTCCAACATGGCTTCAAGATGGCACAAGAGGCTCCCAAGAAGCCCAAGAGGCCTTCAAGAGGTCGCCCACGAGGGCCCCCAAAGGTAAACATCATGTATGTTGCTTCGGTTTTTGATGGATGTTGGCGCTCTCGCCTTTTCGGCTTTCCGACGCTCCAAGACAGCCCCAGAGGCCCCCAAGACCACCCCGAAACAGACCAAGAGGCCTCCAAGAGGCCCACAAAGACGGCCTAGGAGCACCCCGAGACTGCCCAGGAGGCTTCCAAGACGGCGACAGAGGGCCCCGAGATGGCCCCCAAAGGGGCCCCAGAGCAAGAACACGAACCGAAAATCCGAGCCGTCCGGCTCCAGGGGCCCCCAAGAGGCGCCCAAGAGGCCCCCAAGAGACCCCCAAGAGGCCCCACAGAGGCCCCCAGAGGAAGCCTCAAAACGGCCCCTAAGAGGCCGCAAAACTGCCTCCAAGACGCCCCCGAGAGGTCCTCCAGAAGGGTCCGAAGAGGCCGCATTCCGACGGATCAAGACGGCCCAAGAGGCCCCCAAGATCGCCCCAAGATCGCCCAAGAGGCCTTCCAGAGGGGCCCTTGTCTGCCCAAGACGCCCCCAAGATGGCCCCAAGAGGCCCCAAGACATCCCAGAAGGCTTCTAAGACGCCCAAGATGGCCTCCAACAGGCCTGGAGCATTACAAGAGGGCTTCAAATCGGCTCAGAGAGGCCCCCCAAACGGCTTCCGACGGCATCGGACCGTCCAGGGGCCCACCGAGACGGCCGAAGATGGCACTAAGATGGCCCAAGACGGCCCAAGAGGCCTCCAAGGAGGGCCTCCAGGAAGGCCAGAAAAGGCCACAAGCATGGATTATCCCAAGGTTTTTGAAGGATGTTGACATTTGCTTTTTTTCGGCCTTCCGATTGCCCGAGACGGCCCAAGTGCCCCCAAAGATCGCCCAAGAGGCCCAAGACGGCCCCAAGAGACGTCCAAGACGGCCCACGAGGCCTCCAAGGCACTCAAGATGGCCTCCAAGACGGCTCAAGAGCCCTCCGAAACGTCCTCCAACAAGGCCCGAAAGGGTCAACATTGCCTCCAGGCGGCCAAGATGACCTTCAAGATGCCCACGTGTTCCCCGAAGGCTTTCCAAACCGATTCCGGGAACACATGGTCCAATAGCTTGGCAGATCTGGCCTCAACGTTCGGCCACATAAAAGGCAGGGGGCGGCGGTGATTCGCCGTAGGCGTCTTCGATCCGCCGCCCCCCGTCGATTCATCGCAGGGGTGCATGGCGTGCTGAACCCTTTCGGTTATGGTTTTGGTCATTTTTCCAAAGAACTCCCCGTGGGGCTCTGGCGCGTCCCGCCAGGGTCCCGGGACGATCGCCAAGGAGCTCAATTCCCCAATTGTTCGCTCAAGATGGCCCAAGATGGCCTCCCAGATGGCCACGTTGGCCCAAGATGGCCTCCAAGATGGTCCAAGATAGCCTACAAGTCCGCCTAAGATACTGCAAGACGGCCTCCAAGACGGCCCCAGAGAGTCCAAGATACCTCCAAGGTCGCCCGAGAAGCCTCCAAGACGACCCAAGACGACCCACGAGGCCTCCAAGAGGTCCTCCAGGAGGGCCCGAAGAGACCAACATCCTTTGCTTTCCATAGGTTTTTGAAGGATTTGGGCATTTGCTTCTTCTCGGCATTCCAACGGCTCAAGACGGCCCAAGACGCACCCAAGATCGCCCCAAGATCGCCCACGAGGCCTCCAAGATGGCCCCATGACGGCCCAAGGGGCCCCCAAGACGGCCCCAAGAGGGCCACAAGGCAGGCCAAGGGGCCTCCAAGACGCCCAAGATGGCCTCTAAGACGGCCCTGGAGCACCCCAAGAAGGCCCCAAGTCGGCCCAGAGAGGCCCCCCAAACGGCGTCCGACGGCGTCAGACGGGCCAGGAGCCCACCAAGATGGCCGAAGTTGGCTCTAGGCTAGCCCAAGACGGCCCAAGAGGCCTCCAAGACGGCCTCCAGGAAGGCCAGAAGATGCCAACAACATGTACTGTTCTCAGGTTTTCGAAGGATCTTGACATTCTCCCAAGGTGCCCCCAAGATGGCCCCAGAACGGCCCAAGAGGCCCCCAAGATAGCCCCAAGAGGCCCCCAAGACGGCCCAAGGATGCTTCTAAGACGCCCAAGATGGCCTCCAAAACGGCCCTGGAGCATTCCAAGAGGGCCCCAAATCGGCTCAGAGAGGCCCCCCAAACGGTTTCCGACGGCGTCGGGCGGTCCAGGGGCCCACCAAGACGGCCGAAGATGGCACTAAGATGGCCCAAGATTACCCAAGAGGCCTCCAAGAGGGCCTCCAGGAAGGCCCGAAAAGGCCAAAATCATGGATTTCCAATGAGTTGTTGAAGGATTGTGGCATTTGCTTTTTTCGGCCTTACGACGACCCGAGACGGCCCAAGAGTCCCCAAAGATCGCCCAAGAGGTCTCCAGCATGGCCCCAGAACGGCCCAAGAGGCCCCAAAGACGACCCCAAGAAGCACCCAACACGGCCCAAGGGGCCTCCAAGACGCTCAAGATGGCCTCCAAGACGGCCATGGAGCACCCCAAGAAAGCCCCAAGTCGGCCCAGCCTCCCCCACCGTGTTCCCCGAACGCTTTCCAAACCGATTCGGGGAACATGGTCCGATAGCTTGGCAGGCCTCTGGCCACAACGTTCGGCCACATAGGCGCTTCCCAACAGGCAGGGGGCGGCGGTGATTCGCAGCAGGCGTCTTCGATACCATGGCCCAGCGGGGATGGGAATCGGTGAGAGGATGCTGAGAGTCTGGGCGGCGCTCCTCCAGCCGAACACCAGCACGCGCATCATGAGCTCTATCAGAAATACGACGGCGAAGAAGTTGTCCATAAACACCATCGCCGGAGTGTAGAACCCCGCCCTGGAGAGAAACAGGTTTCTGCGCGCACGGCCTAAGGATGGACGAGTCAGCGGCAGCGAGAGTGCCGCCGTTGCTGCTCCCCTTCCTTCTCCTCCTCCCTCCTCCTTCTCTTATGTTTCTTCTTATTATGAATATGTTTATCATTATTATTATTAGTACTCTTATTCGTCTTACGAGTATTAGTATCATGAGTAGTATGATTATTATGATTATTAGTATCATCATTACAATGATTCGTATTACTATTAGTTAGTATTCTTCGTCATATTATTATTATTACTAGTATTCGTATTACGATTATTATTATTATGACTATTCGTATTAGTATTACTCGTATTATTATTATTCCTATTAGTATAGTTGGCATTCTTCGTGGTATGCATATTATTGTGATTATGAATAGTATTATTATTATGGTTCATCTTGTTCTTCTTCTTACTAGTATTATCATTCGTAGTATTATTCTTCGTATTAATATTCGTATTCTTCATTTTCGTATTCCTATCATTCGTATTATTATTCAGATCATTAGTATTGTTATTATTACCCGTAGTGTTAGTATTCTTACTCTGCTTCATAGTACTAGAAGTATGATTCGCCTTATTATTATTAGTCTTCGTCTTACTTTTCTTATTATTACTATTCGTCTTCTTCTTCGTATTATTATTCTTATTCCCAGCCAACCTGTGTTGTTGGGTCCTCGTTTTGAAGAGACGGTCCCCGCGTTCCTTCCTCCTTCCTCCTTCATCCTTCCTCCTTCCTCCTCCTCTCCTTCCTCCTCCCTCCTCCCCCTCCCTTCTGGCACACCCCTCACACGTTTCGTGGCCCCATAGGGAGCTCCACCGAAGGCCCCAGTGGCTGCGCCCGCATGCGGTTCCACCCCCCATTCTGGCACACCCCTCACACGTTTCGTGGCCCCATAGGGAGCTCCACCGAAGGCCCCAGTGGCTGCGCCCGCATGCGGTTCCACCCCCCATTCTGGCACACCCCTCACACGTTTCGTGGCCCCATAGGGAGCTCCACCGAAGGCCCCAGTGGCTGCGCCCGCATGCGGTTCCACCCCCCATTCTGGCACACCCCTCACACGTTTCGTGGCCCCATAGGGAGCTCCACCGAAGGCCCCAGTGGCTGCGCCCGCATGCGGTTCCACCCCCCATTCTGGCACACCCCTCACACGTTTCGTGGCCCCATAGGGAGCTCCACCGAAGGCCCCAGTGGCTGCGCCCGCATGCGGTTCCACCCCCCATTCTGGCACACCCCTCACACGTTTCGTGGCCCCATAGGGAGCTCCACCGAAGGCCCCAGTGGCTGCGCCCGCATGCGGTTCCACCACCCATTCTGGGCCGCGGCTTGCGTTCGTCGAGGCGACCCCGCCCTGCGCTGAAAAGGGCGCGCGGGACAGCCGCGGGGCAGCCGCGGGGCAGCCGAAGCAAAGCGGGTTCTTGGGCGGCATCGCCGCGGGACGCCGCGACATAGCCGCAGCAGCGCGACTGAGGACGGCTGCGCAGCTGCAGCACTGCTGTAGCACAGCGACGGGGTAGCATGTCGGCGACACAGGGACGATCTTCCACGAAGGGGATACCCATAGGAACTACATCCTTGACAGGAACAGACACGGTCACGGACCTGGCGGACACAGAAAAGGAAAGCAACGTGGAGGGCGAACGACAAGAGAGCGCCGAGACGGCACAATATGCACACGCAAGTCCGGGCATGTATAACTCGGTGTGAAACGGCAGGTGCATGTGCAATTGAATGCATGCCCTGGTTGTTGAACAGGTGTAGGAATTTCCGGGGCATGTGATCTCTTACAAACATCAGTAAGAACAGGCGTCGGGAGGTCGAAACGGCGAGACACACATGGCCAATAATTGGAGGGCAGTGTGGAAACGCATGCGCGCGCGAGAAAACGCGCGCAACTGAACACGCACACGCGAGAACGCGTGCGTGAATACAATGGCGCGCACATGAACTTTCACTGGAAGCGATCGGCGTGAATGGACTCAGGGAGTCGCTTTGCCCCCCCATGCGTCGCCCTCTTCCTAAAACCATGGGTCTGAAGCCCTTCCCCCGCGATGGGCTAAAGCGCCTAAGATGGCCCAAAATGGCTCCGCGACGGCCCCAGAAAGCCCATGATGACCTCAAATATGACTCATGAGCACCCAACGTCGTTCAAGATACCTTCCAATTTGCCTCCGAGATGCCCCGCGGCCGCCCCGAGGCGGCTCCAAGTGGCCACGGCGCTCCCCCAGGAGGCCCCCGGGAAGCCCAACTCCTTGAATGACAATACTATGAGCAAGTTGGTGTCGCCTTCTCGTTGTTCCGAGCAGTGTCCGCAGGCAGCAATGCAACTATAATGATGATACCGACTGTGTGGGGCCGGACGGAGTGCCGCGTGCCGCTGGTATTGGCGACCGAAAACACATGTTCAAGTGTAATATGACAGCGCCAGACTGCGCCGGGACAGCCGCGGGACAGCCACGGGACAGCCGCGGGACAGCCGCGGGACAGCCGCGGGACAGCCGCGGGACAGCCGCGGGACAGCCGCGGGACAGCCGCGGGACAGCCGAAGCAAAGCGGGCCGTCGGGCAATAAAGCTGCGGCCCGGGCCAGTAAAGCCGCGGCCCGCCGCGGGACAGCCGCGGGACAGCCGCGGGACAGCCGCGGGACATCCGCGGGACAGCCGCGGGACAGCCGCGGGACAGCCGAGGCGCAGGCGAGGCAAACATGAGGCCAAAATGCTATGGGAGCACTGGGAATGGCCTTCAATCGAGTTGTCTGGCATTGAAGATTATCCATGGTTCGGATGACGAGGAAGGGAGCGAAGGAGGTAGGAGGGGGGCGAAGGAGGGAAGAGGGAGGAGGGAGGAGCGAGGAGGGAGGGAGGAGGGAGGATGAGGGAGGAACGAGGAGGGAGGGACGAGAAGGGAGGAGGGAGGACCAAGGAGGGATGAAGGGTGGAGGAGCCATGGCAAAGAAACAAATGAGTGAACCCGACGTCGGGGTCACATAAGCCCCCGCCATCAAAGTGCATATTGGGGCTGGTCTTGTGGGGGGTGATTGCCGTGGGAGGGAGTCCAAGGGCGCGGGATGAGCGGGAAGGTTTTTTGCTGATGATTTCTATGTGCTTGTATTGCAATAAAACGGACTGTCATATTCCCGCACAACCAAAATAGTAACAAACGAACGGGGGAAAGGCGCGCGCCACCTGCATCTTAAGGGCGATCCCGCTGGACGCCCGTGAGCGCGAAAACCGCGAAGAGACCCGGACCGACGAAAAGCGCGAGAGACCCCTAAACCTTGCAAGATCTTGCAGTGCCCACCCAATCGGCCAGGGCAGACGAAGGCGCCCGTGCGGGGCGCGCGCATCATCACAGCGACAACAAAAAACACGCCATGTCCTGAAGCTCGCAGAACGCATCATGGAGCGATGGCGCACGCACAGATCCGCAGTCGAATCGGGTTGAAGCTCGCACGGGCTGCGCTAGAGCAGACCGGCGCGCCCGACACTCAAACGCGCCGAAGCTCTAGCTACTCGCGCACGCAGAAAAGCTGCTCGCTCAATGAAAAAAGCCACGCTCGCAGGAAAGCTGCTCGCCCACAGGGCACGGCTACATTTCGGCTTTTCTTGGACGGAATTATGCGAAGGGGGGGGGTCAGTTTAAGCCGCGGCCTCCTCAGGCACACCCCTCACACGCTTCGTGGCCCCATAGGGAGCTCCACCGAAGGCCCCAGTGGCTGCGCCCGCATGCGGTTCCACCCCCCATTCTGGCACACCCCTCACACGCTTCGTGGCCCCATAGGGAGCTCCACCGAAGGCCCCAGTGGCTGCGCCCGCATGCGGTTCCACCCCCCATTCTGGCACACCCCTCACACGTTTCGTGGCCCCATAGGGAGCTCCACCGAAGGCCCCAGTGGCTGCGCCCGCATGCGGTTCCACCCCCCATTCTGGCACACCCCTCACACGTTTCGTGGCCCCATAGGGAGCTCCACCGAAGGCCCCAGTGGCTGCGCCCGCATGCGGTTCCACCCCCCATTCTGGCACACCCCTCACACGTTTCGTGGCCCCATAGGGAGCTCCACCGAAGGCCCCAGTGGCTGCGCCCGCATGCGGTTCCACCCCCCATTCTGGCACACCCCTCACACGTTTCGTGGCCCCATAGGGAGCTCCACCGAAGGCCCCAGTGGCTGCGCCCGCATGCGGTTCCACCCCCCATTCTGGCACACCCCTCACACGTTTCGTGGCCCCATAGGGAGCTCCACCGAAGGCCCCAGTGGCTGCGCCCGCATGCGGTTCCACCCCCCATTCTGGCACACCCCTCACACGTTTCGTGGCCCCATAGGGAGCTCCACCGAAGGCCCCAGTGGCTGCGCCCGCATGCGGTTCCACCCCCATTCTGGCACACCCCTCACACGTTTCGTGGCCCCATAGGGAGCTCCACCGAAGGCCCCAGTGGCCGCATGCGGTTCCACCCCCTGGCACACCCCTCACACGTTTCGTGGCCCCATAGGGAGCTCCACCGAAGGCCCCAGTGGCTGCGCCCGCATGCGGTTCCCCCCCATTCTGGCACACCCCTCACACGTTTCGTGGCCCCATAGGGAGCTCCACCGAAGGCCCCAGTGGCTGCGCCCGCATGCGGTTCCACCCCCCATTCTGGCACACCCCTCACACGTTTCGTGGCCCCATAGGGAGCTCCACCGAAGGCCCCAGTGGCTGCGCCCGCATGCGGTTCCACCCCCCATTCTGGCACACCCCTCACACGTTTCGTGGCCCCATAGGGAGCTCCACCGAAGGCCCCAGTGGCTGCGCCCGCATGCGGTTCCACCCCCCATTCTGGCACACCCCTCACACGTTTCGTGGCTCAATAGGGAGCTCCACCGAGCGCCCCAGTGGCTGCGCCCGCATGCGGTTCCACCCCCCCATTTCGGCACACCCCTCACTCGTTTCGTGGCCCGGGGGCGCCACCGAAGAATATATCCACCATTGCGGTATTCACAACTACGTCTGGTTGGGTCTTTCGTCAGGCTAATTATTACTATTATTCGTTTTTCTTCTTCGTCGTCTTCTTCATCGTTTTCTTCTTATTAGTTGTATCAGTATGTTTCTTATTTTTCTTCTTCCTCCCTCCTCCTCCTCCTCCTCCTCCACCTCCTCCTCCTCCTCCTCCTCCTCCCTCCCTCCTCCTCCTCCTCTCCTCCTCCTCCTCCTCCTCCTCCTCCTCCTTCCTCCTCCCCGCCTCCTCCTCCTCCTCTTCCTCCTCCTATTCCTCCTCATCCTCCCCCTCCTCCCCCTAATCCTCCGGCCCGTCCTCCCCCCCTCCTCCGCTACCTTCCTTTACCCTCCTGTACCCTCCTCCCCCTTCCAACCTCCACATAATCCTCCTCCTCTTCCTCCTTCACATCGTCCTTCTCTTATTATTCCTCCTCCTCCTCGTGTTTCTCCTATTCCTCCTCCTCATCGTCAGCATCATCCTCCTCATCATCATCACCACCACCATCACCACCACCACCATCATAACCACTATCCGCATCAGCCGTATCATTAGCATTCGCCTAATCCTCATCACCAGCATCATGATCAGCCACATCATCATCATCATCATCATCATCATCATCATCATCATCATCATCATCATCATCATCATCAGCATCATCAGCATCATCATCACCATCATCATCATGATCATCATCATCATCATCATCATCAGCATCATCAGCATCATCATCATCATCATCATCATCATCATCATCATCATCATCATCATCATCATCATCCGCACCACCATCATCACCACCGCCATCACCAGCATCATCATCATCACCATCAGCATCAACATCATCATGACCAGCAGCATCGTCACCACCACCATCAACATCAAAACCATCACCACCATTATCATCATCATCAACATCATCACCATCAGCATCATACTCATCAGCATCGACATCGTCATCACTAGCATCAGCTTCATCGTCATCGGAAGCATCATCATCCGCATCATCAGGATCAGCACCATGCTCATCATCATCATCGGCATCAGCATCATCCTCGTAATCAGCATCGTCGTCATTATAATCATCCACATTACCGTCATCCACATCATCGTCCGTATTACCACCAGCGTCATCATCAACATCATCATCATCATCCGCATGCTCATCCTCATCCGAATGATCAGCCGCATCCTCATCCGCAGTAGCATTATTATCATCGTCATCATCACCATCATCATCAGCATCACAAGTATCAGATCATGACCATCGTCCGCATCCTCATCATCACCAGCATCAGCGTAACCATCAGCATCAGCATCATCCGCATCATCATCATCATCATCATCATCATCATCATCATCATCATCAGCACCATCACCATCACCATCACCAGCATCATCATCCTCATCACCAACATAATCATCATCATCAGCATCAACCTTGTCCTCATCATCATCATCATCATCATCATCATCATCATCATCATCATCATCATCAACATCATCATCCACATTGCTACTCCATCCTCCCCCCTTCAATCCTCCCCGTCCTCCTCCTCCTCCCCCTGTTCCTCCATCTTTACCCAACCTATGCCTAATAGGGCCAATCAGGATGTACTGGTGGTATATGTGGCACTCCTAGCAACAGTTCCAAGGAACGTCTTGGGCTCGAGGATCCCCGAGAGACCATGGCGGCAATGTGTACGGCGCCAGCCGTCAAAGTATGAGGTTCGACTGTCCGTTAAGCGGATAGGGAGTCGGAGGTGAGGGGGTGAGATCAGAGTGGAACGGAGAGCCCGGGAAATCGATTTCGGTTTCGTGTTCGTGCGTGCCGTGCGTGCGGGCGAGGCGAAGCTGCGTGTGCGGGCGAGAAAAAGTCTCCTGTGGCTGAGGCGCGGCCGGACCAAATGTTTCCTTTCCGGGCGGCCGGTGGCCCGCGGTGTCCCGCCGGTGTCCCGCTGGTGTCCCGTGTAGCTGAGGCGCGGCCGAACCAAATGACTCCCTTCCGGGCGGCCGGTGTCCCGCGCTGTCCCGCGGTGTCCCGCGGTGCCCCGCGGTGTCCCGCCGGTGTCCCGCGGTGTTCCGCGATGATGATGATGAAGATGATGATGATGATGTTGATGATGATGATGGTATGATGAGATGATGATGATGATGATGGTGATGTTGGTGATGGTGATGATGATGGTGCTGATGATGATGATGACGATAATGGTGGTGATGGTGATGATGGTGAAGATGATGAGGACGATGATGATGATGATGATGATGGTGATATGATGGTGGTGTCCCGATGATGATGTTGATGAGATCGATGATGAAGATGATGATGATGATGATGATGGTGCTGATGGTGTCCCGATGATGAGGATGATGATGATCATGATGATTATGTTGGAAGTCATGATGATGACGATGATCGTGTCCCGATGATGATGAGCATAATGATGTTGATGTTGACGATGCTGATTATGAGTATGTCCCGATGATGATGAGGATGTTGATGAAGATGAGGTTGATGATGATTATGGCGCCCCGATGATGATGATTATTCTGATGGTGATGATGATGATGTTGATGATGATGGCGACCCGATAGTGATGATGATGATGATGATGATTGTGATGATGATGATGTTGACGCTGATGTTGGTAATGATGATGATGGTGCCCTGATGATGACGATCATGATGGTGAAGCTCATGATGCGGTTGGTGATGCTGATGATGATGTCGATGATGAGGATGGGATGGTGATGATGGTGTCCCGATGATGATGATGATGCTGATGATGATGATGATAACGATGGTGATCATGATGGTGTCCCGATGATGATGCTGCTGCTGATGATGATGATGACGATGACTGTGTCCCGATTCTGCTGTTGATGATGATGATGTTGATGATGATGATTATGATGACGGTGATGATGCTGATGATCGTGGTGTCCCGATGATGTTGATGACCGTGATGATGATGATGTTGGTGTTGATGATGAGGGCGGTGTCCCGATTATGATGATGTTGGTGATGATGGCGTTGATGCTGATGTTGTTGTTGATGATGATGATGATGACGTTGATTGTGAGAGCGGTTGTGATATCGATAGTGAGATCGATAGTGAGACCGAATGTGATACCGATTGTGAGATCGATTGTGGGATCGATTGCGAGATCGATCGTCAGATCAATTGTGAGATAGATCGAGTGAGATCGATTGTGAGATCGATCGAGGGAGATCGATCGAGCGAGACCGATACTGAGATCGATAGTGAGATCGATAGTGAGACCGATCGAGTGAGACGTTGGTTCCTCCCCCCCGAACCTCACCATCACCCGAAAGGTGGTCGCATAGGTGAAAGAAATATGAAGTCGCGCGCTTTTCCTCTCAAATCCCAAACAGCTGTGGATTAGTCAATACACTGTTCAATGCATTTCAAAGCACGCATGTAACCGGCGGGAGGGCCACGCGCAGCAGCGACTCCCCCCGCGGCGGCCCGGCCGCAGCAGCCGGCCAGGGCCGACGGCGCACCATCGGGACCTCACGTCACCGACGGCGCCGAATTGAGGCGGGCACGGGCGCGAGGCTCACACGGCCACCAGCAGCCCAGCGCGCCGCAGTATAGCCACCATCTCGACATGGGCTTACGATGCCTGTGCCAGTCCAGCCACCATCTCGCCACGGGCCCACGGCGCTTTCACCGGTTCCAGCGGTCGCCGCGACAACGGGGCCAGTCCCAGGCGTCGCCGCGGCGGTCCCCCCCCAGCTATCGCAACCGCCCTTGCCGCGGTCCACCTTGCCCGCCCCCTAGCTCCTGGCTCGGCGGGGGGGGGCCCATCCACGCGCTCCAGGCGCCACCTTCAAGAGGCTGGCTGTGATCGTGCCAAGGGCGCGGGCTGGAGCCGACATGGCTGCGCTGGGATCTGGAAGGCGCTGCGCCGCTGCGGACCGGCTCGCGCGCGTCCGAGTAGCGGCGTGGCCGCGCCTTCGCCGAAGGCGGGGACGCTGCGCGGTCGCCCGCCTCTGCGCGGGCACGCTTGCCCTTGCCCGTCTCCGCGGCTGCAGGAGGCGGCGGGGTCGCACGACGAGGAGCGCTCCCCTTTCCGAGCCAGGTCCGCGCCGCCGCGGTCGCCCTGTCATCCCGCGGTGGACGGCGGCTCAGGGCGCGCTTGCGGCTGGCAGTCCGCGCCGACCTAGCAGTCGCTGCCCTCAGGCGGCCCCTTCGTTCCCCACGTGACATGGGCAACATCGAGGTTGGGCGCTCTCGATCAGGGTCGAGCGCCGCTACTCCGCGCCGCCCCAATATGGCGAGGGCACGCACAGCTGCCTCGGACACGTGCAGCGGCCACCTATCGACCGAGGCGCGCTGGAAGGTGTCTGGCGCCATGCGCAATCCGCGCCTGCGCGCTCTGGCCTCCGATTGCCCCAGGCACTGCATGCACGCCTCGATCTTGTGGGCGTCGATCGAGATAGGCGGCACATCAGCCCGATTCAGGTGCATGTCGCGGTGGACCAGGTCCAGCACGTCACGATGAGCTTCGAGCACGTGAACTTCATTCACCAAGCTAGCTCGGCACTGTCCGACCTCCGCAAGATGAGTCCGCATGGCGCCCTCACCCGCGGTCTCTGGGTCAATTTCGGTCCACGCAAAGTCCTTGGTGAGCTCGATGGCCACTCTGTAGACCTGCTCCGACATCCATTTCGCCTTCTGTGAGAGGGAGTCGGGGTCATAGACGCAGAAGTCTGGCGGGTCGAACCATAGCTCACGGATCCTCGCCGCACAGGTGGGGACGTCTCCAGCGCGACGATGCTCCTCAGGCTCGTCGGCGGCAGCAGAGTATGTCACGAATTCCTCTGCCGCCCTCGCAATGCTGTAAGAATCAAAGCGCGGCCAGTCGCCTGGGTTGTGGACATCGCGCTCTGGAGCATGCGACTTTGAACGCTTGCGCATGGCGTTGCCACCGAATGCCCGAGGCGCGTCTCCTGTCTGTAGTCGCCTCGCGCGGCTGCGGGATCCGCCTTGCTTGCCATGGGCAGCGGCAGAAGGGCAGACCGAGGCCGAGGTGTTGACTTTTCCCCTCGGGACGTTGTCTTCGTCATCTCTATATTCCTCCTCGAAATCGGCCAGAACCTCCTTGGGGGGCCAGTACCTGCCAGAATCTTCCTGGATCAGTGGCCAGAGGTCCCATAAGTCCCTTGGCAGGATATCTCGGTTGTCGGTGCACCAGCCATCCCATCCCACGCTAAGCACGAACTGCTCACGGGCGCCAGGGTCCGTGGCGCCCCAGTCGAAGACGTCGAGGACGCCCACGTCCGTGCCCGCGTCGGCCAGGTCGACATGGCGAAACAGGTATGCCCACCATGTCCACGACGGGCAAGTAGCATTATAGCCAATAGGTCGCTGGCGGCGGCACTCTAGATAGCGTGGCCATCTGCGCGCCCGCTTGTCTCCTTTTCCCTCGCGCACCTCGTTGCCATGGGCAGGGCGCCTGTCTGTCGGCGATGACGGGGCCAAGGCCAACGCGGACCTCTCTGCCGACAACGTGGCCGTCTTTCCCGCCACTGCAGAGCAGTAGCGACTCAACGCTGCTTATGGAGCGCCCGTACTCCAGTTCTCTTGCAAGCGACCCTGTGTTCTATCAGAAATCTGTCTTTGAGTCGCTCTGGCCCTCTTTTGGTGGCCCCCCCTGCTGCTCCGCTCATGGAACGCGGCGGCGGGGTGCCGAGGCGACTCCTTACACATTCCGACATGTCTCCAATCCACTGCAGGCCGGAGCCGATTGGGATGCCACTGGGACGCCTCGTAGAGAATCTCTTCGTGGCACACGCCGCAGGCCATCATGCCGTAGCGGGTCTTCTGCCCCAGGTGGCAGACGAGGCATATGTCGTCTTCCCAGGTGGGGGACCCCTTGACGCCCTGCCACAGGACGTCGTCCAACCTGTCCTCAGAGGCGTTGTTCAGGATCTGTTGACCCGGCTCCAGGAAGTCGATGCACCCCGCATGAGGGATGGGGACAACCTGCAGCATAGTGAGGCGCCGGTCATAGCAGACGTGCCACGTGAGCTTGTCCTTAAAGGCTTCCAGCACAGCGAAAAGCTGCCAAATTCATTCCCATTGAAGGGTGCGGTCCGTGAAAATCTGACCGATGGCAGTATCAAGCGCGGGTGAGCCTCGACATGCCTCGGGCTCAGAGTGGCGAAGTACGTCCCGTTCAGGATGGAAGGGTCGAAGTCGGGAACAGTCGTATTAGTAGTGCCATTGAAATCTCTTGACATCCCGTTCCGATGAAGAGAAGTCGGGAAATTGTCATCCAACTCGGAGCGCAACTTCTGATCATCTCGTTCAACGAGATCTTTGGCCTCTGGATAGCACAATGGCACACACATGTCTTCCACCGCGTTCAGATCATGGAACATCTTCGCGCGCGGCGAGAAGGCAACCGCGAAGGCCACGGGCCCGCATAGACGCAGCCCAGCGGCTGCATCGATCAGTGGAGCCGCCTCACCGCCCTGACTTTGCCGAACGTCTGCGAAATCCATTGGTAGCAGGAGCGCCCCGTGCTTCTCGGTCATGTTCGGATCGCACCGCACATTGCGTCGGCAAGGACAAATGACCCTCAGGGAGTCACCATGAACGGCACGGACGAGAAGGGGACGAACGGCAGGAACCATGAAGATCTGCTCGTCGTCGCTGTCCCCAAGGGTCGCGTCTGGGTCGCCAGCGGCGTCCGATACGCCGACCCCCTTGAGAACGATCTCAGCGAAACGGCTATCCCAGTCCATGGGAAGGGATGTCGGGCCTTCCGTTGCTGAGTCCATCTCAACAGCAAGTATCTGAATGTCCGTCGGATTGAGCATCGACACGGCGTGGAGAAATCTGGGCCACGGGCGGCCATAACCGACATGCGTCAACATGTGGATTAGCACGTCGACCTCCGCCCATCCTCCCGAGGCGCTGCGTCGCGTCGCGAATGACAACCGTCATGAGCATTACAAGAAGAAACGGCGATAGAGGGCGCCCTTGGGAGATCCCCGAATGCGGTTCTTTTTCTGCAGATTCCAGCGCGGGGCCAATCACTGAGAATCGCCTGGCAAAGTATATGTGCTGCACCATTCCCAAGACCTTCGGCGGCAATCCAAGCCGCCCAAGGGCTGTGATCATAGCATTGGCATTGATCGAATCGAAAGCTTTCTTCCAATCCAAAGCTCCCATTCCCACGCGACCATCTCGTCCTGCCAGCGCTTGACCAATACGCCGTCGCACAGCAAATATAGCATCCTGCGTGCCCCGGCCAGATCTGAAGCCGAACTGCGCGGCTGCGAGGCTCCTCTCTGCCCCTGCGGCCTTCAATATTTTCATAATCGCCGTGGCGAAAAGCCTGTAAGTCACGCAGACAAGGCTTATAGGGCGATAGTTATTGCTGTCTTCCACAGACCCTTTCTTGTGGATAGATGCCACCAGGGCTACATGCTAGTCTTTGGGCGTCCCCCCCCCAAGCCAGCACGCACTGCACAAAGCAGTCATCCACGACAAGCCATCTTCTGCGTCTGCCACAACCCGCCCAAACTCGCCCGGGATGTCATCTGGTCCACAAGCTTTCCCGTACTTCAGCTCCTGGATTGCTTCTCCCGCCTCCGTCTCTGTCAGCAGGTCTGCGCACGCCGGCGGCGCATCGCCAAGTTGCGGTCCTTCGACGTCACCAGCAGGCCGGACTTGCCACTGAACTTTCTCCAGATGCTCTGCTATTGTGTCAGCCCAGAGGTCGCTGTCCACGAGCTTGCCGCCTGCGTCTCTCAGCTTTCCGTTCGCGATCTTCTTTGACTTCCTGGCTGCGCGGATTCCCCTCCACCCTCCAGTACGGAGCTGCTCATCTGCCCAACGCGTCTTGTCCGACTTGCCTTGCTTCCTGGGATGTTTGCGCATTTGCTCTTCTAAGGAACTGTTCCCTCTCGCCCGCGCCTCTCTTCGCAGCTCCAACGGGCGCAGCGTCTCCTCGGAGATCCACGGCCTGTTCGCCTTGCGCTCTAGCTTTGGCAAGGTCTCTGCTGCCTTCTTCATCGCCGCTTTAGTGTCCTGCCACATCCTCCACGTCGGCCGCGCCATCGCTTGCCCGTTCTTCGATGCGATGATTGAAAGCGTCTGCGAAAGCTAATCGATGCTCAGAATGCCGGAAGGCCGCTGCATTTTATCGCTTCCTCGCTGGAGCCTCGGCGCTTTTCGGGAAAAATTACACAAACGCACAAACCAAAAAGTGATCTGTCGCCAGCGCAGCTTCCCGGCGCGCTTGGACGCCTGCAACATGCGCGAAGAAAACGCCGTCGCAAATGAACAAATCCAGCATATTGAATCCGTTCTCGGAAACAACATATGTTTTCGAATGCCCTGGCTCCACATACGTTGCTCTGCCCTCGTAATCCGCATCGCAGAACGCGCTGGCAATAATGAGGTCGCTGCTAATGCACGTTTCCATCAGCAGACACCTGTTCGGCACATCCGCATGTCGAGCGGCAGCTCGCCCGAACGCGTTCTCGCCTATCACGTCCTCTTCCCCGGGCCTTTTGCGGACCCAGCCTCGCGTTGAAATCTCCGAACATGAACTTGTCAACGTTCGCCGAATACTTCCGGCACTCTTTGTCCAGCTGCGTGTAAAAATTGGAACGTTCATCAAAAGGCCGCCCATTGCGCGGAGCATACGCCGTGAAGACGCCCACCACGCCTCCGCAAACGCGAAGCTTGATGCCACAGATCCTGTCCGACACTTGCCGGAAAGATTGCATAGATGACGCGCGCCGCGTGGATGCGATGAAACCAACGCCGGCCAACGATCTCAAACCACTGTCGCTCCCAGACAATATGATTATATGCCCGTTCTCTGTGTTCACGCTGCTGTTGGTCACCCACGTCTCCTGCATGCAAAGAATGTCTAGGCCACGCTGCTGCATGCGATTGATTAATTCAAAAACTTCCAGGTCAAACAACCCCTTCGCGTTCCAGGAAACACAGACCACCCTGTCTCTCAGAACTGGCGCCCCAGATGCGTCGGAATGAACTTGCCCCGATCCCGTGCCCAAGCTTCTGCTGGTCCGGGGTGAAAGCACGTCTACGCGCCCTCGACCCCATCACTTGCCCGGGCCATTCCCGGCCCCCTTGGTCGTCTTCTCGCGGCTCTTAGCAAGCCGACCCTTCGCCGTCTGGAGAACGAGCGCGAACTCCGAGGAAGATTGCAGTTCCTGCCACTGGGCCCGCTCTTCCTTCACCCACTCCACATGGAAGTCGCCCCCATCCACCTTCACCTTTACCACCTCCTCCCCCTGGACCTTCAACGCGGCATTGGGCCGATCGATCTTGATGCGTTCCGGGCTGAACTTCCATTCGATGAGCTGGTTCCTGAAGTTCCTGAGGAAGCCGGCGCAAACTCTCACGTCAATGGGGGCCTCGATGTCGCACCAAATCCTTTCCTTTGCTTCCCCCCCCCACGTTCTTCTGCACCACCTTCCCCCTCATGATTTTCACCGTCTCGGCCGCGCCAATCTCGTTCGCGAACTTGGCAAACACCAAGCCTTTGAACTCTTCTCTTTCCTCGTCCTTCTTGTAGACCTCCAGGGGCTTTATCAACTTGGCGAGCCACGCCGAAGCTGCCTTGAACGAGCGCCCCTTGAGGCCGCCGACCACGACCACTGTAGATGTCACGGCGTGCGCACTCGGAGGTGGCCGCACGCCGCCCAAGTTCATCTTTGAAAGGGATTCCTGAATCATTTGTGTAATCTCCTCCCCAGTTATAGTTCCCCGACGGCCCTGATCGCCGCCTCCCCCACCCCCTCCTTCGTTATCATGTTCGTCTTGATCCTCTTCATGTCCTCCTCCACCCCACAGGCCGTCATCTTTGCCTCCAATGCTGTTTGTTTCGCCGAATTCGCCTCGCCCCTCGCCTCCTTCGCCGCCACCTCGCCCCTCATCATCATGCCCTTCATGTCCTTCATATCCTTCATAATGATTTTCATCATGGCGTTCATGTCCCGGCCCTCTGTGTCTTCCACGATCTCAACCTCCGGAACGGCCTCGGCGCCATCCACGGCGTTCGGGGGGGGCTCCGTGCGGGGCTGCTTCTCCGCCCCTCCAGCCGGCGAGAGGATCTCAAACCTCTTTGCCATGGCTCAGGTCACAGAAAATTCGTCGCGGCGTAGGTCTGTTTTTGTTAATGGATGCAATGTCTCAGGGCCGCCCACGCCCTCTCGCCTGAGAACGCTTGAGCCTCTCGCCAAATGGTGAAGCCCCTGCGCGTTATATTCAATCCAGAATCAAAGCGCCCGTGGCTGTGCACATGGCCTGCGGGCCGAAGAACGCGGTCAAGGGGAGGCGCGGCCGGCGCGCTTGGACGAGCAGGGTCGGATCAGACTCGCGCAGGGCCGGTGGGGAGAGCGCATCGATCACTAACCTGGGCATCTCCGAAGCGAGCGATGGGCTGCGGCGGGGGCCTCCGCAGCGCGCGCTGGGCCGCGGCGGGGGCAGCGCCAGGCGGCGCCCTGCAAGGGGGGATATCGCATGAGGGTCGCAAAGGGCATCACGTCTTCGGCCCTCATGTCGAAAGGCATCGGCGCGACCGCCGCAACCTGAAGCAGGGGGGCTCTGCGCTGAGGCATCCTGGGCGGATCTCGCACTCCAGCAAGGACAAACGCGAAGACTGGTACTAGCCCCTGGCGCACGCGCTGCGGCGTGGCACATCCAGGCAGGAACATGCCCAGCGGCTCATCCGAGAAGCCGACGCCTCGGACCAGGGGGGCCAACTTGTCACCAAGCAGCGGCGACCACCAATCATCGAGCACGCGCTGGACGTCGCGCGCGCCGCTGAAGAGCGGGAGCGGCGCAAGCAGGCGTAGGGATGCGGGCCGTGCACGCGCGGATATTCGGCGCAGCAGCGCAGCCCGGCAACGCGAGGTCGCGCTGCCATCCTCGGGCATCCAGGCGACCACGTGCTGTCCCGCCAGCGCCCGCCAGGCGCTCTCCAGCAGCGCCGCCACCTCGCGCGCGTGCCCAAGTTGCGAGCGCCTGCCTGGGCCGGACCCAATATCGACGACCGCTGCGTGAGGAACCGCGCGTCCTGCTGCCCCGTCCGAGTGCGGAGCAAGGCCTGTCCTTTGTCATCGCGCTCGGAAGCTGGGCCTGCCTTTTCTCGGGTGGGCCTACCTGGCGATGGTGAGCACAGGCCTGGCGCAGGCCCTGTGCTTCCGCGCGTGGCCGGGGCGGCCGCTTCCCTCTGCGGTCAGAGGCCCGTTCCCCCCAGGCATGGGCGCTGCAGTGCGAACGGCTTCGGGCCCCGCTCTTCAAGGTCTGGGCCCTGGGGGTCAAGGGCTTGCGAGCGCCTCCGCCTATCGAACAGACTGACCCTGCTGCCTCTCGGCTCCCGCTCGCTCGCCCCTCCCCATACTTCCTCCGCCGCCCCTGCGAGAGAGCGAACATAGAGGAACAAACAACGCCATCAACACAAGATGTCGGAACTCCGCGCGCTGTTCTCGGATCCGGGCGGAGCGCCAACAACCATATTGGACACTTACGTATTCTTCTTCTTCGAGGAAGGGGTCAGGGGGGCCCCGCGAGCTCACCAAGAATCGGAGCCCTCGTTCCTCGGCCCCACGAACCCAAATCTCCAACGATTTGATTTCCAACATGGGCGCAATTCTGCCTCTGGGGCAGGTTATCGGGCCAGGGGGCCTTCGAAAACGCATCTAGGAGAAGGACTGGCCTCGACTGGAGGCGATCACATCGGACGAACCCCATCGAGGAACCAAAAGCGGTGCAAGTGTACACTTTCACAGGTCCGCGCGACTCGCGGGACCTGCACTGAACGCCCCACCCTGACGCGCGGAGCGCGCCAGGCGCTGCGCCAGAGGAGCTGCCAAGGGGGCCCAGCGCCTATCATGGAAATCTGCGCGAAGCTCCGAAAGCTTATGTTTGCGCCGCATTCTATTGTTCGATCGACGACCGACGGTCCGACGGTCCGAGCGCGGCGGGGCGAGCGCGGCGCTCGCGGGTTGGATCGACGACCGACGTCGATCGACGACGACCGACGCCCGACGGTTCGAGCCGACGACCGACGTCAGCATCCGCCGACGATCGTCGACGACCGTCATCAGGGAGCGGCGATCGACGACCGACGGTCCGACGGGCGGCGCCGTCGTCGATCGTCAACGATCGCGGCTGGTCGTCGACGATCGTCGACGACCGTCGCCACTGGGGAACGACGAGCGGTCATCGGCGGCCGCCCAGCCGTCGCGCGGCAATCGACGAACGACGGCCCGACGGCCCGAGCCTGTCGGGGCGGGCGCGGCGCCAGCGGGGCGCGGCGGAGCCGTGGGCGGGGCGGAGGCTGCGGCTGCCAGGCCGCCCGCGTGCGGGCCTGGGGGCCGCGCGGCTGCCGGTGCAGCGCGCCCTGGAGCGCGTCGGGCGGCCTTTTGCACGTCCGCGCCGAGGAGCGGGCAAGCGGTGATTCTTCCGTGGTCAGCAGCCGCAAGGAAGCCGGACGGGGGTCGAGCAGCGGCGGTCAATCTTAAACGCCCGCGCTGGAGTCGCCGTCGCGTCGGCGCGAAACGAACCGCAGGCTTCTTATGCCGTTGTTCAGGCGGCGACAGCCGAACCCTGCACCCACCAACCAACGATTCTGCTGAATCGGTGGGAGGCGGGGTAGGACTCGGATTTCGCCACGTGTTCGACGAATTCCGAATCCTACCATCGGCGCCCATCGAGTTGCCGGAATATTTGATCGGCGAGGGTCAGTCAGTCAGTCCTTTAGCCGTGCGTCCAGTAGGACGCGTTGGCACAAGCCTGACACACGCCAAACGCGCGCCTGAACAGCCGCGCGACACGCCAAACCCGTGCAGAGGACGATTGCGGTCAGACCTGAGACACTCCGAACACGCGCGGAAGCAGGCGGGCGACACGCCAAACACGTGCAGACGCAGCGCAGACGCGCCAAACGCGCGCGGGGAGGAAGGGGGAAGAGGGGGGTGATTACGATGACAAAGAACCTGATTCACAAAACTTGCGTTCGTTCGAACACTTTTTTGGCCCAGTGCTGTCGTGGACGGCCTCTCCAGCGGCGGGCCCATCTTTTCGGTGCGCCATTGCTTGCGCAAAATATTTGCTTGACCAAAGATTCACTACTATGCGAAGCTATCTCATTGTATAAATTCCCCTGCCGTCCAAGCAAAACGTCAGAAAGTGGGATGTCACTGGCGTCGATCAAGACGCCCACGTTCCTGACCCTTGATATGTACGAGCGCGGTATTCCCAATATTCTGCGTAGACATCGGCAGCGAAAGGCATATAATCGTTTTCTGCCCGCTTTCAACAACCATAGAGAATCCAAATAATACAACAACTTACTGACAACGAAACTTCTGCAAATTGTGAGCTTCCGTATTTTCCCAATGGAAGCGTGGTTCCATAATTTGTCCACCTGTTTGAACACTCTGCTTGATTTCCCCAATATGCGTGCAAGTGCCGCGCTTACTTTACCACCGCACGTGATGAGGCCACCGAGATATTTCGCGACCCTCGTAGTTTCGATCGCCTCCCCAGTTGGTCGCGTAATTGTTTCATCTGTGGATATGTGCATATGTACTGTCTTTTCCCAATTCAGTTCAATACCATATTTTGTGTATTCGTCCACAAGTGCGGCCAAGATGTATTGAATATTGTGCTTTTGCTGGGATGCCAAAGCTGTGTCGTCTGCATAGAGGATGTCGCGCATCACGACATAGTGGGGTTCTGGGGCCAGCCGGGCGTCTGTGAACACATCGTTTAGCATCACAGACTGCATTGCGATGAACAAGTATGGAGAGAGCGGACACCCCTGTGCTATCCCCGCACGCTGTCGCCTTTCAGTAGAGTTTCCAGTGTGGTCCACAATGGTGAAAGATCTTGCAGCATAGATCGATTGAATCATATCCACCATTTCCACTGGTAGCCCGAAGCGTCGCAGAACTGCGCACACGAAATCGGGCTTAATCCTATCAAATGCTTTTGCCCAGTCAAGCAACAATATAATCATCCCGCCGTCATTGCTCTGATGTGCTGCGATAATCCGCCGCCGAATGGGGCTCGCATTTTGGATTAGGAGGCAACTCCTCCTGGGAGGCCTTCGCTAGATCGAGTAGAGGCTCTTGAGCCTGATGGAAGGGCCATTGAGCCCGACTGGCTGGATTAGACTCAGGATTGAGCCAGGCTACGCCGGCTCAAGCGGGACCAGGCTTGATTGAGAAGGACTATGCTGGATTAGGCCAGGCATATACCAGCGGCGTGTCTTAATTCTACCTCCTCCCAAGAGCTGCATCAGAAGAAATGAGGCTCGCTCGCTGGACGGACACAGACATAAGAACAAATGGTCTAAACTTCCAAGAGGTCCGCGCGGATTTCTCGGGTCGGCATTGGACCCCTCCCTGGCGCGCGGTGCGCGCCAGGGGCGGCGCCAGAAGCGCCACCATGAGGCCCAGCGCAGATCCGAGAAATCCGCGCGGACCTCTGGAAGCTTATGTTCATGCCGATGTTTTCGACTCGTACCACCCAAGCATGGATCCTGACTCTTCGGCACCGCCTGTTTTCTGAGCCCTCCGGCCGCCTGAGGCCCCGCCCGCCCGCGCCCTGTCTCCCCAATTAGGGCTACTCGCATCCCGCGTAGCTCTTGACCGGAAGGGGCCCGCTCCCTACCCGCAGACCAAAAAGTGACAACCAACAAACTGGAGAATCTGCGCAACCACATCTTGCCTCATCCACCTGCTTGTTATACTGCAGGGAAAAAACCGTTAACGTGAACGTTTTCTTGTTCGGCGTTTCGAGATTGAGCGAAAGGGGGGGGAGGGGGGGGTCTGGCTCTGGACCTTTGCTTAGTGCGACTGTTTGGAACAATACTCCCATCGAGGATACTATGGGGAGGTGGGGCCCCCGAACTTAATCCACCTGCTTGAAACAGGCGCCAACAACAGCCAACATCTACTCTATGGAAGGATGAGGTGCGAATGCCCGCGCCGATCGGCAAAACAATGAATAAGAAAACGAACACAACCAGTTAGATTTGCAGACTACTACCTGCGAAGCAGGCATTGTGTGAGAAGAAAAAAAGGGAAACTATAGGCCAGAGGCAAATGTAAGTACCAGGCACGTGGCACTGCCCGGTCAATTTTTAGTCGGCAAGTGCGGGCAATGATGTTGCCGCGCTGGATGACGTTGACGCTCACGCGCGCGATTCTGCACGCAAGATATCCTCATCGTCGTCCTGATCATCAGATGCCCCCTCCTCATCCTCCCTCCTCAGGCTCCTCCTCCTCCTCCTCCTCCTCCTCCTCCTCCTCCTCCTCCTCCTCCTCCTCCTCCTCCTCCTCACGCCTCCCCCCTCCTCTTCCCTCTCCTCCCCCTCCACCTCCTCCTCCCCCCGTCGAGCAAGCGGGGGGGGCCTGCCGATGAGGGTCTCCACCTCCAGTCCCATGGTCACGCAATTGGCTATGATGACGACTCCGATTACGGCTTCGAACTCGCGGGACCTCTGGGCGAAGCGGTGCGCGAGGAAAAAAAACGAGGGCGGTGAGGGTGCAGGAGGAAAACGGGGAGCGACGGAGTGAGAGAGTGAGGGAGCCAGGAACGAGGAGCACGCAGCAGAGGGAACACTAGCAGCAGCAGGAACCGGATGAGGAGGAGGAGAACAATGAATTGACGACGAAAAAAAGTGAAAGACAAAGAAGAAGAAGAATGATACGAACCAACATTCAAAATCAATTACCCCAGTGCGACCCTACCTAGAAGTTGGAGCCCCTAGGAAAGCAGCATTCGTTGCTAGGCTATGCTATGCTATGATATACCATGCTATGCTGCGCTATGATATGCTATGTTATGGTATGATATGCTGCGCTATGGTATGATGTGTTATGCTATGCTATGATATGTTATGATATGCTATGATATGTCATGCTATGTCATACTGCGCTGTGCTATGCTAAGCTATGCTATGATATGATATGCTATGCTATGCTGCACTGTGCTATGCCATGCTATGGTATGCTGTGCTATGCTTTGCTGTGCTGTGCTGCGCTATGATATGCTATGATATGGATGTGCGTTGCTTGTGCTTTGCTTTGCTGTCGCTGCTGTTGATTTGCCTTTGCTTTGCTGCTATACTATGCTATGCTATGCTATGCTATGCTATGCTATGCTATGCTATGCTATGCTATGTCATGCTGCGCTGTGCTATGCTGTGCTGTGCTGTGCTGCGCTATGCTATGCTATGCTATGCTATGCTGCGCTATGCTATGTTATGATGGGCTACGAAACAATATGCTATGCTGCGCTATGCTATGCTACGTTATGCTATGTTATGCTGTGCTCTGCTATGCTAGAGCTCAGCGAAGCTAAGATGAAGATAAGCTAAGCTAAGATAAACCTGAGCTAAGATGAAGCTAAGCTAAGCTAAGATGAAATAAGCCAAGCTAAGATGATATAAGCAACGCTAAGCTAAGGGGACGTAACTGGGGAAACCGCGGGGCGGATCCTGGGGGAACCGCCCAGGGCGGGGAGCACTGCCCGGCCCTTTAAGCATACAGGGTAAGAACCCTTCTAAGCAGAGCCTAGGTAGGGAATGGTGATGAGAAGCCGGATAGTATCACATAGAATACGAAATATAAAAGGAAGAAAAATTCTAAGAATAGGCATAATAAACGAAAGTGCGCCAGTGGATCTCCCTGAATACACTAAATGGGGGGGGTCCACCCCCCCCCCCTCCTCCCCCCCTTTAGGGGGGGCAGGGGGGGGTGGGTCCAGAATACCCCCCTCCCCCCACCACTTGCGCTGAAAGGGGGGGGGGGGGTTCGACCCACCCACCCCCCCTCCCCCCCTTTGCGCCGGCTAAGGGAGCCGGGGAGGGGGGGCCTCTCTCGGAGCGAGCGCGCCCACAGGGCCCGAGCAAAGGGGAGGGGGGGGTAGGCTTAAGCTACCCCCGCCTTCCTTGAGCCGCCCTTGTTGGAAGCACCCCCCCCCCTCCCCCCCTTTTTTTGCAGGGGGGGGGGCTTACAGCTACCCCCCCCCCCTCCCCCCTTGGGCCCTCCCCGGAAGCTACTCCCCCCCTCCCCCCCTTTCCAAAGGGGAGGAGGGTGCTTAAGCTACCCCCCCTCCCTTGGCGCTGCCCTGCTGGAAGCTACCCCCCCCCTCCCCCCTTTCGTGCAAAGGGGGGGGGGTGCTTGGAAGCTACCCACCCCCTCCCGCTTTGGCCGCCACGGAAAGCGACCCCCCCTTACCCCCCTTTCCAAAGGGAGGCGAGGTGGCTTAAGCTCCCCCCCTCCCTTGAGCGCCCTGGCTTGGGAAGCTCCTCCCCCCTCCCTTTGTGCCAAAGGGGGGGGGGGCATGGAAGCCCCCCCCCCTTCCCCCCTTTGGCGGCCGCCCAGCCCCCGGAGCCTCCACGATCCACGATCGAGGAACAATCCACGATCGAGGATGGACGATCGAGGATGGACGATCCAAAATGAACAGTCCACGATCGAGGATGGACGATCGACGATCAACGATCGACGATCGAAAATCCCAATCGAATCGCTTGCAATCGATTGCACTCCATTCCACTGCAATCCCCCTCCCCACCTTCCTCCGCTCCCTCCCCTCCCTCCACACCCTTCGTTCCATCTCCTCCCTCCCCTCCCTCTCCTCCCCTCCCTCCCTTCCGTCCTGTCCCTTCCCTGCAATCCAATCGATTGAATCGATTGCAATTCAACCGATTGCAATCCAATCGATTGCAATCCAATGGATTGCAATCGAATCGTTTGCAATCCAATGGATTGCAATCGATTGCAACGCAAGTGTATCATTCAACTCGTCCCGTGCCAACGCCCGGGAACGAAAAATTACCCTGGCGACGTACCCAACCCTGCGCAAACGCGGGGCGCAAATAGTTGAGGACACTTTATAAGGGGGGCGATGACGGAGCGAGGGTTACATATGTCTGCAGACGGAATTCGGGAGACTCGCAGGAAACTGGCTTCAGGACAAGGACTATATAAAGCTGATTAGTTGCAATCCCTGAGCAACCCTAGCCACTTCGAAAGCGGGGATCTCAGATCGCAGCCCCCCAGGGATGGCGAGGTCTAAGTTGGGTCCGCGCGTGGCGTCACTGTGCTGGGCCCCCCAGCAGGCCTCGAAAGTGGCGACAGTTTCACAGATCGCAGCCCCCCAGGGATGGCGAGGTCTAATTTGGGACCGCGCGTGGCGTCACTGTGCTGGGCCCCCAGCAGGCCTCGAAAGTGGCGGACAGTATTCACCTGATTCGCAGCCCCCCCTGGGATGGCGAGTCTAAACTGGGTCTGCCCGTGGCGGTCATGTGCTGGGCCCCCAGCAGGCCTCGAAAAGTTGGCGACAAGTTTTCACAGATCGCAGCCCCCCGAGATGGCTGAGGTTCTAACTGGATCCGCCCGTTGGCGTTCATCTGTGCTGGGCCCCCCAGCAGGCCCTCGACAGTGGCGTCAAGTTTCACAGATCGACGGCAGCCCAGGAGATGGCGAGGTCTTTGTTTGGGTTCGCCCGTTGGCAGTCACTGTGCTGGCCCCACAGCAGGCCTCGGAAAGTGGCGACAGGTGTTCACAGATCGCAGCCCCCCAGAGATGGCGAGGTCTAATTTGGGTCCGCCCGTGGCGTCACTGTGCTGGGCCCCCCAGCAGGCCTCGAAAGTGGCGACAGTTTCACAGATCGCAGCCCCCCAGGGATGGCGAGGTCTAAACTGGGTCCGCCCGTGGCGTCACTGTGCTGGGCCCCCCAGCAGGCCTCGAAAGTGGCGACAGTTTCACAGATCGCAGCCTCCAGGGGATGGCGAGGTCTAATTTGGGTCCGCCCGTGGCGTCACTGCGCTGGGCCCCCAGCAGGCCTCGAAAGTGGCGACAGTTTCACAGATCGCAGCCCCCCAGGGAGGGCGAGGTCTAATTTGGGTCCGCCCGTGGCGTCACGGTGCTGGGCCCCCCAGCAGGCTGTGCTCCTGCAACGAAGTTTCTACAGATCGCACCCCCCAGAGATGGCGAGGTTCCTATTTGGGGTCCGCCCGGGGCGTGTCTGTGTTGCTGGGCCCCATCAGCAGCCCTCGAAAGTGGCGGCAGTTTCACAGATCGCAGGCCCCCAGGGATGGCGAGGTCTAATTTGAATCCGCCGTGGGTACCCGCTGTGCTGGGCCCCCCAGCAGCCCTCGAAAGTGGCGACAGTTTCACAGATCGCAGCCCCCCAGGGATGGCGAGGTGCAATTTCAATCCGCCGTGTGTACCCACTGTGCTGGGCCCCCCAGCAAGCCTCGAAAGTGGCGACAGTTTCACAGATCGCAGCCCCCCAGGGATGGCGAGGTCTAATCTGAATCCCCGTAGGGCGTCACTCCGCTGGGCCCCCCAGCAGCCTCGAAAGTGGCGACAGTTTCACAGATCGCAGCCCCCCAGGGATGGCGAGGTCTAATCTGAATCCCCGTAGGGCGTCACTCCGCTGGGCCCCCCAGCAGGCCTCGAAAGTGGCGACAGTTTCACAGATCGCAGCCCCCCAGGGATGGCGAGGTCTAATTTGGGTCCGCCCGTGGCGTCACTGTGCTGGCCCCCCCAGCAGGCCTCGAAAGTGGCGACAGTTTCACAGATCGCAGCCCCCCAGGGATGGCGAGGTCTAATTTGGGTCCGCCCGTGGCCCTCACAGTGCTGGGCCCCCCAGCAGGCCTCGGAAGTGGCGACAGTTTCACAGATCGCAGCCCCCCAGGGATGGCGAGGTCTAATTTGGGTCCGCCCGTGGCGTCACTGTGCTGGGCCCCCCAGCAAGCCTCGAAAGTAGCGACAGTTTCGCAGATCGCAGCCCCCCGCAGGCAAGACAGGAGGAGGCAAGAGGGAGACGGGACGGGAAGGAGAAAGTGGAGACCACACTGCTCTATTCAAACGAATACCCAACCAAGGAGGGTTGGGACAAATACTATTCCCCCCCGAAAGTTGCACGAAGTGTAATTCGGAGAACGCCAGCCCGTCGGGTTTGGCAGTGTTCGTGTAAGACGGCGGCCGGCTGGGGGAGGAGGAGGCGGAGGATGGGGGAGGCGGAGGAGGAGGAGGAGGAGGAGGAGGAGGAGGAGGAGGAGGAGGAGGAGGCGAAGGAGGAGAAGAGGAGGCGGAGGAGGAGAAGAAGGAGGCAGGAAGAAGAGAGGGGGAGGGGGGGAGGAGGAGGAGAAAAAGAGGAGGGACGGAGGAGGAAAAAGAGGAGGAGGGAGGAGGAGGAGGAGGAGGAGGAGAGGTAGGAGGAGAGAGGAGGAGAGCGGAGGGGGAGGAGGTAGGAGGAGGGAGGAGGAGGAGGAGGAGGAGGAGGAGGGAGGAGGAGGAGGAGGAGGAGGAGGAGGGAGGAGGAGGAGGAGGAGGAGGAGGAGTCGGGAGGAGGGAGAGGCAGGAGGAGGAGGAGGAAGGAGGAGGAGTGAGGACGCCGCAAGGGGAGGCGGAGGAGGACGAGGAGGAGGAGGGGGAACCGAGATGAGAATAACGAGGAGAGGGAGGAGGATAACGAGGAGGAGGAGGAGGAAGAGGAGGATGATGATGATGAAGAGGAGGAGGAGGAGGGAAAAATGGATGAGGAGGAGGAGGAGGAGGAGGAGGAGGAGGAGGAGAAAACCGAGGAGGAGAGGGAAAAGGAAGGAGGAGGAACGGAACGGAAGGACCCGCGGGGGAGTACGATGATGATGATAATAATGATGATGATGATGGGTTGTTGGATGATGATGATGATGACGATGACGATGACGATGACGATGACGATGATGATGATGATGATGATGATGATGATGATGATGATGCTGATGATGATGATGATGATGATGATGATGATGATGATTATGATGATGGTGATGATGGTGATGATGGTGATGATGACGATGATGACTATGAGGAGGATGAAGAGGACGAGGAAGAGGAGGAGGCAAAAGGCAGAAGAGGAGGAGGGAGAGGGGCGGGAATAAATGGAGGCGAAAGGGAGGGCGATGGCTCCGGGAGCTGGGCGGCCAAACGGGGGAAGGAGGGGGGGGCTTCAAGCCACCCCCCCCTTTTGCACCAAGGGAGGGAGGGGGGTGGGCTTCCAAAGCCCCCCCCCCCCCTTTCAAAGGGGTGGCTCACCCCAGCTCCATTAAAAGGAGGGAGGGGGGGTAGCTTGGAAGCCCCCCCCCCCTTTTCCGGCCACGAAAAGAGGGGAGGGGGGGGTAGCTTCCGAAGCCCCCCCCCCTTTCAAAGGGGGGGGGGCTCACCCCGGCTCAATTAAAGGAGGGAGGGGGGGGTAGCTTGGAAGCCCCCCCCCTTTCCGGACCACGAAAAGGGGGGGGGGGGGGGGTCCGAAGCCCCCCCCCCCCCCCAGCAAGGAAAGGGGGAGGGGGGTAGCTTCAAGCTGGGGCCCCCCTTCTAGTCTGTCGGGCCCCACGAGCGCGGACTATCCTCTCTCGTTTCTCCTTTTTGCGCCAAAGAGGGTGTGTAGGGAGTACGGAGTTGGGAGTAGGGAGTGGTGAGTAGTGAGTAGTGAGATGGCGTAGTGAGTGGTGAATATTGGGTAGTGAGTAGTGGGTAGTGAGTGGCGGGTAGGGAGTAGGGAGCAGGGAGTGGGGAGGACTGAGTGGTGAATAGTGAGTAGTGTGTACTGATAAGTGAATAGTGAGTGGCGAGTAGTGAGTAGTGAGTAGTCAGTAGTGAGTACTGAATAGGGAGTAGGGAGTAATGAGTAGTGGGTAGTGGGTAGTGAGTAGTGGGTGGCGAGTGGGGGGTGAGTAGTGAGTAGTGGGTACTGCGTAGTGCGTAGTGAGTAGTGAGTACTGAGTAGTAAATAGTGAATAGTGAGTAGTGAGTAGTGAGTAGTGGGTAGGGAGTAGGGAGTAGGGAGTAAGGAGTAGAGAGTAGCGAGTAGTGAGTAGTGAGTAGTGAGTAGTGAGTACTGAGTAGTACGTAGTGCGTAGTGAGTTGTGAGTAGTGATGAATAGAAAGTAGTGGGTAGTGGCAGTGGGTAGTCTGTAGTGAGTAGAGACTACGGAGTGGCGAGTAGTGAGTAGTGAGGAGAGAGTAGGGCGTAGTGAGCAGTGAGTAGTGAGTAGAGAGTTGTCAGTAGTGAGTAGTGGGTAGTGATTCGTGAGTAACGACTAGGGAGTAGAAAGTAGTGAGGTGTGAGTAGCGAATAGGAAGTAGGGAGTAGTGGGCAGTGGGTAGTAAGAACTGGGTAGCGAATAATGGGTAGTGAGTAGCGATTCGCGGGTAGTGAACAGTGGGAACTGGGTAGTGACGAGTGACTAGTGACTAGTGACTATGTAATGACTAGTGAGTAGGGAGTAGTGAGTAGTGAGTAGCGGGCAGCGAGTAGTGAGTATCGAGTAGCGAGTATGGGAGTAGCGAGTAGGGGGTAGTGAGTAGTGAGTAGTGGGATATGAGTATTGAGTAGTGAGTGGTGGATTAGTGGTGGATTAGTGGGTAGTGGGTGATGAATAGTGATTAGTGAGTAGTAAGGAGGGAGTAGTGAGTAGTGCTTCGTGAATAGTGAGTATGGGGTAGTGGGTAGTGGGGAGTGAGTAGTGAGTAGGGAGTAGGGAGGAGGGAGTGGTGAGTAGGGAGTAGTGAGTAGCGAGTAGTGGGTGGTGGGTAGTGAGTAGTGGATAGTGAGTAGTGAACCGTTAGTAGTGAGTAGGGGGTAGTGAGAAGTGAGTAGCGAATAGCAAGTAGTCAATAGTGGGTAGTGAGTAATGAGTAGTGAGTACTCTTTGGAACTGGGGTTAGCGGTTGGGGTTAGGGTCAGGGGTTTGGGTTAGGGAGGGACTAGGGGTAAGGGCGGCGGGGGTCGGGTTCTCGAGTCAGGGGGCGGCGCGGCGAAACGGGGAAGGGGGGGCGCGGCCAAAGGGGAAACAGGGGGGGGGAGGTCTCCCCGCCCCCCCCCCCCCCCCCTTCTGCAAGGGGTGGAGGGAGGGGGGGGGGGAAGGGTGGGCCCCGACGACGGATCTGAGAAAAAGTGCGAGGGGGGAGGGGCGCCCCGACGACGGATCGGGGCAGGGGAGGGGGGGGGGGAGCAACGACGGGTCGGGCAGGGGGGGGGGGGGAGGGGGGGGGGGCCCTCGGGGAGACCCAGCGGCGCACCCCCACGATAAACATACAATTGATAGTAAGGGAGAAATGGGAAAGGCGAGCGCCCGAATAATTGAGGGGGGCGAAGCAGCGGCAGCAGCAGCAGCAGCAGCAGCAGCAACAGGAGCAGGAGCAGGAGCAGGAGCAGGAACAACCGCAGGAGCGGCAGCACGAGCGGCAGCACGACGCAGTTGCCCCTCACAACGCTCGATGTGCTGCCGCCCGCTGCGAGGCGAGACTCGGCCGGGGTGGGAAAACCGGGCGGGGTCGGAAGGAGGGTCGGGCAACTGTTGTTCCGGGATGCGGTTCGCCCCCATCGTTCCTCGCGGCCGGTTCGCGCGGCGTCGGCGGGCGCCCGGGTTTCTGACGCCGCGTCGATCGTCCAACCTTGGTAGGCGGCGCGCCGAGGGGGGCAGCGAGAAGCGGCAATCCCTCTCGGAAGGCTCGGAAAGCCCAGCCTTCTGAAAAATTGTCAAATTTTTCCCCGACGAAACCATAAACTCCCCAGAAGGCCGGAAGGTTGCTGAGAAGCCCCACGGAGGGCAGCGGGGTGGCCTTGGCGGACAGCGCGCGCCCCACGCCCTCCCGCCCATCAAAGGCCCGTCCGCGGCCAGCGGCGTGGAAAAAGCACCCTCCTCATTCCTCGTGCTCTTCTTTTACAGATGCCGTCGAATGCCTTCACGTGGACCCCAGGTGCCATGAACGACTCCGCTCCACAAACCTCCAAGGATCCCCCCGAATATCCACAAAACCCTGGAGACCAGCAGGTTCGCATCGTCAAGGCATGAACCTGCCGTTGCCCCCCGGGGTTGACTTTTCCCGCGCCGGTCTATTTGCATGCGGGGCGCATGATGGGTTTTAATTGAGGTAATGTGCCATGGGGTTTTAATGGCCCGCCCCATGCGGTCGTCGACCGCCGCGGAAAACCCCCCAGGGGCTCACCGAAAGGTCACGGCCAATTTCACGCCCAGCCGAGGCGCGGGAAAACAGCCATGGCTGCTGTGCGATCGCTGTTTCTACAAGCTCGAAGCGGGGCTGACGCCCGCGTCAACGTTGATCCCAACCGAGGTTAGATGAAATGCGAACCTTGAGCCACGCTAGCAACGAGGAGGAAGAGCAGGGCAGGGGCGGGAAGAGAAGGAGGGGAGGGGCAAAGAAAAGTGCAGAAAGAGAGAAGGGAAGGAGAGAGAGGGGGGGGAAAGGGAAGAAGGAAGGATAAGCAGCGGGAAGGGGGGACGGCGAGAGAAGAGTGAGAAGGGAGGGAGCGCAAGCTTTCGCTGCCCGCGCGTCTTTGCGCTGCTGCTGCTGCTGCTGCTGCTCCCCCCCCTCCTCCTCCCCCCTCTCCTTGCTCTCTCCTCGCCCTCCTCTTCTCCCGCCTCCTCGCCGCTTCCATCGGGCGGCCTCAGGCTGGCGCCCGCGCCATCAGTTAGAGAGCACCTCCTGGGCCTTCTCCCAGATGCTCTTCGGCGCGTCGCCGATCGCGACAGCACTGCTCTGCGTCGCGTCGACGCTGCGCTGGAGAGGTTCTCGCGGGCCACCTCGTCTGATTTGCCGCCCTCGAGGTTCTGGGCCAAGCTCGCAGCCGTCATCGCGATGTTTCCGACCGCGAAGGTGCGATCCCACTCGTCCTTGTACTCCTTCCACTTCACGGCAGGAATGGCAAGTTGCTTGGCCTGCTCGGTCACCTCGCCGAGGTGGATCGCCATCTCGCGATGGGAGCTCTTGAGTCGCGATATGATGCCCGACTGCCTGAACATCGTGGCCAGCGCAAACTTCATCGTCTCGTCGTAGTTCCCGAGATCGCCCGTGAACGCGCCCAGGAAGTACGATCCGTTCAGCACGCCGCCCGCGAGCTTCCGCAGGGTGGCGCGCAACGCCCTCCCGCGGTCCAGGAACCCATCGAACGTGGAATTCCTGTACTCGTCTGAGAACTCCGCTGCAACCTCGGCCAGCTTAGCGCACGTGGGCGAGAAGACCCCCCGCGAGGAGCAGACAGGCTCACCCAAGGCCTCCGCGCGCAGCTCAGCGCTCGACTCAGTTGCGGGAGGACCCAGGAGGGCAGACCCCAACCGTTCCCAAGCTTTGCGAAGCTCGTTGCTGTCCGCGTCGCTCGTCTCGTAGAACTCGCACACTTGCTTCGCGACCCCCACGCGGGCGAAGACGTCTGCAAGTCGCGCGGCCACGGCGGCGAGGGAGGCCTTGTTCGAGTCTGTGGGCACGACGATGAACACCATCTGCATAGCGACCCAGCGCTGGTCGATCGCGTCCGCGACCATCGGGCCGATGGTGCCCACCTGCTCGAGCTGCACGCCGGCCTTCACCAAGAGCTCGATGTTGTCCATGACGTGGCAGGTGGCCCTCAGAATGGGGGTGCTGTCCTCTCCGGATGGCAACTGCAAGTGCTTTTTCTCCTCCACGAAAGTCTCGATCGCCTGGAACGGCTCGCCCTTGTTCTCCGCCGCGACGTACCTGTCGATGACATTATTGAAGCTGGTCTCGATCGCGCACTTCATCGCGTGCTCAGCGTGGCTCACGGGATCCCTATGGTCGTCGTCAAACGGGGGGTCGTCGGGGGCGTCTGGCTCGCACCCCTTGACGCGTGAGAAGTTGTCCACCACCTCGAGCAGCACGTCCCCGACTTCCATGCCCACTGCGTTCGCACTGGCCCTCAGGATGCTGTCCATGAACGAGCGAAGCTTGCACTCAATGGCAACCTCTACGACGCGCGTCGAGCTCGATGCCCCGCGGCACGTCTTTCTCCAAGCCTCGACCTCCTCAAAAACCGTCGCCACGAAACGCGCGCCTGACAAGGTCACGCAGATTCCCCCAAGGCCGTCGATAATCTTCCCGATTGGGGGGGGGCGACCTGGACGTCGGCGGGGCCCCCCACCCTGAAGCTCGCCCTGAAATCAAACCAGCGCCCCCCGTGGCCCAGCACCTCTGCCAACGGGTGCCACTCGGGAGCGTCGGCGGCGCCTGCGAGGAAAGAAATCATCATAGACATGCAGGGCGCGCAGTCCGAAAAGCTCATGGGGTCGTCGTTCGGCAAATGGAGCAGTAACATGCCCATCGCCTCGACGTGCTGCTTGAAGATCTCGATCTCGCTAGGAGCGCCGTCGGGGACCTGCTCGAACGCCCCCGCGAGGATCTTGCCGAACACCTGGAGGTGAGTAGCCCGACAGTTGTCCTACAACTGGGGCAGTACCAAGTCGCCCAATAAGATCTCCCGAGCCAGCTAAGGCCTCTCAGAATCGCCGATGCTCTGCATTGCCGTCAGCCGAGGGGCCGCAATGTCGAACTCTTCGGGGTGGGACGTCCACGGCATTATAGCGCCAACGATGGCATCATAATCGTCGGCGTGCTGCTCGACGCACTTCCTCCAGAGTCTCTTGCGAAAGACAGCTGAGGCCTCCACCTCATGCACCGAGAGCTCCTTCAGGTGAGCGATGACCTGGTTCCACTCCATGCTGGCGAGGTTTGTCGACAAAGCGCTCGCCGCCTCGACCTGCGAATGCAAACTCGTGGCCATCACGGCAAGGCTCGCTGATTTCGGCATGCACCGCTCGAGGCTTTAGGCGCGGCCCCCCATGAGGGCCCCATCCAAGATTCCGTTGATCACCAGGTCGGGCGTGCACCCGTCGAAGCGCGCCTTCTCAGCGGAGCCAGGCGGGCCCCGGCTGCTGGCTCTACCGCCGCCAGACTCGGCCACCGACTGCGCCGATCTCGACTGCGAAGTCCCTGGTCTCCCGAAGCGGCCCGCCGCGGCGGTGGCGACCCTGGCGCGGCGCCGGGGGGCCTGGACTCCAACGGACGCGTGCTCGCCGCGTCTGGCGACCTCGCGGAGGTCGGCCCGCTGGGCTCGATCGCGCCTCCAGCGGCGCTGCCAAAGTTGCCCGAGCCCGCCGCGGTAGGGGGAGGTGCTGTTGCCGAAAGCGCAACCATCTCACCTGCCGCTGTCGGAGGGTCTCTGGCGCAGCCCTGGCTCAACGCATCCTATTTGCCGCTCTTGATCGCCAGCTTGCGCGAGGGCGACTCGGCTCGGGCAGCGCGCGGCGGCGGCGGCGGCGGCGGCCTGTTGGGGGGCACCCCCGCTGCCGAGGCCTTGGCATGAGCTAGGAGCTGGAGCTCTGAACGTCGGGGCCACCGAAAACTCTTGCTCGAAGCATTGAACGGGCGGGGAGCTGGGGCGGCCAGGGCCGACGAGGCGCTGCAAGAGCGGGGGGCGCGCAAGGCGCCGAGCCCCCGACATCTCACAACAAACATGTCCAGCGGCTGCCGAAGGCCGCCTCAGATCACCCCCCCGCACCAACAGACGACATTGCACATGAGACGACCCAGTGATGCCACAGCTGGAAGCAGGGGGAGTCCGACAAACCTCGGTCATGGTCTCGACGAGGCGCGGCAACTCGTTGACAGACAGACCACCAACGACGATTCAAGGCCCTCCCAGAGGTCCATCGGATAAGCGCCTCTGCTCGATCGAGCCCCTTCGAGGCTGCGCGAAAGCCCGGGTGCAACCAAGGGCGGCCAGAAGGGAAACGCTGCGACCTTGACGTGAGAGGGTCCAGAAACGTTTTCTAGACGCTGCGTCATGTTCTCCGGGCGTTCGCCGCCCCGAGCACCCCTGCCCGCTGACTTCATGGGGCCGCCAGATGACCTTCGACGCCGTCGATGGCATCCTCCGAAGCCCCTGACAGGCGCAGGGTGGGGCCCCCCAAAGCTCTCCAAATTCTCGAGCGCCCCCCCTTCACCCATCTCCCCCAGAACGCACGCGACTGCCATGGATGTCCTCGAGACCCCGGGGGGGGGGGGGCTTCAAGGGCTCCATCGGGCGATCGTTGGGCAGACGGGCCGCGTAGGATTACAGCGGTTGCGCGCCGCGGCCTTCGCTCCCTTGTCGGGGCGCGCGCTGCGCAAGGAGGCGAACGCGGCCCTGATGCGCGCCTCGATCAGCCGCAGCCCCTCGCCGTCGCCCTCGTGGGCGCAGGCCTCGGCCCCGTGGAAGACTCTGCGGGCGGTGGCGCGGCCGCCCAGAGGGTGGCGCGTTGGACTTCGTGACCGCGCGGTGCGAAGCCTCCTGCGCAGACGCCCGCTGCGGCGCCGACCCGCCGCCGACGTCACCCAAGATCCTGTCGGCGCCCGACGCCACGCTGAGCGCGCGCCTGCGACATCTCAGAACCGCGCCAGTGCTAGTGTCGACCTGGGCCCCGATGTCGCCGACAGGGGCAGCGGCCCGATCCACGACGGAGAACGCGCTGCTGTCCTGAGCCGCCTGGCTGGACTTCGGACGCACGGGCAGCCTCGCGCACTTCGCCGGCCAAGCGGATCGCGCGCGCGCCCCCCCTGCGACGCCCGCGAGTCTCCCCCGCTCGAGCAGCCGTCGCGGATCCCAGAATCGGCGAGCGCGCGTCGGCGAACTGCGACCTCTGAGGTCCACCATCGCCTGCCGATTGCCCTCCCTGGTCACACATCGGCTCCAGGCCGAGAGCAGGTTGCACCCCGCCTAGCGCCCGGGCGCCCTTGCCCTCCGACACTCGTCAAAGCCGCGCCACCCAGAAAGACAATGGACCCTCGCAGTTGCAGCCGGGAGCCTGCACTGCCTAAGCCCTGCCCCACTAAGCTGAGAATACATCTCCGACAACTCTGCTGACGAACCACCAGAAATACACACGCCGTTCACGTGCACAAGCGCACGCCACATGTGCTGGAGACCGTTGTACCCGCGACGCGGGTCGCACGCCCGGCGCCTCCGCTTCTGGGCAGGGCGTCTCTGAAGGTCGGCGGGGCAGGGCCCTGCGCCGACGTCGAAATCACCAGCCGGACACGACGTGAAACTGGTGCTCACCTCCTCCACGGTCTCAACGCGGGTCCAAACCCTGAAGCGAGCACCCCTCTGATTCACCGAGCGAACCCGCTCCGCGTCGGCGGCGCCCACGTCGGCCATGGCAAGGGCGCCCTTCAGCTCGTTCGCGGCTTCTGGCGAATCTAATCGCCCCGCGTAAAACTTGCAGCAGTTCTCCGCGCAAGCGCCCAGAACGCAGCTCCTGGTCTCCCCCGAGGCACACGCTGCGCTTGCACCCTTCAGGGAATACAGCAAGGGCATCGGCCAATTCCAATTGGCCCTGTGGACGAGATGAGAAGCAACCGCGCCCATTCTCGACAACGCGCGGTAGACCTTCAGCGCAACCATCTCCGTGCGGACCTGCAGCAGACACCACGCTGCGGAATTGAATATGCACGGGCACGCGTCGCTCAGCAACTCAACGGCGTCGGCGTCCTCATGCGCCAGCCAAGCTGGGTGGGTTCTCGGCTGTCCAGATGACACCTGCGCAGCTGCGACTTCTCTAAAAATGAGCCGCCGGTAGCCATGAGACGCGCGCGTCCGCGCGCGCCGCCAGGACCGATCCCAAGAACATGTCATCTGCGACGGCGCCGCAGAGCATCCACGCGCGGCCGCCAGCAACTCTCTCGTCTTGTTGCTCTCAGAAGGCAGTCGCGGCGCCCAGGTCTGCTCCGCCCCCATCGCCCCGGGCGTCGGCCGATGGCGCGGGCGGCCCTTCACCGACGCCGTCGGCCCCAGCAAAGGGGTGGTCGACGCCCCGCAGCTGATCGGCATCAGCGCGGGCACCAGCGGCATCGCGCGGCGCCTTGGGAGGGTTGCCAGGCATCGCGCGCAGATACGATGCCTGGAAGAAGCCATACGCAGAAGCTGGCGCTCCACTGGGCCTGTGGCCCCGCAGCTTGTCAGCCATGTGGGCCCTGTTCCACGCGTCGATTCTGCCAAGCAGCGCTGCGAGGCCCCATCGCCCCATCAAAAACAAGGTGTGCTTCGGCGATCGGCAGCACCCCCTGCAGCAGTGCTCTCTGACGCCATGCTTGCGAATGTCGGCATTGCACAAGCGCGAAGCAACTTCCCTACGATGCACCAGCGTCGGGTTCGAGCCAGTGAACTACAGGTTCCAATTGGCGTCGCGGCATGCAGTGGCGTCTGCTGGAGGCGCGCCTCGCTTGACCACGAGCAGCTCCCCGCGGACCACGACGTGACCCCCTGCCAACGACACCTGAAAACGAACGAGGCTCGCGTCGAAAGGTCGCATCGTGATCAGACACCTGTTTCTTCTTGTGGGCACGACGCTTGCAGGCGCGTGCATTGCGCAAGTAGCCGCTGGCAGCGTCGCAAGACCTGCCTCGGGAACCGCGCGTCCACAAGGCCATCGATAGGCAAGCCCATTGTCTCAATGCCGAGGCGATCCGCCAACGACGTGGCCGTCGCCAGCGCGACGACGCCACCGTCGAGATAACGCCCCTCCACCATCGCCAGCGCCAGGCTGGCCAGCGAGCCCTGCAATGGTGCCTCGCCAACGCCGCCAGCAGCAGGTGCAACCGGCGCCCCTGGCTGGGCCTGCGCTGGCGCCAGCTCGAGAGGCACGAGGGCTTGGCCGTCGCCCTGCTCGGGGCTCGGCCCGCGGCCGGGGCTCTCGGCGAGCCAGTCCTCGTCCTCTTCAGCGGGCAGCTCGCCCTGCACGGCGGCAGCGCGAAGGAGGCGGCCATCCAGAGTGGCGCCAAGGAGGCGGCCATCCAGAATGGGAGTGCTCGGCGCACCCCATACCTCCTCACACAAGAACTCCCCGGCGCGAGAGCTCACGGCGGGCAGCCCCAAGCCGAAACATGTTTGAGCCAAAATGGCTTCGGAAACGCACACACATACAAAAACACATAGACACATACAAACACACACGCTTCGAAAATGACACATGGTGCAACACATACAAAAACCGCAAGCCTGGCACTCCCCTCACGCAATCCGTGAATCTCCTGGAGGGCCCATTGCGGGCGTCACGCTGGGGCCCCTGAGAGTGACCTACCTACTGTGGCCCGTTGGAGCGACCATCAGCGGTGCCCGCTGCGAGCGCCTGTCTGGGAGCTTTATTGGAGGCGCTTGTTTCATGCGCAGGCGGCCTTCATGCCTGACAGTATCAACTAGCGCTTCGCCAGTCGCCCCCCCCATCGCCCCCCCCACCCCCCCCACCCACTGGGAGGAAAAGGAGGGGCGAGACACACAAGAGGCCACTAAACCCTGCACTCGGGGGGGCCCCATTGCACGCGGCCTCGCGCGCACCACGCGCCAGCGCGAACTCGAGCAGGATCCCCCTTTGCCCCTGAAAACTAGTTACCCCTTCCCCTCCCCCGCCCCAGGACAACTAAACGGGCATCAACTTTTCCAAGACCCCCAGAGCGACCCGCCAGACCCGCCACTCCGCGAGAGCGCGCCCGACGAGCGCGCCATCAGACCCCCAACTCAAACAGGGCGCCCCTGAGGGCGTCAAAACCCATCAACCGCAGTAAGACCAGGTAGACTGGCAGGGAAGTGCCAACCCCAGGGACAAAATTACAAACTTCTCCGCCACCTCATCCTGCTGCTGCTTCTGCCCGTCCCCGCACCCCCTTCGCCGCGGGCCCAGGAACGGGCCGCGGGATTGCAGAACTGGCGATCCCCGAGGACAACGTGACTCTCGCGGTCAACGGGGGGCAACCGACAACTCCCGCCCCCTCCCACCCTCCTCTGGGGCGCGGGGGTAAGTGCACAAAATCGATGCTCTCACCATTTCCAAGACTCCCGCTCAGGCCTGCCATCGCAGGAACCGCGAGAACGTCAAGACGGGCTCGGTGCTCTGGGAAGCCAGGGCGACTCTCTTCCATGTCCTCGCTGGCGAGGACCATTATAAGCCCCACTCTGGCGGGGGTTTTCATAAGCCCCGCCCCCCTCGGCAGCTGCCATCATGAAGGCCGCAGGGGGTCCTGCTTCCAGACTTGGCATTTTCACATTACGGCGCCGTTACCAATGGATGAGGCCGAGGCTCTCCCCGCGGTCGCTCGGCCAACGAGGACGGCCGTAAGGACGGGCGCCAACGCGCCACTTTCCACCATCCGCTGCTTTCCTTCCTCCTTCTCCGTAGCCTGGCTCAAGCCGCGAGCGGGCCCCCCCTCGGGGTCTCCCGCATTCACGGGGTCGCCCGACGTGCGCTGGGCCCCCATGCCCCCAGATCGCCGCGCGAACGCGGCCTCGCCCGCCCTGGCGCGGCCCCGCTGCGCCGCCTGGCGCAGGCGGACCCTGGCGGCACACCTAGCCTGGGGGGGGAATCCGAAGGAGAATGGCACAGCGTCGACTCCGACAACCCAGGAGAGGAGGGGGATCGTGGGGGATGGGTGGGAGAACTCGGTGAGGGCTACCAGCCTGCCCCTGATAATGTGCACAGCCTGTGGGCTACCGCACATCACCAGCAACCTGATGGATCCGAGCGCTCTGAGGACACAAACGATCGTCCCGGGGATCCTTGGGCCTCCTCTTTTGTCAACCTGGGGACTGGGCCTCACGAGGGCCCCGAGCCTCAAGGCAAAATCGAGGACCGCCGCGACACTGGCCGCAGCTCTCTGTCGGGAAGCTCGCAGCCCTGGGAGGCCCCCCCAGGCGACGCCGCCAACGTTTGGGATAACACGCCCCCTTGTCAGCAGGAAGGGCACAGGCATGCCTCGCCGGAGACTAATCTTGCGACCCGTCCCGCCCCCAGGGACCCCTCCTTTCGCGACCCTCAGTCCACCCCCCCCCCTTGTCCCAACGTCCCCCGCCCAGGGGTTGCTGCGGGCAGCAGGGAGACTGCGGCAATTTTGCACAAAGAGTTGCCACGATCGGGCGAAGAGGGCAGAAAGAACAGAGAGCGCCCACCCGACGGTAGCCGGCTTGGGACAGGGCCGGCCGAGACCGATGAGGAGACGAGCCTCGCACCGAAGGCGGGCGCCACCGCTCGCAGAAGCGGCCTGGTCAAAGTAATGGTGTGACTCCGAAGGGACAGGGGGAGACTAGCGGCACTTCGGCCACGTCGGCTCCGCCCAGAGCTGACGCCAGCACAGCCCCCTATCAGGACAAGGAGTTGCCACGACTACTGGCCAGGGGAATACCGAGCCCCTGAGATCACCCCCGTGGTCCCTCCCCGAAGCGTTCCTCTCGGCGCTGCCCGCCCTCCTCTTTGAAGGGGCCCTGGGACACACAAATAAATAAACACGAAGAACAGGATTCCCCATATGTTCCACCAATATTTTCTGGGTTTTTGTCTTCCCCCCCACTTCCCATATATTTTCCCATATTTTTTCTGGGGAATCGACGATTCATTGCGTCAATGTTTTTTCCCCTACTGAATCTTGGGGACCCAAAATGCGCCCTCACCACGCTGCTGCCTCTGCCAGGTCCAGAGCGCGGAGGGACGGGCGGCCGCAGGAGGGGGGGGGCCCAGTCTTGCTCTACCGAGCTCCAGCTCAGACGGAATCTGGCCCTGCGGGGTCTCCGCCGGCGGCCGGGAGGAAGGGGCCCGTCAGGCCGACGGAAGGGGGCCCAGCCGCGGCGCGCTCCGGGGTAACCCTTTCGCGACGGCTGCCAGACCTAGGGAGCCCACAAAGGACGTACGCGCACAGCTATGTACATGAACACGGCCCCCAGATCCGCGAGACCGGCCGCGTTATACGAACATTTGCGCAATGCGTACTCTCGAAACCAACGTGGATTCATGTACGTGTACGTCCTTCTGTCGCTCCTGAAGACCCCCGGCGCAAGACGATTCAGCACGTAGTAGCGGAGCGGGTCCCAGGTCCCACGGCCCCGCGATCACTTCCCCACCCTGCCCCATCCTTACGACCGGCGCGACGCACTTGTCAGACGCACGGCGGACCCTGCCCTGGGACTGCCGCTCTGACGGAGAGTCGGGCCCAACTCGCTCTGCGTCAACCCCGCCCAGGGGCGACGCAGACGCTTTCTCACAAGAAGTTGCCACGAGTAGTGGCGGCCCCAGTGATGGAAGGTTGGACCTGCCTTGCTCCGCGCCACCCCCGCCCAAGGACGGCGCAGACGCATGCATGCAAGAAGTTGCCACGATTATTGGCGCCCCCAGTGACGGAGAGTCGGGTCTACCTCGGCCCGGCATCCCGCGTGCTTGGCGGGTTGGAGGCACACGTCGGTAACGAGGTAATAGATACACTTTTGGCGGTCGAGTGAAGCTCTGGCCAGTAGGAGGGCGAGGGCTCGTGCGTGCTCCACTTGAAGGGCTATTGCGGTGCTGACATCGCCGATGGTGGCTTGTGGGACGGCCCCAAAGCTGGTAGCGCGGGTCCACTGCGAGCGCCATTTACCTAAGGACCTGTATGCGGGTCCTTCCCAAGCGTACATCCACACCGCCATCACGGACAGGAGCCGTTGGTCGATTGAGAGTTCCCCACGTCCTCTGCCCAGGCAGGGGTTCGGGACGTGCAGCAGGGTGTCGGGTACGACGCCAGTGCGCTGCATGGCTCGCAAGGTGCGAGCGAACAATCGCAGCAGGTCGTCAGGGAGGGACTTAGCTTCCCTGGTGGCCCATCCGTCCAACCCCCTGCTTGCCGGGAGGGGCGGCGGCGGATGCAGTCAATGAGCATGTCGTCTGTGAGAGTGAAAGGAGGCGCTTAGACGTGGGGGGGAGTTCGGCGGCGTCATGGGCGCGATATCGAGGCAGAATGGGTTCCCAGGTGTCGACCACGAGTTTGAGCATGGCGTGGGTATCGGCGATAGAGAGAGAGGGAGAGAAAAACAAAGAAAACAAACACTACAAAACGACCTGTACACATACACCAGAAAAAATATAATCAAGACGAAAACAACACCACAAAACAACAAAAGTGATAGAATAAGCAGGAGCAGCGGGAAGGACAAAAAAACGCGGCCTCACGAGCGCGGCCAGCTTCGGGAACCTGTGCGGCGGCGAGCGGACGTGGGCGTCGGTCGGCATCGACGTCATGGACATCCGGCGCCCGCTGCTCCTCTCGCGCCCCGACCTCCTCTCTCCTCCTCTGCCTCTGCGTTCCGGAAAGGCCCAGCGTGGCCGACGTTTGGCACTCGAGCTGAGTTCGCCAAGGGTTCCGCTCCACTCCACTCCTCCTCCTCCTCCTTCTCCTCTTCCTCCTCCTCCTCCTCCTCCTCCTCCTCCTCCTCCTCCTTCTCCTCTTCCTCCTCCTCCTCCTCCTCCTCCAGCTCGTCCTCCCCCGGGCCCCTCCTCCTCCTCCTGATCCTCCTCGTCCTCCTCCTCCTCCTCCTCCTCCACTTCCTCCTCCTCCTCGTCCTTTCCCTCCTCCTCAGCCTCTTCCTCTTCTTTTTTTTCTCTTCCTCGTCTTCATCCTCGTCCTCCTCCTCCTCCTCCTCTTCCTCCTCCTCGTCCTCCTCCTCCTTATCATCCTGACCTGTGTTAGTATTTGTTTTTCATCTGCCTCTGTTTGGATCGAATTGGTCCAGAGTTACGCGTACGCGTGTTGCGTTCTCGAAATGCTGGAAAAGCACGAATGGTTCGGCGCAAAGGTACCTGGCGGGCGCCGCGGCTAGGGCGGTAAAGAGAGATGGTGAGCAAACAACAAAGGTATAATAGTAGGCGCCCGCGAGGTAACGCAGTTTGTACCTGATTGGAGAAGACCCATAGTAGACCAAGTAATGAATAGTGGAAGCCAGGTTTTATCGGGTACATGCTGCGGACAGTGCCAATGTACACACGTAAAACAAAGTTCTCCGCTGCCACGTCTGAAGACAGCGTAGGGGTCAGCCCATGTGGGGACCCAGGTGTGCAAAGTGAGTGCTGCAATCGGGTTTAAAGGTTTACCCCTAGGCTCCAAGACAAATGTGCAATCTTTGGGCTGGACCCAGGGCTTTGTAGGATAGCCCCGAATCTAAGTGTAGAGACCCTCCCCGTCGCAACCCACACACCTCCCGAAGTAAGGATCGACGCTGTCGCCATGCTGCCAGTACTTTGGGGCTGGGTGCTCGCGCTAAATGGTGCAAAGGCAGGGCGGCGTAGGGGTCAGCCCCTGTGGTGGCACAGGAGTGCACTGCCAGTGCTGGCATAAGACTCTTAAGGCACCCCGATCCACACTGGCACAAGGGCCCCCGTGTGTTTCGTTGGTTTTTCTCGGGCGAAGCACGAGCCCAAGTAGTCCAGCAAGGTAGTCATGTGATAGGTGTCGCAAGCTGGCCTTCTTAGGCTGGCCCATGGGATGAGAACCCGATCTGCGATTGGATGCTGCCAAGACGCCGTGAACTGTACACTCTGCGCGTGCTGATATACTGGGGCTCGCGCGCGGGCAAAATGCCCACGCATTGCCTGGCGCGGCAAAACAAGAAGACTGAGAGCGCGTTCCGTCTGGTCTGCTGTGAAAGACGGCACTGCTGCTACGCTGCTAGTACTCTGAGGCTGGGCTCATACAGCCTCCCATGCATGCTCGCTGACTCCCTGTGGGATGTAAAAAAGTAGCGCCTTGTCGCCAAAGTGTTGCTGCCTAACTGTGGTCGAAGATTGCTGCCTGGCTGCGTCCGACGCCGCGCGTGCAAGCAAGCGCTGCGCGCTGCGATGCGGTTTTTCAGATTTACCCCTAACCGCTAAGAACAGAGCGTGCACACTTTGGGCTGCGGCCCAAAGCGTGGCGGGATGACCCCGGACCTGAGTCGGGAGACCCGCTCCGCAACCACCCCGGCAAGCCACCACCGCCAAAAGTAGTTGGGCGAGGTAGGGCGATTGAAGTGCGCGAAGCAAAATGCTATGTTGGGGCTGCCACCCTGAGTTGCACACGATAACCCCAAAAATGCGCAAGTCAAGATACCACCATCGCGTCAAGGGGCAGCGCGGGACAGGGAGGAAAGGTACATTGCAGGTCAAGTAAAGAACAATGCTGCCGGGGAGCTGTTAGCACAATGGGGCCAGTGCGCCGCCAACGATGTGTACTCTTGCATGTATGCACAAATAAAAAAGCAGTCGCCAAGGCTGTCTGGCTGCGCCCGAAGCTGCATGTGCAAACGTGCATGTGCGCTGCAATAAGGTTTGCAGGTTTACCCCCCACTTCCAAAAGAAAATAATGCACCCTGTGGGCTGCGACCCAGGAATTTGCAGGATAACCCCGAACCTCAGCGTAGAGATCATACCCACCGCTGCCCGCCATCAGCAATCCAATACCTCCAATGAATAGCTAGGCAAGGTGGAGGGCGCGAAGAGCGCAGAGAGAGAGAGAGAAGTAAACAAAAAAGAATTGGGGCTGCCGCCCAGGGCTTCGCTGGATAACCCCAAATCCGCACAAGGTAAGACACCGCCATCGCGTCAAAGAGCAGCGCGGAAAATGGAGGAGAGGCGCAATGCAGGTCAGCCACGGATAATGATGAGGGGGGCATCGGAAATGTGCGACAGCAAAAAAAACGTAATCCTAGGGCTGCGAACCAAACTGTTGCAGGTTAGCCTCAAGCCTATTGTCAGGAGGTACCACCGACATGTGGGAAGAGCCGTGGGGGGAAGTCGAGTAGCGCATCGCAAGTCAGTGTGCGCGGTAGACTGCCCGACTGTTGGTGTGGCTGTGCTACCTTATTAGTAAAGGTCCTTCTGCGGTAATCGCCCCCTGGGTGTACGTGTTGTGGGCGTTGTAGGTCGGTTGTCAGGTCTAGCTCGGGTGGCTCATCGTGGTTTGTCGGCGTGGACTTGGGAGCGGCCGTGTGCATCGTTGCCATGTGCTTGGGCGGCGGTTCGCTACATTGTACATCACTGGTGCGCTCGTTTACGCAGTTGAGGTAGACAACGTAGCGAGCATGGTGCACTCGTAGTCTGCCGATGTAGTTCTAGAACGTGGGGTCACCAATATTGTTGATGAAAGTGATGCGTCGGCTGAGGATGTGCATCCGTTGCTCCCTACGTCGAGCTGCTTCCTGATGCGCTGCAATTGCCTGGGCGACTTGCGTCGGGAGGCGCGCGCTCCGTGTCGCTAGCGTCCGCGGTGCTAACTGCCGCAACGGGATGGCTTGTAGCCATTGCGGTGCGTCACTGTCCCCTTCAAGCCGGCAAATGATCGGCATCATGAGTGCTGGCGGCGGTGGGTGCGGCGGTAGTTATATCTATGATGGCGCCCATTTGATCATTGCAGTGAGTGCAGGTCCAGGCGTGGTTGCCGCTGCGGTTGGGTGGTCAGTGCCAAGCGCGTTTGCCTGCCGTTGGTCAAGGTGCGCTGGCGGTGGTCTGTGCGGGCGCTGGCGTGGCGCGGTCGTAATTGCAGTGGTCGTAGCGCGACTACGTATATGTGGCATGGGCTTGCTCGGTATCGTGTCCTGTTGTGGTTGCGTGTGTGGTGAGTTGTCATGCTGCGTGGCTGCTGGTGGTGTGAACGCGTTGGGTTGCTCTGGTTTGCTGTGCAGTCTGGTGTAATGCTGCTTGGCTGTGCGGGTTGTCGGCTGTGCTTGTCGGGCCTGTCGGTGAGCTGTTAGCTGCCCATGATGGTGATAGAGTGGAGTGCGAGCGGTTTGGGCATGGGCTGTGCTGATGGCGGTGTTTGTGTGGTTGGTAGTTGCTGGGCCCTTTGTACCGCGTTGGCGATGCGATCTCTGTCGTTGGAGCTGTCGCTGTCGTCGCGCTTGAAGATGGGGTGTGACAGTAGGTCTTGTGGGTTGCAGATAAATTGTAGTAGATGCGCTGTGTCGCGCAGTCGCACTGCCCAGTTGCATTGCATGTCGTGATCGGCGCGGCAGGTTTGAGCCATTGCGCTACGTCTTGTACGGCTGAGATCTTGGCCTTGCCGGGAGGCGAATGCTCTCCTGTGGTCAGCGTAATGATGCGGTCGCATGCCTGGCTTACTTGCACTCTGAATGTTAGGCTGCCGCGGTAATGTGCCGCAGATGCTTGTAAGTCGTCGCCGCATCGCGAGAAAGTCGATTGCTTGGGCGGTTCGTGCAGTGGTTTGTGTGAGTCCGCTTTGACGGCGTTGTTGGGCTTGACCAGTTGCGCGCAGGTCGTAGTGGGCAATGTATAGGTGGCTAGCGGCGTGGCTTGGGAGTCGGGTCGCGATGGTGGATGTGGTAGGTATTGCTCGCCGTCGCGGCGTGCAAAGATCTCGTTGTTGCATTTGTTGCGGCATGTGTGCCATCAAGGTAGTCATAGGTGGTCCCTGGGGGATCTGAATGCGCATGTGATGGTTGCTTCTTGGTTGCTTCTTGGTCGTATACTGCATAGCGCCAAATGTCGCCTCCTTGGGTGTCCCCGTCTGCACCGTCGGCGCAGTGACAGTAGGCGGCCCAGCCACTGGGCAGGTGAATGTCATGATCTGGCTGGTTTGAGCGGTGATAGGCAAGCTTCGTGTAAACCGATTTCTCGGCACATCTTGGCCCATGGGTCGTCTCTGCCGCTGTTGTCGTCCCCTGGTGCTGAAATGCCGTAACGTTCGTATTTTGGTCATCTTGCCATTGGGCCGTTGGTGCGTTGTCTTTGTTCTGCGCCGGTGGCATCGGCATCCGCGGTGGCTCGGGTGGGATGCAGTCGTGGCTGTCATGGTATGTGTTTGTCTTGTTCAGCCTTCTTTTTCTAGAAGGTGAGATTTGGTATAGGTTGCTCTGGTGGTAGAATGTTCCTCTGACCGTTGCACATAAGGCGCAGACCTTCCAGGTGGTCGTAGAAGTCCTTCTCAATGTCGCACCGATCTGCAAGATAATGCTGTACAAATGCGTAGTGCTCATCGACTGGTGGTTGGTCGGTGCGAAATCGGACACCCTCCTTTCTGTGTGTACATCGGAAGGTCGCATGCGAATTGTGGTCCATGAGGTGCGGTAGGACGTCGGATGGCTGGGCCTGAATGTAGTTCGGGTTGCAGTCGTCGTAGATGATGTATTTGCTAGGGTAGAGCTCTGTGATAGGCGCAGGTCCGAGGCATCTCATGATTTGTGGCCATTTGGGATTGTGCCCGCTTGGTGATTTGAGCTCCTTGTGCGTTGGAGGTGTAGGGCCTACCTGGTCATTAGGTTGGAAGCGCGCAGTGACCTCCCATTGGTTGAGTAGCTCGCATCCAAGGTTGAAAGCGACTTCTAGTTCAACGTATTCGGGCTGCTCGTGCGTGACTGGTGGAGGGATGTGGCGTCGGCTCTTTCCTGGTATGCACGTTGCACATGGTAGGTGGAGGGTCGAGACGCCCGATGCACGCAGTGCGTCTGCTAAGTAGTTAGTTGGTGAGCAAGGGTAGCTCAGACCTCGAGGCGACGTTGTGGCGCGAGTCTGTCATTGAGCATACGAGAATACGTGCTTCATAGTTCTTTACGTCGTGATTGAGCTTCGCGTAGATGGCGTCGTCCTCGTCCATCTGGAACTCGTACCTCTGGGTGGTTTGCCTTCTCTTTGAGGCTCTTTTCGGTGCCTTCCTCTTTAAAGTAGGACTATGTTAGTCGTACCATGTTTTGGTCAATGTCGTTGCTGAGCTGATCCTATGCGCTGTGCGTGAGTGACGCTTTGCGCAAATATCTTGGCGGCCCCTCGCCATCGATGAATGGCTGGTGGTCGGGTCTGTAGTCTGCTTTCCTGTAGTATGGGATGTCCTTCGGCCGTTGCGACCAATGCAGTTCGACCTGATGGTGCGGGCATAGGTACTTCCAGCCAGTGGGTGCTGATGTGAGCCGCTCGTGTAGTAGGTTGAAGTCGGAGGTTGGGGGGTGAGATCGAAATGGAACGGAGAGCACCCCTACGAGGAAATCGATTTCGGTTTCGTGTTCGTGCCGCGGGTGCGGGCGAGGCGAAGCTGCGTGGGCGGGGGAGAGGAAATTCTCCTGTGGCTGGGCCGCGGCTGGACCAAAAGGTTCTCGGCCGGGAACCGGTGGCGAGCGGTGTCCCGCTGGTGTCCCGCCGGTGTCTGGGACACCGTGTCCCGCTGGTGTCCCGCTGGTGTCCCGCCGGTGTCCCGTCGTGGCTGGGCCGCGGCCGGACCAAGAGGTTTTCCGCCCAGCAACCGGTGGCGCGCGGTGTCCCGTCGGTGTCCCTCTGGTGTCCCGCTGGCGCCCCGCCGGTGTCCCGTCGTTGTCCCGTGGTGTCCCGTGGTGAGATCGACAGTGAGATCGAAAGTGAGATCGATAGCGATATCGGTAATGAGACCGATAGTGGTATCGATAGTGAGATCTATATTGAGAGATCGATCGTGAGATTCTTCTAATGAGACCGATCGTGATATCGATAGTGAGATCGATCGTGAGATCGATAGTGAGATCGATCGAATGGGATCGATAGCGAGATCGATATTGGAATCGATAGTGAGATGGGTAGTGAGATCGAAAGCGAGATCGACTGTGAGATCGATAGCGGGATCGATAGTGGGATCGATAGTGGTATGGATAGTGAGATCGACAGTGAGATCGATTATGTCACGTCGGTGTCCCATCGGTGTCCCGTCGGTGTCCCGTGGTTTCACGTGCGAGATCGTTAGTAGGATCGATAGCGAGATCCAGAGTGAGATCGACAGTGAAATCTATCGAGTGAAATCGGTAGTGAGATCGATCGAGTGAGATCGATAGTGGGATCGATGGTCCCATCGATCGTGAGACCGATAACGACATCGCTTGTGAGATCGATAGAGAGATCGATAGTGAGATCGATGGTGAGATCGATCGTGAGACCGATAACGACATCGCTTGTGAGATCGATAGAGTGATCGATAGTGAGATCGATTGAGTGGGACCGATAATGAGATCGATAGTGAGATCGATCGAGTGAGATCGATCGAGTGAGATCGATCGAATCAGAACTGAATTCGCCGGCCCAACGGGCCAGCGGCGTGCTAAGATCTCCGGTAACTGGTTAACAATATTTCTACTTCGCGCGCGCGGGGCTGCCCCTAGGGGTCCCCCCACGAAAAATACCCCGGGACGGTCCGGAGACGGTCCCGGGACGTCCGGCCAGAGATAGTTTTCCGTCTGGGCGCCGTCCTCGAGGCGCTCCAGAGCCCCGAGAAAGGCCCAGAGGCCTTCAAGAGGCCCCCAAGACAATAGACGACGGGTCCGAGATGCCACAAGATCGCTCCAAGACGTCCAAGATGGCGCCTAGACGCCCCGAGAGGCCTCCAAGAACCCTCCCAAGAGCCTCCAGGGGCAAAAATTGATGATTTCCTGTTGGCTTTCTCATGACTTTGGCTTCTCCGCCGCATCGGCTTCCCGGCTCTTCAAAACGGCCCAAGAGGCCCTCAAAATCCCCCCAACACGGCCCAAGAGGACTCCAAGAGGGCCCCCAAACGGCTCCAGCGGGCTCGAGGATAGCCCCAGAGGCCTCCAACATGGCCCAAAAGGCCCCCAAGACATCCCCAAGAGCGGGCCCAGACGGGGGACCCGAACGGAGATTTCGAGCTCTCGGCCCCGAGAGGTCCCCAGGATGCCCCAAGACGCCCCCAAGAAGCTCGCAAGAGGCCCCAAGAGACACCCAAGAGGCCGCCAAGAGGCCCCCAAGAGGCCCCAGAGAGGCCCCAGGAGGTCCCGGAAATATCGCCAAGAGGCCCACGACAGGCGTCCAAAGACATTCACAACCCTTCCAAAGAGGCGCGCCCAGACGCCCCAAGTGGCCTCCGATAGCCCTCCCAAGAGAGCCCCAAGAGGCACGACTCACTGCTTTTCTATACGTGTTGGGCAGAATGAGGAGTTTCCGCCTTTCCGGTTTTCCGACGCTCCAAGACAGTCCGAGAGGCCCCGAGACCGCCCATGAGGCCGCCAGCGGCTCCCAAGAGTGCCCAAAGAGCTCGATGGGGGCCGGCGGAATGAGCGAAGCGATTAAATAAATTATTAGTTCGTTGGTTCCCGGGGGGGAGAATGATACCAAGGCGCCCAGGAGCGAAGGACGACGTAAACAACTCGACACCAAGGCTCACAAGAGCGAGCGTGCCTCGAAAGGCTTCCGCGCAGGGTATGGGACCGTGTGTAACTGTGGCGCATGGGCGGTATGATGATGAGTAAAGCCGGCTTCGGCCATGCATGTATGTCGAGTCCCTGCACCAGGCTTGTGGACAAATTCGTGGCGCTTTAGTCAAAATGAAAGGTCAATTCTTGTCGCGGGTGGACCTGTGAATGCGTTGTCGGCGCCTGAACGTGTCTGAACAATGGACATGTATGTCAGCCACTGAGGGTACGTGCCCCATTGAAGTTCGCATCTCGCATGTACCTACTCGACGCTTCTTAGGTAGCCTTCTCGCGCTGGGCCTCTCCCCCAAGCATGCCCTCTGCGCCCCCATAACGGGTGCGCGGCAGCAGTGGTCCGTCGTTCGCCCGCATGCGCTGGGCGTCGTTGCCTTGTGGCTGCGCGGCGCTGCTCGATGTCAGTAACTTATGCCTCTCCCCCAGGTATGCCCTGTAGGGCTCCCATTCAGGGCATGGGGCTGCCTGTTGAGCTGTAGTCATGTCACGGTGTGTTGTTGGTCCGTCGTTGCTGGACTGCGCCGAGTAGCGCGCTGCGCGGCGCTTACACAGGCGCCGCGTCGGCCTGCAGAGCGTTGGGGCCAGGAGTGGCACGGAAGAGATGGGCACCAATGGATGTAGGAGGGGGGGCATGGCACTGGTCATTGCGTAGACTTGTCACATCATCGAATGAATGTCACAGATCCCTGCGTGACTGAAAGCGGGCGATCATGTAGGAGGCGGCTGGCGCATGGGCATGAGGCCTTGCAGTTCGCGCTGTGAGCTACTGGCTCGTGTTACGCATGCATATGTAGCATCGCGCATCGGGTTCCGTTCCGTGGGGGCGTGTTTGTGGGGCCCTATCTGCCCCAATGCCAGACTTAGGTACGCGTGCGCTTATGTGGCTTCTGGGTACTTAAGGGTAAGCTGTCTGGCGTAACAGAACAATGGGATGTGCATCAGAGAAATGTTCTCTATCCTCTCAAGGTAACACATCAAATGAGGAGGTCGCGGTTCAAGAATGTATGCATATGCCGCATGGTCAACTGAAGTATCCGAATGTACTGATACTGCTTCTCCCCCAGGTATACCCCGTAGGGCTCCCCAGGGCATGAAGCCATGCTCACTGTAGCTGGATGTCGCTGTCCTATTCCTGTTGTTGGGTCCATGTGCTGGTGTTTTGTCGTTGTCGCTGCGTGGTGCTGCTTGCGCCGGCATCGTGCACCTTTTTCCCCCATTGCCCTTCGAGGCCCCCGCGCAGGGCATGAGGCGACTGGCGTGCCGTCTTCTTGCCGCGGCCGCACTGCTAGGTCCGCTGCCTCTGGGTTGGTGCCATGTTGAAGTGCTGCGTAGGTGCGTGGACAGGTGCTGCGTCAATATTTGCACTAAGCCGTAGCGACAAGACTGCAATGACGGCGTAGGAGCAGATGGCTATGAGAGGGCACTGTGATGATTAACGCAATTCTCGTCTTGGGTGTCACCTCCGATCATGTAGTGGACATGCGTACGGCGCAGCTGGTATGCTGCAGTGGGCGCGTATGTACATGCCATTACAGGATGTCGCTGAGTCTGTTGTTCGATAGTTGTGTTTGTGGTGTTGGTAGGGGGTTGGACCTAGTGCGCATGGCAATTGGGCCGACTGTTGTAGCGCACGTGTCTACCAGTAGGGACCCAGCGGCATGTATTTCTGCATGGTCCCTGGCGTGCCTTGCGCTGGGAATTACGCTAGTCGGTCCGCTATGCATGTGGTAATCAGGTACCCCATCGTGCTTGGATGTTGTAGGACAACTCGGCGTTGCTAAGGTGGTCCTGTGAATTTGCCAAACAGGTTCATATGTTGCCGGTGCTCATGGTATTGGCTGAATGCGCAAGTCGTGGAATCTGCTATGATCGAATTTGTGTTGTGCTCTGGCAGCCGTAGCCCACTGTGCATAAGTCGATCGAGCTGCGTCGTGCTGAACTGTTCAATTGGTTGAACTGTATATTGTTTCCGAAGCTGTGCTGGTTGGTCTCTGCTGCGTTTGGTTGTGGTCATCATTATGGCTGGCGCGTTGGTATGTTGAGCTGCTGCTGTGAGTTGCGCTGTGTTCTGAAGCCCTCGGTTGAAATTGCGCGTCTTGCATAGCTGATTGGCCGATTGGTATGGGCATCCCCAGTGCGCGGTGCGTGGGCGTGGATTGCTGTCGCATTTGATACCGTCATCCATGACCGCGATGAGAGCAGTCACCTGGCCGTGATGGATTTGGTCCATCCATGCTTCCGCGGTGCGTTGGTGGGCTACGTCCTATCCACTGGTGCCGGTTGTGGATGTCAATGCACGTGTAGTGCCTTGTTGTGGGATGTCGCTCGAGGTTGCATTGTAGATAGTTGCTGTGTCTGTTGCGCTGGTTGAGTAACAGGATGTAGCTGAGGCTCGTCTTGTTGTCGGGGAGTGGGATCCATGGCATTGGCAGTGAGCGCGTGCGTTCGCGATCGGTGGGTCGTCGCAGTCCTGCAATTGCTTGCATTCCCTTAGTGAATGGGTGGCGAAGTGACTCATTTGGCAAGGCGTGGCGTCGGAGGCCCTTGCTGCCTTGGGTCTCGTTATCCTCACCGCCCTCGGTGCGTAGTGCTGCTAGCTCTCTTTCTTCTGTCATGCTGGTGATGTTCTGCATGTAGCGATGGTAGCATCTTGCGACTCGGTACTTGCGGCACGTTAGAGATCGCTGCCACGCGTGAAAGTGTTCGCGGCGGCATTGGCAGCTGCTCTCTGTTACTTTCCATTGGACGTTGTCAGCTGGCGGGCGTTATTTTGTTTTCTGCCCGGCGCATTCCCCGAGCATTGGCGTTTCTTCTCGCGCGGCCGCATTCGCGGCAAAAGTAAAGTGCAAACTGCGGGGAAAGACTGGGCACCTGCGCCGCGTCGTCGCAGTCAAGCGGCTGCACCTCGCGGGCCCCGAGTGTCGCGCAGAGTAGGTCGCTAAATGCGATGCGTTGCCTCCCCTTCGACTCGACCACTTGATCGTTGAACTGCTTAGGCGCTTCATGTGCACATTGCATCCATCTGCGCAAGCCCCACTGTCTTTGTGGGTCGTTGGTCACGGCGGCAAGCTCTGTCACCCACCAGCTGCCATCATTAATGACGTCGACCCAAGTGCGCGGCGTTGTTGTGGTCTGCTAGTTTTGCGCCTGTTGCTCGCGGCGCAGATCGATAAGTCGGAGTAGAAATGTCTGCTCCGTTGTAGCTCAACTTTGCCGCGTGCGGCGGCGTGGTCAGTCCTCTCTGCAAGTAGTGCAAGTTGCGCGTCGGGGGTGGGCTCGCCTGGTTCTTGGAGGCGGCGCGCGCGGGCAGCGCTGCGGCGTCCTTGGCGGCGAGCTGCGCTGAGCGATGTGATGATGCCGTCTGATGGCGGGCCCCATATTTCGGTTCAGCAGGAGGCGGCAGGTGGCAAATGCGTCTGCAAGTCTGGCCATCCTTTCCGTCCGTAGTTGCCTGTTCTCGAAGTGCGTGGCTCTAAGTGACGCGAGTGCTGCTCCTTGTCTTGCGGCCCGGAGGCGCGCTCGCACTGCGGCGCTGCCCATTGGGCCGAAGCGCGTGCCGAAGTAACCATATACGCGCGCGGTCGCAATGTGAATGTTCCAGGTTGGAGAACGGATGCCGGCATCTGCAAGTGCTAGTAGTCGTCAGGCCCTGCGATATGTCAAGAGAATGCTGATTTGCGTGGCCTGTCGTTCGTCTTGGAGCCCTAGCTGGTGAGAATGGTGCGCGCGTCCGTTGCTAAATCTGCCATGTAGTGCTCCAGTAAGTCGGTGTCCTTGCACTTTAGCCATGATCAGTGCTTCTTCCACGAATGCAATACTGGCCGCGAATTCCCCCTCCGGCGCGCGCGCGTCGCCCGACATTTGAAAAGTAGCGGGTTGTCTGGCAGAGGCAATGCCATGGCGCGCGGCGCGCCCTGGATGTCGCCAGCCAGCTCGTCGCGGGGCCCCGCGAAGGATAGGTTGCATATCGCCTCGGCTAAGCTGTTGCCAGGCATGGTGCCGTTTTTTGGGTGCGCGGCGGGGCTGGGACGCGCGGGCGCGAAGTGCGCTACTCTGTATGACGCAATAAACTGCGCCGCGAGGTGCCCGCCGCATTGGTGATTGTTCAGCATGTCTGGTTGTGCGAGTATCGCTTGCGCTGAAGGTGCCAGTGGCGTTGGGAAGTCGCTATGATTTTTGGAGTTGCTTTGCTCGTGTTTTGCCTGCGGCGCTGAAAGCAATTCCCTCGCTGCTGTGGAAAGCTGCCGCAAGGTCAATGTAGTACCTGATAGTGGTGATACTGCGGCGTCTGCTGTAGCTTGTGACCAGCGCTGCTGCGTGTGCTGCGAATGATGTCGATGTTCCTGCAAGTCCTCCACACTGCGTTGGGGGCGGTGTTTGTTGTGGAAGGGATGCTAGGTTCTGGTGCAGCTTGGGAATTTCAAATGCTAGAAGGTTGAACTGTACAGATTTGCTCTGCTGGTTGTGCCTGGCCCTGCGTGCAAGGGCACCATCGTTCCGTGTTTCCACATGAGCTGCTCACTCTGGCATAGTGATGATTCAGGTAGAAGCGGGCGCATATGTCCAGCTGCACTCGCGGGTGCTGCAATAAGAATGCCGTCTGTGACACGGCCGGGCCCCGATTGCTTGCGTCTCTGTACTTTCCGGGTCATGGTGGCGGGCCTGGGCAGTGTGATGATGTGTTGGAGTGGTTGTGGCGTCGTCGGCGCGGACGTGATGTCGTCGTAGAAGTTGCACATGTAGCAATTGTATGTGAGTGTGGCGGTTCCTTGTTTTACATAGCCTCGCGTAAACTAATTCGCATGTTGCTCGACCGAGCCGAATACGTTTCCATCAGAATCGGTAACGAATGACATAGCTCGCGTTTTGTGAGCCATGTTTCTGGTGACTGCTCCGTATCGTAGCGCTGTCTGCACGTGCTGCCATGCTGCTGCGTGTTCTTGTATGTCATGTAGGTGTTGGATTCGGTTGGAGAGTTACATGAGGTGGTTGGCTCGGTGAAGTTGACGTTGCATAGCAACTAGGTGTTCTGGTTGCTTTGAAGAACTTGTGCACTGCTGCGTGCGCGCCGATGCGGGCGCCGTGCTCGGCTGCATGGCACGCAGATAACAGGGCGTCGATGTGGCGGTCCGTCGGTCTACCTGTTGTGTGTGTGGCTGGGTCCTCGCTGAGCTTGTAATACATGATGGTTGGGGTGGACTTGCGGTCTTGTCGTAGAACTGCGACAGCGTGTCGACGTAGTCGGATGATCTTCATGGCGTCGGCGGTGATGCATGGTTGCCCTGGCGTGAACTCGTTCTTTCGGAAATGGGCTGTAGCTGCTGCGTGTGGCGCGTCAGTTACTGTCTAGAGATGCTCGTTGATGGCTGCGTCCCGCGTAGGTAGCGGCTGCTTGCCGACCATATCCGAGAAGGCTGCTCGCTTTGAAAGGTCTTGCATCTCGAGCGGGGTTGCAAGTTGAATACTTGCTGATCATATTGATTCTGCATATGGCGCGTTGAAAAGGGAAGTGGTCTTCGCTTTGGGCCCCAGAGTCGCGCTGGCGGTCAACGCAGAGTTCCTGCACGCGCGGCGCCCAGTTGTTGGCAATGGCAATGTAAACACTTATGGATTTGATTTTTTTGGCCTTCCATTGCTGAACATTCACGCGCGAGTCGGTTCGCGCGCGGTCGTTGCGTTGATTCACGAAAGGTCGCATGCTGACGCGAGCAGTCCCACGCGCGCCGCGTTGTCGCATGCTTCTCGCATGGCCGCGGGCGGTGGCGCGCCGCCAATGCCGGGCGAGAGCGTCTCTGAGATGCGCGCGATGAAGTCGGCAAGAACGATGGCCAGTGGCCATGTGGTCGCCAGCGCGCGAAGCGTTTCCCACGGTTTGGACGGGCGGCTCGAGCGGCGACTCGCGCGCGGGGTGCGCGCCGCGGAAATGGCATCGCTAGTGCGTGGCGGGCGTAGCTTGATGATTAAGGGGCGGTGTGATCAGCGTAGTACTCTGAACTGTTGGCAGTTGACGCATAGCACTTCTTTGGGCGCAGTCGCGCAAGGTAATGAGGCGATGACAAGTAAGCTCCACGCAAGTTTGGATGGGCGTTGCGGAGTGGCGCATTGGAGAAATGCGTCAGCTGTGCTGAAGTCGTTGCGTGCAGTTGTCTCTTGTATTCGCATTATATGGGTATTGCGAGGCAGCGCTTGCGCTCATAGGTGCTGTCCTCGTCATGTGCTGTAGTGTCCTTTTGTCCGGTGACGTCTCTTCGTTGAATGCATCGGCGTTTGCTATCTGCGCGCTGTACGTGGCCATTTGGATGTGGATATACGTTGCGTTGGCATTTTTGTTCGGCGGCGTTCCTGGGCCTGGCGTTGTTCTGCTACTGAAAGCTGGCAGTCGTGAGTGGCCCACTGCGGCGCGCTATGCGCACTGCTTAGTGTCATTCATTTCTTGAGATTATGGGTGTGGACAGTAGTCGTTGTTGCTGGCTGCTTTGCGCGTGTTCCAGATGTCTGGATGGTGTGGCAGTAGCGCGTGGATGCCGTCGCCTGGTTGGTTGGGTCTTTTGGCGACGTTGCTGAAGTCGTCTTGCGCGCGGGAGGCGGCATGGTGCTTCGCCAATGCGTGTGCTAGCTCATTCCATGGGCGGTCGTCGCGCCCGTGGATGCAGCGGATGGCAATGCGGCGCCGTTGTTTCGCAGCATGGAAGCTAGCCTGTGCTAGTTGCGCGAGTGGGTCGATTGAGTCTGGTAGTTGCGTGGATAGGCGCATTGCGTTCGCTGAGCAGGGGCGTATATGCCCGTCTGTGCAGGGTGGTTGCTGCGTCGCGCATATTGTGGCCGATCTGCTTGCTGCTTCCTCTACGCTGGCGCCGTCGAGTCGGTCGTTGTCTACGATGGGCGCATGTCGTGCGCGGCGATGCCGGAGTAGTATCTTATGTAGCTCAGCTGGTGCACACCGCATGGAAAGCTGCGAATGCCCATGCCGCGTTGTCTTTCTGCGCCTGTAATGAACCATCTGGGTGGGTGAGTAGGCCGCCGGTTGTAGGTAGTTGTCTAGAGTAGAGAGGCAGCGCGGCCCCAGTCACTGGGCAAAGACCACTGTCAGCGAGGTCGCGAGAGAATATGACTCTCAGTTGCGGGCCGGATACCGATTCGAGGATGCAGTTGAGAACAGGCTGCTGGATGTGGCGAGTGCTGAAGCTGGTTTCAGCGGCTAAAGTAGGATGGAGAAGTCTCTGCTCAGTGCCATCATATCCACTCGGTAGGACGCAGGGGGTGCCGGTGAAACTTGTAAATGGTTGAGCCGAGTAGGTGGTAAGTTTTCTGAAGCGTTGGTCGCCCCCGGGAAGTCTGGCATGGTTGGCTGTTGTCGCGATGCTCGCGGGCTGCGTTGATCCCTATGGTCTGCGTGGTCCGTCGTACTGCGCTGCTACCTCTTGCTGCTGGAGAGTGCCGAAGTATCTTGGAGCGCCTCCAATGGTCATGTCGCGCGTGATTGTGGCTCTTGGTTCTGGCGCGCGCGGTAGTCAGTCGAGCTCGCTTGCCAACTTAGCCGGCGTTGTTGGTGCATGCGTCGTCCTTGCCGCACTGGGCGCGACTGGTTCTGGCGGCGTGATTGGGGCGGGTCCTGTCAGGGTGCGTGGCGACTGCTGGGTGGATTCGATGGCAATGTCGTTGCGTGTCCGTTATATGTAAGCTCTCTTGCGCTTTCGTCGCGCGCCCGATGCGATGGTCGTCTGCAAGTTGTGCTCTCTGGAGCTGCGCCGCCGACGACGTCACCCAGTTGGGCGACGACGCCGCGTTCTAGGCCGGCGAGTTGGTTGATTCTGTCGCCTTCGCCCAGCTCTCGGCCGGCAGGCAGCGCTGGTAGTTCGCGCTGCGGCTGTGAATGTCGCAGTAGTTACAGTAACTCCGCATGTCTTCTGTCTGCGCCATCGCTCAGATTAAGCGCGAGCTTTCCCGCGCCTCTCGCACTTGAGCCGGCGTCGACTAGTCTGGCTTGTCATGTCTCGCTGGCACTTCACAATGGTCAAGTGTCGCTGGTAGCGTCGGTTGGCGGTCTGGAGGTTTGCTTCCGCGCTGCCGAGGGTGACCCTGGCTGTCGCTCCTTCGTGGTAATTTGCCAAAATCGTAAATTCTCTCCGCTGTAGTCTGCGCGCAGTTGCGGCTGCTCCTCGTGTTGCTACCACTTCTTGGCCGAATATTGCCTAGGCCCGCGCACTCTGGGCTCCTTGTTGAGCGCGTTTTCATAAGGTATTCGCAAGTGCTGCTCTTGCCAAAGCAGCGAGGTCGCCTCTTGTTGTAGGCCATGTTATAGAATTGAACCCTCTGCTCGGCTATGCTGATGCACGTCGCTTGGCGTGGCTCTAGTGCCGACTGTTCTGGGTAGTCGTTGTGGAAATGTTGCATGGCGCGTTGCACGCGTTGCTCTGTTGTTCTCTTAGCTTGGTCGATGTCTTTCTGGTGCCAGTGTGCTTCGCGTAGCGGCTGGGCTGCGGGCTGCTGGCGCTTTGCCTGCAGCTCCAATCTGACTGACAAACCATGCGCCAAGCGGTGCGCGGGCATGAACGCTGGCTTAAAGAGGGGCCAGGGCCTTGGCTGCACGCCGGGCCACTGCAGTCGGCCACCAGTGAAAAGCTGCACTTGCGCGCTGGGGGCCCAAAGCACCACGAACGGGAACGGCGCGCAAACGGGTCACACTGGGACGACCAGGAGGAGGAGGAGGAGGAGGAGGAGGAGGAGGAGGAGTGCACGCGGAATTAAAATAGGGCGCGCATAGTACGATCGCAATGGCAAGTTTGCGCTGCAGCCTCGGCTGCTGCCGCGCCACCAAAAATGCGTGCGGAACGCTTCATCATCTCACAGGCAAACTCCTTGCATGGCCTACCAACCCTCCTCGTTGTAGCATCTGTCTGTGGTGTCAGCGAGCCGGAAGCGAACGTGCGCGTCCGCAGCGGGCGCCCTCGATCGGCGCGTAGCACTTGACCGAAGAGCAGGAGCTGCCGGCGTAGAAACTGCTGGCTCGCTGGGGCGTGCTCTGCACGGCTCAGCACGTCTGTATTCCGCACGCGCGAAATCCATGAAGGTCGGACGCCTATGTTCTGCCGGACACACCTGTTCTGGAAGCCGTCCAACCGCCGCAGCTGCGATTTTGTCAGGCACGACCCTGCTAGCCCATATAATAATTTAGACTCCACAATCGATGTGTAAATTCGCAGCTTTCGTGGCCAGGTGAGGAAGAATGCGACCAGACTTTTCGCAACGTTGTGAAATTCCTTTTGGCCTACCCGATTGTTCTGCCCAATTCGTGGCCCATGTCTGCATCTGCCGACAGATGTGCTCCAAGGTATCGCAGGTGCTGCACATGGTTGAGGGCAGTACCATCAGGGGCGTATATCTCGCCGTTTGACCGAACTGCGAGCACCTGAAACTTGCCCCAATGCAACTCCATTCCGTAGCGCTTGCCCGCGGAGGCAACGGCACCCAGAAGCTCGTTCAAGTGCTCTTCATTGGAGCCGATTAAGAGCGCGTCGTCTGCGTAAACGCACTCGGACAAGTCGCCCTCGACGCGCGCCTCCTTTGCTCTTCCGGCAAGCTTCGAGGCGGCATCGTGCAAGAGCACAGTCATGACCAGGACGACCAGCAGCGGGCTGAAGGTGCAACCCTGTGAGATCCCAGAAAGCTGGGGTCTGGGAGCGGACTGGTTGTCGCATTCCCTCACCACGAACATCCTTCTCTCCATCATCACACCGACCATCTCCCCGAACTCAGATGGAACCCCAATCCGCCGTAATGCGTCCAGCAGGCTCTCTATGTGTACGCTGTCAAATGCCTTCCCCCAATCCAGCGCCACCAGGGTGACAACCCCTCCTTTTTTCGCCCCGGCTGTTTCTATGCGCCTCCGGGCAACATAGATGGCGCGCTCGGCGCTGCGACCAGGTCGGAAACCAAATTGGGACGCCCACAATCTCTCATCCACGCCCGCGTCCAGGAGCCTCTGCTCGAGCATGGCGGAGAAGGCTTTCATGGCGACACATTGAAGCGACAAGGGCCGGTAGTTGTCGCAATTTGCTGGGTCGCCCTTCTTGTAGAGTAATCTCACATGAGACTCGCACCAATCATCCGGAAGGTTTTTCTCCACCCACGCGGCATTGCAGATGTCGAGCAACCACTGCAAGCGCCCTGGCTCAGCAGCGAGAGCTTTGTAAACTTCTATTGGTCATGTCCCCTCTTTTGCAAGATCTCCCAGGGCGTAACTTCTGCAAGGCACGCCGTAATTCTGCATCCGTTAAGCGATCCAGATTAACGTTCAATGCCTGGTAGATCGCATCGTCTGTGTGCGCACGTGCCACTGGATATTGCCGAGGTGCTCCGCGAATGTCTCCGCGCGCTCGTCTGTCGCAACCGGATCGCCGTTTCGATTTTGAAGTCGACATTGCGGCCGGCCCTTGCATTTCGATATCTCGTTGATGCAACTCCAGTCTCCAGTAGCTGTCAGATTCTCGAGCCACGTACTGCGATCTTGCTTGGCCGACTTCTTCACGGACTTTCTCAGTCGCAGCTCGGCGCCCCAATCGCCTGCAGTTCGCGCGTGGCGTCTCTGGGTGATGAGTGCCAGCGTGCGCTCTGAGATCCAGGGTTTGTTCGGCTTGCGCATGGAATCTGGCACGGCGGTGCCCACGGCCGCCATGACAGACGCAGACGCCGTCTTCCAGCTCAGCGTTAAACTATGTTCGCCTGCGGACTCTTCCATGCGACGTCCAACTTCTTTCGTGGGCTCTCGTCTCCCAGATGGCGATTGCAAGGTGGCCCAATTCTTCCGCCGGTTTGCTGGCCGGCGCTCAGAGGTCTCCGGCGCGCCCGCCACAATGGTTGCCAGCACAGGGAAATGATGTGAAGCTAGAGTAGCAGGGGTGTCGCTTCGAATATCTCTAAGGTCCTGCTCGCGAGCAGCAGGAATAACCAAGTAATCCAAGACATTGAAGCCGACGTCGTTGATTGGACTGCCAGGCCGAACGGACGGTTCACGGCACGTCGCTGTCTAACGGCCGGGTGGAGTTTCAGCGTGTTCGCCACGAGGAGCTGGAGGACCATGCAGAATTCTGTAAACAAGTCCCGGTTGGGAAGGTCAACCTTCCTCTTCGCCTCGCGTCCAAACGTGCGCTCGCCCATTATGTCCTCCTCCCCAGCACGTCTTTTGCCGAGCCTCGCATTCCAATCCCCGAAGAAATATCAAGGACCATACTGTGCTAATCCGACAGCGTGGCGCTGAAGACGATCGTAGAAGTCAAGCTTTTCCTCTGTGGGTTTCTCGTTGTGTGGAGCGTAAACAGTACACAGCGTAACCTTACCATAGACTGTGCGGATCTTAATCGTAGCAATTCGGTTGTCTAAATGCCAGCAACCGCAAATTCTACGCCTCATCTGCGGAGCGACTACAAAACCCACTCCGGCTGATTCGCGGTGGACCCCAGCACTGCCCGACAGGATCACCAGATATCCGTCCTCTGCGTCGTAGTGGTCAGAGTTTGGCCAGTGTGTCTCCTGCATACATGCAATATCGATGGCATTCGCACGCATATATCTGCAAATTTCGCCCTCCTTTAAATCCGTCATTCCCTCAACATTCCACGAGCAAATCCTCGCAAAACTGCCAAAACTGCGGCGGCCCGCATCTTCGCACAGGTCCGCCTCCTCGCCGCTCTCCGCCACGAGGGGTGAAACGTCGCATTCGCCCACACACCGCTGTGACCCCTAGTGGAGTCCAGGGCCTTTCCCCATCCCTTTGCTCTCGAGGAAGGCCTTCGCCCTGTCGAGCTTCCCCTGGGCGCGGGCGGTGACCTCGGAGAGCTCTGAAGACGACTGCAGCGCATCTCACTTCCCCCACTCCTGGTCCACCCACTTCAGCTCCAGCCGGTAGTCCTTCACCACCGTCTTGGCCACCACGGCCCCTGGAGGAGTCACCCGCGTTCACCTTGACGCACGTCTTGTTGAAGCCCCACGTCGCCAGCAGCCGGCGGAGCCCGAAAAGGGCGCCGCGCTGCATGCGGATGTCGAAAAGGAGGTCCGGCTTCGCCCAGACAGCGTTCCCGAAGCCCCCCGGTTGCCCTCTCGCGAACGAGTTGACAGTATCAAGGAACATCTGGCGCGACGCGTCCGACATAAATTTGACAAAGAACACGCCCTTGAACTCGCTCTTGCAGCACTTGTTCCGGGCCGCCAGGGCTGGAAGGCCATGTCCCACGCAGAGAGTAGATGCCCATTTCGCTGCATCCTCAAAGGTCGTTGCGTTGGGCACGTTCCCGACGACGGCCGTTGCTGTGGATGGAATGGACGTCGTAGCCAAGTTGCGCGGAGCAGTGCGCTGGAACATCGTCTCTTCGATCATCCTGGTCACGTCCTCTTTCGTAACGGCCGACAGCTGGAACTTATTGAACTTGTCCTCCAGGCCGCTGATGTCCAAGGTCGCCTTGAATGCCGGCTGTTTCGCCAACGTCGCCTCGTCCTTAGCCTCCTGCGCAATCCTCTCGCTCCTCGTCATCATCAGTTTCATCTCCTTCATGTCCTTCATCATGACCCTCATCATCTCCTTTGCGTCCACGTATTCCTGGCTAGCGTTGCCTGCTCCTCCACCTCCGCCAACCTCGCTGTCGCCATCCATCTGGTCCAGTGGAGAATCGAGGCGAGCTTGCCTACGCTCTCCTCCGAGTGGCGCCCCCATGTGGTGCTTCTCTGCCGGCATCGCGGCAGCAAGTGGGCAAGGGAAAGGGTATGGCATGGCGAGAGAATAACAGTAGGGGAATGGATTAATCCAGGGGGGCTGGATTAATCCAGCCGCGCCGGGCCTTGAGCTAAAATGGGTCTGGTAGCTCCAATCGAAGCTCAGCAATGGTCGTCACGGTTTCGTCCTCATCGTTTCGCGACGTTTCTGGGGCTGCGGCTTGGTTGACCAATGCCTTGGCGTGCTCTTGTTTCGCGCGCTGCAAGCCAGCGTGGCATTGCAGCAGTTGTGGTGTGGCTTTTTCGAGTTGTTGGTCTCTCTGCATCGTCTGGGTTGCAGTGAACCGCGCGTGCTCTTCGTCGGTAGTATTTTGTATTGCAAGTTGTTCTGCGCGAAAGGCGCATTCAAGTCGGCGTTGCGCCTGCTTGTCGTTGGCGCTGATATCTTGGGCTAGTCTTAATAATGGAACGTATGCGCCGCTTGCTTGCACGTCGTCGAGTGTCTTTTTTTTGAATAGCGCCTCGGTCGAGTGACGTATTCCTCTGTGCGCGGGCGCAGCGTTGTTGATCTGAGTGGTCGCAGTGGCGCTTTGTAATGTGAATGCTGTTTGGGCAAGATGCAGTGGGTTCTTGGTGATAATTCGCGGGTCGGTTGTGGGCTCGGTGCGTACTGTCGATGTGAGATGAGATCCTTGTTTCGATGTTTGCGCAGGACCTAGCGAAACGCATGTCGTAATCGTGTCGTTGTTGTGTTTGCTTGAGCGTGGCCTCGGAGATCTTGGCGCATGGTGCGTAGTCGTCCTTGAATGTACGGCAGCTGTTCATGTAGCCGTCCTGGTCGAGTAGCTGTCTTTACGTGACAACCAATTCGTGTCGACTTGGTTTGTTTTTTGACCGGTTTTCTACACTGCTCGCATTTGTGATGTTCGCTTCCGAATGTTGCCTGTATTCGACGCAATCCATGTTCGTGTCGCAGGTGGTGTGAGGCCTGGGCGGCCCTTGTTCTGGACGTCGTCGTAGAATGCCTCTGGTATGCTGTCTATGATTTGTTTGTTTGGTCGATGTATGCTGTGTGGCCAGCGTTGTTGGCGAAGTTGGGTTCTCGCTGCTGTTTGTCATGTCGATTGATTGCTTGGGTCTGTCGCTGGTGTGTGTTGGGTCTGGGCGCGGTGGGCCTTATTGATTGTGCTTGCATTGGTGATGGTAGGTTGTATGTGGATTGGGTCCGTTGCCTTTGTTATGCTGCTGCGTGGTATGGATTGGGTTGTAGTTGGATGTCTGGGCGTTGGGTGTCTTGTAACTTCTGTGGCATTTTTGCTGCCTTTGCCGCTTGGCTGCTGGGGGCAGTAGTTGCCTTTGCGTTTGCCTTTGGCTTGGGGTGCTGGTGCGTGTCCGCATGTGTCTCCTAGTCCTCGTCCATTCCCTATCCTGATATATCACTTGTCCCTATCGCACCCCGAGGCCAGCTTTTAGGGCGGGCCGGGCATTTCGCCTGAGACTTCCTCACCACACATGACTACGAAGCATAAAAATGACAACAAGTGAACAGCTGGAGGACGGGTGGTATATTGCGGCCGTCGCCTTCGCGCCGCGCACATTCGTTTTCAAGCTTTGCCAGACCTTCACGGGCTGAATGCGGGTGGTTTTCAAAATGTGGCCGTCGCTTTAACGCCGCGCACGTTCGGCTTAACAATTGCAAGCGTTTCACGTATTGAGGGCGGCTCCTTTTCAAAATGCGGTTCTCGCCTCAGCGCCGCGCACATTCGTTTTCATGAAAACATGCAAGCGTTTCACGGATCGGGGGCGGTGTTTTTTTTCAAACGGTGGTTCTCGCCGCAGCGCCGCGCACATTCGTTAAACAAGTTCGCAATAGTTTTATGGATTGGGGGCGGGTGGTTTTCAAAATGCGACTCTCGCTTTAGCGCCGCGCGCACATTCGTTTTCAAAATTTGCCAGAGCTTCACGGATCGAGGGCGTTCGGTTTTCAAAATGTGGCTCTCGCTTTCGCGCCGCGCGCATATTCGTTAAACAAATTGCAAGAGCTTCACGGATTGAGGGCGGGTGGTTTTCAAAATGTGGCTCTCGCCTTAGCGCCGCGCACATTCGTTTTAACAAGTTGCAAAATGTTTACAAATTCCAATGACCAACGCACCAACAAGTGTGTTTTTGAAGGATTCAGGAACACGCGGGCGCAATAGTTATGTTGATTCGCGGAACTGACATCCGAAAGAAACGGCGTCGTGGCACGACTCCGGACCGCCCAAACGCAGCAATCAGGTTGATACGTGGCGTTGAAATCCCGAGAACACTGATTGGGCATGCTTCAGGATCTTGAAACGGTTATCTTCCAATGAGGCAGTTCCCTCAATGGAAATGACCCGTTGTAGGGGGTCTATGAACAAGGATTTTGGAAGGAGGGTTGATTCCAACGTCGTTGATGATTCTTGGTTTTACACTGGCCCTCATTATCCTCCCTCTCGTGCTCGTCCTCGACCTCCTCGTCATCCTCCTCCTTTTCCTCCTCCTCCTCCTCCTCGCCCTCCCCCTCCTCATCTCCCGTTATTCCCACATTCCTCCTTTCTCCTCTTCTGTCTAGTGAAATATCTCGGGCATGTGAATCCGACACCCATGGCACAGCGAGAATCCATGGCCGACTCGGAAGGCAACATAATCAGGAGCTGCCTCAGCAAAGGAGATCACATTTCTACTCCGCCGCCCCCTCGTTTGCCCTCCGCGGGCCCCTCCCTGAGTCTGCGCTCGCAATTCAACGCAATGTCTCCACTGCCGCGGAGGGGCGCCGCTCCGCGACGAAAAACACGGAGGAAACCATAAAGGTCAGCGCGCCACAGGGACTGCGCCGGCCTGGCCCCGGGGACCCAAACACCGCGCGGACCCCATCAGAGCGCCTCGCCCCCCGGCGCCCCGACCCCGGGCCCATCGGAGCAGGCCAGCCCCGACAAGAGAGGCTCCTCCTCGTCCTCCTCCTCCTCCTCCTCCTCCTCCTCCTCCTCCTCCTC